TGATTTTTGCTCCTGAGTGAAAGTCCTTATTGTTTTTATTGCCCAGCCCTAACCTGACCCCAGGGTGTCTGTGTGTAAAATACTTTGTGGTCATTTAATTAAACTCAACTTTATGTGACTGACATGATTAAGGTCTTAGAAACAGATTATGACACAGGGGTGTCATAACAAGTGCAGAACCTCCTAAATTTATAGTTAACCTTTGTGGTGCAAATGTGTAACACGTGCAATCAAATGACCAAAATCACCCAAATACACACCAGTTCCTTCTTGAGCCCTGCAGTTACCTGGCCTATAGTCCACCCACTCCTCACCTGTAACTAATGCCCTCATCAGCCTCGCCATATTTACCTGTGCTAACCTCAACGGCCACCATCTGGGCTACGTAGCGGAAGGGGAGGAACCACCAACCTCTTCTCAAACTTGTGAATTTAATTTAATTGAAGTTAAATGAGCAAACAAGAGATATTTTGGAAGGTGACAGTGACTGTCAAATGATGGAGATAATGTTGAGGGTTTCCAATCGCCATAAAGAAGAGGAAGCATATGATGCGGTTTTCTTTTTTTGATTTGAGACAACACTACCCTGTTGAAATTCACACACTACGCAAGTAAGTACATAGTGTGCACAGTGTACTACATGTTAGTGGACAGGACGTCTCATCCTGTTTGCCATGGTGCTTGTTGCTTGGTGGGTTTTGCATTACCTTACCTGGACTTATATCTGCCCGTTTGTTGCCTGTGTTTCAGCTAATTTATGGACAATAAAACCTTGAACTTTACTTACTTTACCGTGACACATTTTGTCATGACGAGACGTTGTGGTTTTTAGCTTTTAAGCTATTTGTTGACCAAAAACCAGTGAGCGTAGTGACGGCACAAATCATCTGCAGGAGATGATTTTCCATATTGATAAATTGCACATTTCTTGATTAATCAACTTATTGTTCTGGAATGTCCGAAAATATTTTATTATTTTCATGACAGTCTCAAAAAACCTCAAAGATATTCAGTTTGCACAATCAAACAGAAAAGAAGCACATTTTCTGGCATTAGATTTGAAAAATTATGGAAATGTTATATTATATGATATTAAAATATTGAATGGTTGCAGATTAATTTTATTCCAATCGACTAATTATTTCAGCTGTAAACTCTCCTGTCAATCTGCCCAGCTGACTACAGGATGAATTGGTGACTAACTTGTTGAACCTGTTCTCACTCCCAAGTCGTCCCATATGGACGCATGGTCAAGACCCGTTTGGCATCCGTTTGTAACGCCCTGGGGAGCCTTTTAGGGTCATAGTTCAACGCAGTGGGGGAAGCGCTGGGTATAGATATAATATTTAACAGAAAAGACAGAGTAGGAGGTGGTTGGGTGGACGGAGGGCCAGAAACCGGACGTTCCGGAAAATATGCAAATGTTTGCTAGATTTACTTCACCAGTAAAAAACAAACAAAGTGCAAGTCTATTGAGTGGCCGGTACACTTTGAGCAATCGCTAGCTATTCGGGTGGTGGACCAAAAGTTTTGCACCCTGACTCCGTGTAAGATGGCTAACAAAATAGTTTTGATATTATTATATTATATAATAATCTTTATAATAAACATTAACAGCTTCGTGCCGCGCATTAACGTTGTAGGTTACTCTGTAGAGTTGTTGTGTTTTTGACACCGAATATATGTTGACATCGCTGTTTTAAAGTATCTTACGGAGCTAAACTAAATTTAAAGCTTATAAAACATTAATAAATCGTTAAATATCACAGGAACATCGTGGAAAAGCTCTTGAAAGTTATCATCACTCACATCTTGGTTCCCGCTCAGTGCCGTCCAATCGGCTTCGCGCTCCGAACTTTCCCCGGACCGTGATTGGCTGCTCTCCGGCGTTCCGTGCAGCGGCGGGTCCGAGCCGTTGGTGCCGTTGCCGTGGTGACAAACGGTCGCGACGACGGCGGCCGTGAAAATGTCGAGGAAGAAGAGGAAGGCGTTGAAGAAGAAGACGAGAGAGAGGCGCCAGTAGACGGACAGCTGCAGCGGAGACATGGCCGCTCTCAGGTCCTGCCAACCTCCTGCTGTTGTTGTGGTAGGACAACAAAAAGTTTGAAATGGACACAAAGCGGAAAAGTTCATGAGCTCTCCATTTTGTTTGGTGTCTCTGCCTCAGAGGTCCCTTCAGGTCTGTCCGGCTGAACAGCTGCTCCTGTCAGGAGAGTTGTTGACCTGCCAGACGGACGGACAGCCGAGGCTTCAACTTCCTCCCCGCCTCCTTTCCCTTATAAGCAGAGTGCTGTCAGGGGGGCTCACAACCTCCCCAACCTGTCCTGCCTGCTCTGCAGAGCTCTTCTGTCCTTTAACTCCTGTGGATCATGGCGACCGAGAGGGGAACTAAACAAAGTTTGTGCTCTTTCAGTGCAGGATCTTTTGCAGGATGCATGTTTGTAAAAGTGAATTATGCAAGAATCACTAGTCTTATTTTACGCATGATCCATGATGATATTACAGAAACATATTAGTGTGTGACTAAAATAGAGCCCCCCCCAGGGTCCTCTGTGGTTTGTACCCTGCGTATAAGGAGAAGAAGAAGTGGAGTATTTTCAGAGCAGTGATGCAGGGACACCTCCTGGTCCTCTCATGTATTACACCTTCATTTATTATGCTGCTGCTACTTCACTGGGTGGGAAACAGAGAAGAGGCAGTAGGAAAAAGGAAGGAGGCAGGGGAGGATGAGGAAAGGAAATGAGGAGGATAATGGGAATACAGCCGGCAGAGGAGGAAGGGTGTTAGGAAAGGAAAGAAGAGGGAATGATAAGGAAAGGAGAAGAGGGAAGGAAATAAGGTAGGACAGTAGGAAACAAGGTGGCAGGGAAGGAAACTGGGTGTTAGGGAAGGAAAGAAGAGGGTAGGTTACATAAGAAAAGGAAAAGAAGAGGGACAGTAGGAAACAAGGTGGCAGGGAAGGAAACTGGGTGTTAGGGAAGGAAAGAAGACGGTGGGTTACATAAGAAAAGGAAAAGAAGAGGGACAGTAGGAACCAAGGTGGCAGGGAAGGAAACTGGGTGTTAGGGAAGGAAAGAAGAGGGTAGGTTACATAAGAAAAGGAAAAGAAGAGGGACAGTAAACAAGGTGGCAGGGAAGGAAACTGGGTGTTAGGGAAGGAAAGAAGAGGGTAGGTTACATAAGAAAAGGAAAAGAAGAAGGACAGTAAACAAGGTGGCAGGGAAGGAAACTGGGTGTTAGGGAAGGAAGAAGAGGGTAGGTTACATAAGAAAAGGAAAAGAAGAAGGACAGTAAACAAGGTGGCAGGGAAGGAAACTGGGTGTTAGGGAAGGAAAGAAGAGGGTAGGTTACATAAGAAAAGGAAAAGAAGAGGGACAGTAGGAAACAAGGTGGCAGGGAAGGAAACGGGGTGTTAGGGAAGGAAAGAAGAGGGTAGGTTACATAAGAAAAGCAAAAGAAGAGGGACAGTAGGAAACAAGGTGGCAGAGAAGGAAACTGGGTGTTAGGGAAGGAAAGAAGAGGGTAGGTTACATAAGAAAAGGAAAAGAAGAGGGACAGTAGGAAACAAGGTGGCAGAAGGAAACTGGGTGTTAGGGAAGGAAAGAAGAGGGTAGGTTACATAAGAAAAGGAAAAGAAGAGGGACAGTAGGAAACAAGGTGGCAGAGAAGGAAACTGGGTGTTAGGGAAGGAAAGAAGAGGGTAGGTTACATAAGAAAAGCAAAAGAAGAGGGACAGTAGGAAACAAGGTGGCAGAGAAGGAAACTGGGTGTTAGGGAAGGAAAGAAGAGGGTAGGTTACATAAGAAAAGGAAAAGAAGAGGGTCAGTAAACAAGGTGGCAGAGAAGGAAACTGGGTGTTAGGGAAGGAAAGAAGAGGGTAGGTTACATAAGAAAAGGAAAAGAAGAGGGACAGTAGGAAACAAGGTGGCAGGGAAGGAAACTGGGTGTTAGGGAAGGAAAGAAGAGGGTAGGTTACATAAGAAAAGCAAAAGAAGAGGGACAGTAGGAAACAAGGTGGCAGGGAAGGAAAGTGGGTGTTAGGGAAGGAAAGAAGAGGGTAGGTTACATAAGAAAAGCAAAAGAAGAGGGACAGTAGGAAACAAGGTGGCAGGGAAGGAAACTGGGTGTTAGGGAAGGAAAGAAGAGGGTAGGTTACATAAGGAAAGCAAAAGAAGAGGGACAGTAGGAAACAAGGTGGCAGGGAAGGAAAGTTGGTGCTAGGCTGTGGCGGATTTGGTGGGGAGCCAACAGGGGCCAGCGCCCCTGTAACACAGACCTTGGACCCCCCTCTGACTGAAAAGTCTACAGTAATAATAGTAATATATCTTACTTGCGACGATATGCCGCTCATGTGAAAAAGGCGAAACAAATGTGTCTCAACTAGTCGGATCCTTTAGGACGTTACGCCGCCACTGTCCGGTGTCGCGCCAAGCTAGTTATCATCAATAGAAAGTGCCCCCCCTGCCGCCGGAGCGCACCTGCATTCAACGGACTTTTGTCTTCACGAAAGTAAATGGAAAATATAACATGTGGATTGTTTCATCTATCGTTTTAGTTTGGGTTTATCAGCGAGGTTTTTGCAGAGCGAGCCAGCACACGGACTATAAGAACGCTTTTATATGCTAACGTTACGTGTTGTTGAACTTAGTAGTTAGTAGTAGAACATAGTTTCCCTCGTAAAGCAAACTGATATTTCGCGATAGTCTGACGATGTTATAACTGACCACGGAGTCGATCACTTAGTCATCAAAGTTACTGATTGTAAGCTGGATCCAGACACACTGGCCCAATCCCAATGTCCCCCTACGCCCTAAACCCTGAACCCTCACAGACTTTACTGACGTCACCTGGTAAGTGACTGAGCGCGAGAGGCTGCGAGGGCTCAAAATGCTGTAAAAGAAGAAGTACGAAAGGTAAGACTGAGGAAGAAAGAGAACAGGAGGGAAGGAAGCAGGAAGTTAGACGAGGAGGTAGAGAAGGATTTAACCAACACCAGCAGGTTACAGATTAAAAGCGAGTTTATTGGATGTAATCCAGTACATATTATTGTTATTGTGGTTTTTCACTACTGCAGAAAAACATAGTAGAAGTAAAAGAATTTAAAGTTCATCAGACACATTAAATGTCGTGTATTAAAAACGTACAGACACAATAAACTAAAAATACAACACATATCAGAGTCTGTGTTAATAAGACCAAAAACAATCCCTTTAAAAAGTTATTTTCTTCATAGATTAAATGAGGATTCTTTAGCTTTTATTACTGTTTTAACATTTAGTTCACAGCCATCGATGTATTATTACAAAAATCCATCCTTTAGTAATAACATCCCTACGTAAGTCCCACACTTTAAATACTTCATCCATCCTTCCGTCTTCATGCTCCTGGTGCACAGCCTGGATGATCACCAGGCCCAGGGGCCAAACAGGACAGGCGGCCCCAAGGTAATATGGGTCAAAGCTCAGAATCTATCCCATCATGCTCTGCTGCCGGTTTATCTGTGGACTTCCGTCAGCACGGTGGACATGGCTGAGAGCGGTGTGGAGTAAGCGCAGGCCATGGTCTGTAGACCGGCCAGCAGGCAGCGCCAGCTGAAGCCCAGCGCCTTCCTGACGTTCTGACAGACACAGCAGAGGGCAAAAAAACAACAAGTTAAAGGTTCGGCTCCTTTACCCGCCACAGAGCAAATGGTTCCTGAGAAACCTGGTCTGCCTCCAGGTGAGTCGGCCTTTGTTTCAGCTTTAGAGTGACTGTTGTCGTCCTCAAGCTACATAAATGTTTGTCTAAGCAGCCAGCTGGCCGGCAGCAACAGGTAACTGTGCGCACCTGTCAGAGCGGGAAACCAAACTCTCCAATCTCCAAACACACGCTTCATACCTCAATGAAATTTTGGGTTTTTATTTTTTGCTGGGGATTATTGTTGTTGTTGTCCGTCTTGGTTTAATTACATCATTCTAACTTGCAGAAAACAGAAGTAAGATTCAAATAGTGAGTAATCACTGAAAAAGGTTCAGAATGAAGCCTAATTAAAACGATGAATGAAATAACCTGCTAGAAATACGAAGACGTTATACGCCGCTATCCCGCCCGGGGACGGGGACGGTGTGGTCTGAGGGACAGTCTCTGGTTCAGCCCAAGTATTTATAGTATTCATTAGAAATGAACAATCAAAGATGAAGCAGTGAAGGTGAAAAAAATCACCTTTTCTTTCGGCTACTAAATGCAATTTTCCAGAGCTAGTGCATGAAAATACAGCAATTACTAATTCTACTATTATTTTTGGTTTCATATGTGTAATTTCAACACGTTCTCATCCCAACTCGTCACGTATGGACGCTTAGTCGACACCCCCGTCACTTTAACGCTCTGGGTACCTGCGAGCTCCGAGGTCAGTTAGGAAGAATAAAAAAACCAACGTCTGCTTAGACTTTCAAAATAAACACCAAAGTCCGGTGTCTGACCCAGCTGTCCTCCTTACCCTGACATGTCAGTTATTTAAAATAGGCCTATTTTTAGCTTAAGGGCGCCATGTGCGTTGGTTTGACGGCCTGTGAATGGGCTGTTGGTTTGCTGGATTGACAGAAACGTCTACAAATGCAGCGTCACGTCTGAATTGCGTCTCCTCCACGTCTGGAAGCAAACCTGCGTCTTTGCTGCGTCACAAGTTTCAGGTAGAAAGTTTTCAACCTCTTCTTTATCTGTGTTGACCGCGTCAGGCTGATCCAGTGTGCCGGGGTCAAAGGTCACGCTCACACTGCTGAGTCAATGTTTAACAGCCTCAGGGATTCAAACCTGTGACTTCACCTGCAGCAAACAGGATGTTAAAATCCTCTCTGTCCAACCTGCCTAACAGTTAGTTTGGTTCATGTATCGATGAGTCGATTAGCTGAACTTATAACGCATGAAACAGAAACACAATGTGTCCCTCACACCTCCTCGGGTCTAAGGTCATCCTTACCTTCCTGTACTTCTTGTACTTCTTCTTCTTCTTCCTCTTCTTCTCCTCCTTCCTCTTCCTCCTCTCCTCTGGCGTCTCCTCCTCCTCCTCCTCCTCCTCTTCTTCGATCAGAGGTTCGTATTTATCCGGCAGGACGGAGAAAAACACTTCTTTGGATGTTTTCTGTTGCTTCTTCCCCGGCGAAGCAGCCGAGTCCTCCTCCTTTTCCTGCGCTCCCATCCCTCCTTCCTCCCTGTCTGTCGGGCTGACTTTCTTGTTTTCTCCTCTCGCCTCCTTGTTTTCAGGCAGGAGGACCTTTGGAGTGAGGAGGAGTCAAACTTTATTAGTAGCCTGAAGCTCATTGCAGACACAGGAAACTCTGAGCTTTGACATAAAACACACTAAAAGCAGGATTAGAAGAAGAATGTGGAGCTTTGGGTTTAGTTTCTTTTGTTGCCTGCTTGAAGTTGAAAACAGTTTTTAAAAGTTTTACTCACCTCGACAGCAGACGTTTGTGCCGAACCTTTGAGTTTAGAATAAACACTGAGACGCTGAGTCAACATCAAAAACTAGAAAAACATGTCGTGTAGAAAAAAAGACATTATTCAAAACTGTCAACAACTGAAAACGTTTGACTCCTTTTATTTTAAGTTAAGTAATTAAGTCTTGAATGGGAGTGAGCCCCATGATGCGATTTAAGGAAACAGTTAGCCTGGCTCTGGCTCTGGCTTGTTTGTTTAATCTCCAAGCAAACAGAAACGTAGCAAGAGTCTACACCAGTTCTGTGAGGCTGCACTGTATGCTAAAAACAACCATTTTCATCAGAAATAGGTTGCCAGGTTGGGTACAACACGGTACCAAAGAGACAAAAACCAAACCCTGTGCTCACCGAACGAATCTGGCTCCAGCAATACAGCTGGAGAAGCTGCACATGAGCACTGGGCGGGTGGCTGCGCTGTGAAACGGGCGCAATCCCACCAAACTTCATTAACTTTTATTCACATTTTAGGTAAATCTTGTTTTATACTACCAGGATTCAGTTTGTAAAAGCAGATAAAGGTAAAATATCAAGTAGGGCTGGGCGATACGGCCACAAAATGTCAAATCAATTGATATCAATAATTTTCAGGATAAATGTCAAATCATTATTTATTTCAGGCTGATTTTTGCTCCTGAGTAAAAGTTGAAGAAACCAGACGGATAGTTACTGATTTGTTTGTGATTCAAATGAATTAATTCAAACATTTATTGAACATTTGTTATTGAGGATAATTAGATCGCAGTAATTGCCCAGCCCTGTCCTCTGTGGCCAAAAGTATTAGGACACCCCTGTTCTGGTCTGGATGGGGCTTTTTAGGGTTTAGTCTTGTCACTTCCAGTATTGGGAACTCATAATGCTTCAGCGTAACAATTTTCTTCCAAAGGTTTGTGTTCCCTGTTTCAGCATGATAAAGCTTGAGTGCACAAAGCCGGCTCTATAAAGAAATAGTTTTCCCAATTTTGTGTCGAAGAACTTGACCTCAACCCCGTCCAACACATTTGAGATGAACTGGAACGCCATCCGTTTTGGACTTGACTAACTCAGGGAGTAAATCCCTGCAGCAGGTTCAACATCTGCTGGAAACACGGAAACCAGAAAGATCACATGTTCAGATGTCCGCATACTTATGGCCATGTGGGGTAAGTCATTTGAGAAAATTAAAAAACCACACACTAATTTCCGTGAAGTGATGACAGTGACTGTGAACGAGAAGAGCTGCAGACAGACACAAAGCCCGAGGCGTCTCATGTTTGCTTTTCTTTTTTCTGTTATTTCTTCTCAAGGTAGTAATAAGTGAAGCTCTGGCCGGCTTTGAGACTCGGAGGCAGAAGAGAAAGAAACAAGGACAGAGAGGATTAAGGAATAAAAACAATATCTCAGCATACCTGAGCTGCTCGCTCACAAACAACACATCAAATATATAATGCTTTGCAACAGGAAACGTGAATTGTTTCCTGTGCAACAAGCACTTAACACTTGTTAAGTGATCATAGTAAAAAAGACAAACATTACACATTTCGGCGGCTCTGATCGGACATTCAACCAGATGCAGAGGAAGGAAACAGTACGATTTACAGGATGGAGACAAATGTTTTTTTCCTTTATTGTTCAACTGTTTTTCGCTACATGACTTCTGATACCAGAAAAGCAAACTGGAAATAAATAGATAACGATAGATGTGGTGAAGCGTTTAAGCATTATTTGAGTGAACTTCCGGGAGGATTTAAACCCATAACCCTTTCACTGAACGCCTCACAGCTTTTACAGTTTAAGCCTTAAAAACGGAATTTACATTAATTTTTGTGTTTTTGTGCGTCTGTGTGTGTCTACAAGTAGTGTGTAGCTCCAGCAGTCGGCAGTCCAGGGCTTCATGATGCATCATGGGATTTTGATGACTTCTGACCCTGAAGAAACACAGAGATGAAAAGAAGAAGTGAGTTAGCACCATCATAAACATGATCAGGGTTGTTGATTGATACACCAATGACTGATCAATTTCTCAGTTACTGAAATCTCTGCTATGGAACAAAAACTCCTCTTTGACCTCAGAATATTGACTTGGGACTTGTAGATCTCCTCTTGGGACCTGATATTGGACTTGTTAGTCTTGATTCAAGACCTGATGCTGGACCTGACTTGAGGCTTTGTTGCAAGTGTCATTGCTAGTTTCCAGCCGACGCCAGGCACGCCGTTGTTTAAATAACAAATGCACTTGCGCCCATCTGTGCACCCATGGGAGTGTTGGCTTAAAATGAGGTGTAGTAAGGCAACTTGTCGGCGCATTGCTATCTTGAGGCAGCAGAAAGTGATAGCGCCATTGAACGAAAAGAAACGTGTCTAAAGACAACTGCGCAGCATTTGACTGTTTTTTATTATTTAAGGGCGCATTACCTCCAAAGGTAAGAGAGACACTGTGCGCATTTAGGCACGAGGCACAGCAACATTACTTCAATGATGATTCAAATCTCCTAACACGCCAACAGGATTGGTCAGGGTTAATGTTAATTCATGTTCTGTGTTCTCCGCATCCAAAAGGTCTCACACACAGTCCAGGTTCATACAGAGAAACTGAAGTAAAACAGCCGTCCTGCTGATCACTCCTGAGCTCCATCAGAGAGTCTAAATTGTTTCAGAAGCTATAAGTTGAATTCTGTTTCCTCTGGAGGGTTTCCTGTCCTTTGGTTTGCTGTTTAAATGCATCATGATACAGTATTTGCTGTGACTTTACTGCACATAGAAACTGACAGCAGCCTCTCTGATCATTTATGTAAACCGTCATACAGCAACAAAGCACAAAATAAGGAAACCACTGTAGGGGAGAGATGTGACCCTCGACCGGTTCATCATAGTTTCTAATAACGCAGCGCAGTGAGGATCCAGACGTTTCACAGAGGAGATGGCGTCTGTCTGTTAACAGACTGGAGTTCAGACACGTCACTGATAAGCCACAGAGGAACATCAGAGACAGTACAAGAAAGTACAAGCACACCTGGCTTTTAAAGGGAATGGGAAATGACAATCAGACTGGCTTATTGCATGTTACGCCCAAAACACAGCCACAACTAATTCACAGACTCACTACAACCCCTATGAACAATGCGCCCCTCGCTCTGACCACTTTTTCAGTTGGACACGCCCCAAACGCCACTGCTCCACCCGTTTCACGCCGTGCACTTAGATTGTTAAAATGGGGCCCAAAGTCTTTAAAACATCAATCAATACGTGACTGAAAAACAGAAGACCAACCGATTGAGTAACAAAGTGAAGAAATCTGACTACTAAATGAGTTAACTGTTTTATATAACAGGAAGTTAAAGTGGATCAAACTGATCAACATCTAAATGAATCGAAACGACACTGATGGGAAAATTAAAGTTGACTCACTGAGGTCTGACCACACGCACACACGCTGGCTATTTGAAATGTCAAGTCACAGTATGTTCAGAAACGTGATGCCTCTGACAGGAAGTGTGTGTCCTGTGTGTGTTTCGCTGTGTGTGTTTTGTGCTTCTGTGTGTGTGTGGAGTGATAACAGGAATTTGGTTTTAGTGGTTTGTATTCATTCAGCCTTTAGTTTCGTTTGTGTTCAGAGCGAGTGAAGTTACTGACCTGAAACACTAAACCAACCGACTCTACTGGCACTCAGACTGTGTCAACACATCAAGTTTACTGGCTTACTACTACATTTAGCTGTCAAAATACTTTTGTAACAACCTTAATGCACATCAAACTTTCATTAAAATGTATTGGAAGGACTCAAATGTGACCAATGTAAAAACTCAAATCTCCATCAAGTCATTTCTGTCTGTAACTGAGTCTTAAAACGCTGATGTTGTCCTAAGACAGAACTTGAGGCCTTTTCTTAATTCGGAGTACGTTTAAACTTGTTGCCTTTGGAACCTGATTTAATTTAACTTTTTGATGTAAGTTTATATTAGGAAAAGACTTTTTTTTTGTGTGTGTCAAATACCACGATTTCAGGTCAAAACATTAGGATTGTGCCACAATTTAAGTATTTGGGCGTTACTATTGATTCTAATATTTCTTTTAAAGCACATATTGAGAAATTGTGCAATAGGGTAAAGTTTAGCTTAGCTAATTTTAGATATACTCGAAATGCACTTACTTTTAATGCTGCAAAATTATTCATGGATACGATGATTGCGTCACATCTAACATATTGTTTGACAAGTTGGGGCCAAACTAATAGCTCATCACTAAAGCCACTAGCAACTCTTTACAAAAAAACTCTTAAAGTTCTGGACCAGAAGCCTAATAGTTCACATCATTGTATTATCCTTAATAATCATAAACTGTTGAGCTGGGAAGACATAATCAAATACAAAAACATTTGTTTGGTCTACAAAATTTTGCATAATATTGCTCCTGCTCCTTTTAACCCATTCATAATTCAACGTAATAATAGCAGTCAGACTACCAGAAGCACCACAAGAGGTGATCTTCTAATCCCATTTAGGAAAAGTACATTTGGTCAATTATTATTTTTTGTTAAAGCAATACAAAACTGGAACTCACTGCCCACCACAATTAAAGACATACATACGTATTCCACCTTTACTACATACCTTAAAAACTGGCTGTCCGACAATTACAACTGTACACATTAATTTGATTGTTGTGATATGTATTTGATGTGAGGGCAGACTTTTTTTCCCTTTCCAAGTATCAACAAGGATGTTTGTTTGCGTTCAGCTGCCCAGTTCTACACCTGCGCAGTGTGAACCACAGTCGCTCTCGCGCATCAGTGTTATGTGACCAGCTGCGCAGTAATAACATTACTTTTCACAGTGAGGAGTAGTGTAATGGATTACTATTTCCAAAACAGGTATATTATTACAGTTACTATTCCCAGTAACGCTCCGTTACCGCGCTACTGAACGCACCATTCCTGACGTGAATGATGTGCTGCAGGTCAGGGCACCGGCCCTCATGTTGTTTAAGTCAGCTGTTAGCCAAAAAGCTAAATGAAGAAAGGACAACGAGAGAGAGAGGCGGTTTAGTCTCCAAGACTACTGGGTTAGGTTTAGGTTCCAAGACTACTGGGTTAGGTTTAGGTTCCAAGACTACTGGGTTAGGTTTAGTCTCCAAGACTACTGGGTTAGGTTTAGGTTCCAAGACTACTGGGTTAGGTTTAGGTTCCAAGACTACTGGGTTAGGTTTAGGTTCCAAGACTACTGGGTTACGTTTAGGTTCCAAGACTACTGGGTTACGTTTAGGTTCCAAGACTACTGGGTTAGACTACTGGCTCAGGTTTAGGCAACAAGACTACTGGGTCATGTTTATGGCAACAAACGAACACCGTTTTTTGTCCCTCCCATCCACCCTAACCACCTCCTTACTCTGACTTATATGTTATTTATAGTTGTAGTTTATCGTTGGACGATGGTGCTTGAACCTTGACACGAAAGGATGACATGTGCGTTGGTACCAGACGCAGAAAGATGTGACAAAGCATAGCTATTAAACGCTCTGGTAAAATAAGGGGCTGGTCAAGCTGCTTTATCAACTTCTGAACACTTACATTTATTCATTTAGCTGACGCTTTTATCCAAAGCAACTTACAATTGCTATGTATGTCAGAGGTCGCACGCCTCTGGAGCAACTCAGGGACACAATGTTGGATGGGTCACAGTGGGGGATTGAACCCGGGTCTCCCACACCAAAGGCAGGCATCTTATCTATGCACCATCACCACCCCAAGAAATATAGCTGGCTGTTGGAGGAAACTGGTTTACTGAACAGCAGCTGCAGTGCGTGGTCCAGCAGCCTGCTGACATTTATTCGTTTATATTTTATTCCTTAATGAAAAAGGTCAATTCTTCTTTTTGATGGTTACTTTTTATGTACTTGTAGACTAGTTTTCATTTGTGTCAAGAACATTTCTCGCCACAGCAGGATGTTGTTTTTGCCTCGGACAGCAGCCTACCTGAGCCCCACTTATGTTAAGACTGTCAACATATTTAGTAAATAGAAAGTTCTCTCTCCATTTTTGGGACGATATGAAGAGTTTCTTACGTTTGTGTCGGGCAGATTGACGGTCAGCCCAGCCGCGGTCCTTGTGCTCAGGCTGAGCTTCTTCTTCCACAGATAATAAAACTCCACACACTGAGACAGGGACTTCGTCTGAACCTGAACACACAACAACGAGTTACACCTGAAGAGAAACACGCTGAGCGGATGTTTCAACAGTTTCAGAAACTCACGGCACTCTGGACTCTGCTGAAGTCTTTATGATGGAGCTGCAGGGATTTAACCAGCGACCCCCTCTCCGCTTCGCTCCACCTGGCACCTACAACACATATGTAATGTAATTCACATTAGTAAGTCTTAATTTGTGTCTGTGTTTCATCAAAGATTCTGTTTGTTGCTGGTATAAAAGAGAATATACTTGGATACTGTTGAGCTGTGTGGTGGTTGTTGGATGTTTCAGGAGCTGACAGCAGCTTCTCCACCGTCAGCTGTAAGACAAAAACAAAACATGACCTCAGTGCCAATGCGGCCAGTTTTGATTTGGAAAGCTAATCAAACAGGAAGGTGGAACACCACCCCAAGCTAACGCTTTACTTTACTCGTTATGTGGAGGCAACAAACAGCGTTTCTACAGCAGCCTGCCTCAGTGGTAGAACCCTTTATTCAGAAAGAAGCAACTTTGATTCTGTTAGTTTCTTAAGAATAATTCCATTTTTTAAATTCGCAATGTCGCATTGTCAAGAAAGAAATGCTGCTTAGCCAAACCTCGTTCTCACTGCAGAGTCATCACAAAACATGGTCAAGACCCCTGGGCGTCAGTTTGTATTGCACTGGGAAACCCTGTAGCGTCATTTCTGAACACTCCAAGAAAGTCCAAGTTAGGATTGGGGTGGACGGTGGGCCAGAGACCGGACTTTCACCAAGGAGACTGGTGTTCCTGTCCCGTGTGAAATAAAAAGTCAACAATGACTTTTTTACTTAAGTAATGTTACTTACTTTTAACCCAAACCAAGATCTTTTCCTAAACCGAACCAAGGCGTTTTGGTGCCTAAACCTAACCAAATTGCGACGTTTCATAACGTGAACCAGTAGTTTAGTAAGGAAGTCTAAGTTAGGGTTGCCAACTGTCCGTTATATTAAGCCTAGCAGCGATATCGATGACCCGGGCCAACGACCCCACTGAGGTTAAATAGCTGAGTTTCCCTGCCAGTCAGTCAGAACTGAAGAAGTCCTGTAGAAGTCTAAGTACACGTTAAGTAACGTTAAATCCAGCTATTGTGGAAATTGACAAAAAAGCGGCAAGTGAAGCCTCGTAGTGTATCACAGTGTCAAACATGGACTTCAGCACCGACTGCCTTGTTAAGCTAAACGGTGCGTTGTTTCATGACTCAAATGTTGTGAAGATGATGCATTTTGTTATGAAATTTGAGATGATCACAATGGATGTTATAGGGCCAAAGACTGTGCGGGATATCCTGAAGGATCTATCCCCCGGAGGTGAGCCTGTGCTTTACGTTTAGCAGGACGCTTTTTGTCCCTTATTTCTTTGTGACAAAGTTGGCAACACTAGTCTAAATGAACATTGAATATTTATTGCTAACTTGACCGCGGAGCCCTACACGTCCAGAAACTACGCTAAAGGGTACCCAGGGTGTTAAATAGCGACGCCAAAGGGTCTTGACCAAGCGTCCCTGTGTGAGGAGTTCGGAGAGAGAATGTGTTGGTTAGCCTGGATTTGATGAAGGAACCGTTTGATAAATACTCTTATGCTCTGTGTTCAGCTTGGCATGAAGACAGGAAGCAGTGGAAAACAGCGGCTCTGTCCAAAGTTCAGCTTCTAAACTCAGGAATTAAGGCGTTGTGTCTTGTTTTCTACTCTGAGCAGACAAAACAAGCAGCAGTGTAAAAACCACAGTCTGTGGTTTCAGGGGAGTTGTGTGCTGGGCTGTTTCGTGTTGAACAAGATGATGTGACTATGTGTAACTTCCTGAAGGCTTGTCATCACAGTGAGGTTGTCAGACCAAAACCAACAATTTCCCAAAATGCTGAATGACTTATTTAAAGACAAACGTTGCGGTGAAGGTGGAAATATTGGTATGGAATATATTTCCATATGGAATATGAAATATTTATAGTTTATTGTTAACTGAAGATCTGAATGTGGATCGTCGTCGTCACGTGACGGCTGATCAGACACACAAATATAATCAGACGCTGGTTTTAAAAGAGAGTTGTTATTTTCTAAATAATCCTGAATCTGTCCAAACAGCAAATGAGATTTTACCAGGAAGTCTCCTCTGCACTCTGACAGGACGTGGAGGGCCGACTCTGGGCTGGCCCCGCCCCCTGGCACCACGCTGGAGCGAGCCATCATCAACAGAGCTTCAACTGGACAAACAACGTGTCGATCAATAAATCATCCAATCATCATCATGGTTATAACAACGAGAACATTTCTCTCCGTGAGTGCGTACCTCTCAGCTGATTGACAGGACGCTCCAGCTCTTCCCACGGCGTCCACAGCAGCACGGCATTGTGGGAATCGGAGCTGGCATGTTTTTGGTCCAGCAGAGGTGGGATTTCAGCCTGGAAGCTCCGCCCTTTATTGATCTGCCTGTGATTGACAGATCCGTGTGAACAGGTGATCACACAGCGACATCAGTGCAAAAACTGTGTGAGTGATTCGTTAAGAGGAAAATTTTTACGTACGGCTTAATGATTCCAGGAGGAGGAGAGGCTGTCTCCATGGCAACCAGATCATCTGCCAACCAGAGACACAAATTTTACCATCACGTGCCGGCCAATCAGCAGAGGAAGCTGTTTAATTGTTCAATTAAAGTCCCACATTGCTCAGTTCAGCACAATGTTTTTATTCTAACAGTAAATATAAAATTATTGCTGTGGATTATCGACCATTTTAGATGTAATAATCGATTATAGCGTTACGTATCCTGGATAAGCATACATGGTCAATGATGGGGTTTTTCAAGAGAAAACATCGCAGGTATCAAGGGGTAGGACATTTGAAAGTATAACAACAAACTCGTCCATGCTCTGTGGTACTGGAGACGCCGGGGTACACAGCGAGAGAGGGGTGTGTCATAACAAAGGTCACTGGCTGGAATCGAACCGGCGGTTAACTCTTGTTGTTAGCGTCGGTGTCACTCTGTGATACCGACGCTTCATATAAAACTTGACACTGCGTGGAGAAAAGAAAGCGATCGATCCGAACTCCTTTCAGAAAACAAACATTTTAGAAGTTGTTGTCCTGCTGACAGACCTGACAAAGCATGAATTCATATGTTTAACAAATCGGCATCATGTTGTCGTTATTTCGGCATCAGTTTGATCCGTTTATTGCTATCCATTAAACTGACATTAAATCATCAGTATGTTCGACACATTTGTATCGGTGATGAACGCGGCGGCCTCTAGGTGTCAGGATGATGTCATTAATGACGTGGTGACTTACTGTGTGTGTTGTGAAGCTTTACGGTCTGCACTCTCTGCTGCCTCCTGGTGGTGAGGGAGCAGTACAACCCTGGCCCCGCCCTGAAGGGACACAGCATGGGCGGAGGGGTGTAGTGCACACCACCGACACCATCACCCCCGGCAGCAGCTTCCTCACCATCACCCGCTCTGCTCTCGGCCCCATCTCCCTTAGCAGTCCCTTCCTCTTCTTCTTGGCGTAACAGGCTGCGGTAGAGCACAGCGCCCCCGGTGGCTGGAGAGAGGCGACTGCTTCGCCTCTGCGCCCCTTTACACGCCTTGGCCGGGCCTTTGGGTTGGACGGGGACGGAGACAGGCAACACCATCACTGGGGAAGGGTCCTCACCCTGGAGAAAAGGGTAAGAATAGCGTTATTATGTCGCTTTGGATAAAAGCGTCACCTAAATGAATAAATTCAAATTAGCGGAGGGCTAAACCCAGAAGTTAGCCCTTGTTGGCAGAAGTCTCTAGTGCGCCTGCTCCTGTGGAGCATACCCGGTATTATTTTACCCAGACAACACATTCTCACTCCCAGCTCATCACATATGGACGCTTGGTCAGGACCCCTTGGCGTGCCTTTTTAACACCCTTTTACCAACAATAAAAATGCAACATCCGGTTAGACTTTCAAAATAAAAGTGCTCGTTAACTTTGTGAAACGTTGCAATTTTGAAATGGGACGTTGTGAAACGTTGGAATTGCTTAGTTTTAGGCACCAAAAGCACTTGGTTTGTTTAGGAAAAGATCATGGTTTGGATTAACATAACCACGTTTATGAAACTTCACTAACAATGTTGACTTTTTGTTTCACACTGGAAACTATCTCCGCTGTCCTGGTTGAACGTCCGGCCCACCATCCACCTCCTTACTCTGACTTTTCTGTTAAATATCCTACACCCGCCTTAACCGTTCAAAAGCGATGCCACTGGCCTTCCCCCAATGTGTTGAACTATGGCGCTAAGGGGCACCCTAGTGTGTTACAAACTGGCGCCAACGGGTCTTGACGACACGCCCATATGTGACGACTTGGGAGTGTTTTTAGGCTTTGTGCGCCACTGAGAGGCTTTTGTGGGAATGAACGGAGCCCCGCCTCCAACGCTACATCCAGTTCTCTTTGTACACCAGGGCGCCTCGTCCATCCGCCGCTGCTTAGCTTAGCTTGGAAAATAGCAATAGCGTTTGTTTCTGGGGGCCCGGTACAACTTTAATACCTTTATTCACTGATTCTGGTGAACTGGATCATATTTTATGGAGATTATAGATGGACAGATAGTTTTAAAGTTACCGCTTACTGCTGCTAACTGTAGCTGGCATAAGCTAGTTAGCTCAGTTAGCTGTGCAGCTAGTGGCCCTTTTAGTGTTTACACGGCCGCCGGGAGGAGGAGGTGGTTTTCAGGCCGAAAGTAGAAATAAATGTTGGAAAGCTAGTATTCAGAGCAGGCTGAAGCCCGAGCATTACAGGAATTACTTTTCCGTTTACTTCATCGTTTGTCCAATGTTAGACTTTAGTTACATGACAGAAAACGTCGGGGTTGTTGTGTTGCCATTGTGGGTAATCCAGCCAAGACTCTAGGAATAATTGCAAGAGTTATTTTGGACCTTTTTCAACCATGTAGCCGATCTGGAGCCGCTGTGGGAGCGCATGTGTCCGTTCAGCGCTGGCAGACTCCTGAAATCCCGCTTACACACCATACACAGCAGCCTGTAGCACACAGCAGATAGATTAGTGGTGCTGTAAACGGACACTGCCACATGCTGAGAGGCAAACATCCCATTCATTCATCTTACCTGCACTCTTGACTCTCAGCGCTGCTTTCAGGCTGCAGACGTTTAATCTGAAAACAAACAGAAAAGATTTAAATCAGTTTGAAAAATAAAATTTAAGAATGTAATGTTTTGTTTGATGAAACATTTCATTATGCACTTATGTATTGTACACTTAGTATTTACACATTTAATTACACAGATACTTAATTATGCAGCCATTTACTGACTTATTCACAGTTGCACACTTATTTACCCCTCACTTATTTGCCTATTGAAATATTTAGATACTTATTTATACAGTTAATTGCATACTTACTTTTATCATATGCACTTTTTTGCATACTTACATATTTATGCGTTCCCTTAATATTTTATTTGCGAACTCATTTTCAAATTAACTTAGTATGTTCGGTTTATCATACACACCCAGGTCCAGTCTGGTTGAGTATCTCCTCCTCCTCCTCCTCCTCCTCTTCTTCCTCGTCCTCGTCCTCCTACGCCTCCTCGTCCTCCTCTTCCTCCTCTTCCTCCTCCTCCTCCTCTTCCTCCTCCTCCTCCACACTCCTCCCTCCAGCTCAGCCCAGCAGGGAGGCCTGGAGACTGGGCAGCGCTGCTGACATCCTGGCCTCTTCCCTGTGGAGAGAAAACGTTCTCAGCGCTCCCGGTGGTGTTGAGGAGGTCCGTCTGGTCCTGGATCAGCTCTCTTTGGGCCTGGAGGAGGTGTCTGCCGGTCTGATGCGGGTGGTGCTGACCCGGGTCAGACATCATAGGGTAGCTGTCAAACTCTTGCAGACAGCAGCTGAGGGCCTCCTTTGTGTTCAGCTGTCTGGACGTTTGTGTGTGAAGATCCGGTCGCTCTTCCCTGGGATGCATTTGAGGATCCGGGCTGGAGATTGTTGGGGTTTGTGGGTAGTGAGGACTCGGACCAGGGGTCGTGGGGCTACAAAATGGCTGGGTGGCGTTGTTATCGTGGCAGCTGTCGTGGAAATACTGGCTGCTGGAGAAGTCTTCAACAGACGATGAGCTGAACTCCACAGAACTCCATCTCCCCAGGGCGACTTCTCCAGACATGGAGCCCAGTGAAGAGCACTGCAGCTGGGACAGAGTGGGCCCCAGAGGCCTCCAGGTGTCCTGAACTGGACCAGGGGTGTCTCCCTGTCCGTACAGCCCACTGGCAACGAGTGTGTGAGTGTTATAGGGATGTCTGCATGTGTTCTCCGGTTCATCTCTGTGGTGAGCCACATGGTTACTGAAGTGGTTCTGGTTCTGGAGGTGGGCGGTGGTCTGGTTCTGTTTCAAATCGGATACAGACAGATCAGTCAGCAACATGTGGCATTTATGGTTCTGATGTTTGATGGAGGAGAAAAGACCTTACCTGGTGGGAGTAACTGTAGCTCTTGAGCAGTAGGAAAGTTCTGAATCTGGTTCAGATCTGCTCCAATTTGGATTATCTAAACCTTGACCATGGTTTGGGTTGCAAAGCTGGTGCTGGGTCTGGGGTACAAAGTGAGGGGAGGTCACGTGGGGAGGAGGGAAGTGAGGGGAGGTTACTTGGTGCTGATGGAGGTGAGGTGGGTCTGGGGTTCAAGATGAGGGGAAGTCACGTGGGGAGGAGGGAAGTGAGGGGAGGTTACTTGGTGCTGATGGAGGTGAGGTGAGGATACCTGGGTCTGGGGTTCAAGATGAGGGGAAGTCACGTGGGGATGAGGGAAGTGAGGGGAGGTTACTTGGTGCTGATGGAGGTGAGGCGAGGATACCTGGGTCTGGGGTTCAAGATGAGGGGAAGTCACGTGGGGATGAGGGAAGTGAGGGGAGGTTACTTGGTGCTGATGGAGGTGAGGCGAGGATACCTGGGTCTGGGGTTCAAGATGAGGGGAAGTCACGTGGGGATGAGGGAAGTGAGGGGAGGTTACTTGGTGCTGATGGAGGTGAGGCGAGGATACCTGGGTCTGGGGTTCAAGATGAGGGGAGTCACGTGAGGATGAGGGAAGTGAGGGGAGGTTACTTGGTGCTGATGGAGGTGAGGCGAGGATACCTGGGTCTGGGGTTCAAGATGAGGGGAGGTCACGTGGGGAGGAGGGAAGTGAGGGGAGGTTACTTGGTGCTGATGGAGGTGAGGCGAGGATACCTGGGTCTGGGGTTCAAGATGAGGGGAGGTCACGTGGGATGAGGGAAGTGAGGCGAGGTTACTTGGTGCTGATGGAGGTGAGGCGAGGATACCTGGGTCTGGGGTTCAAGATGAGGGGAAGTCACGTGGGGATGAGGGAAGGTTGGGGAGGTTACCTGGCGATGTGGGTGGTGATTAGGTGCTTGGGTCTGAGGTATGAGGTGATAGGAGGGTACCTAGGGGGGAGGAGGAGGAAGTGCACAAACAAGTAAATAAGAACGTTCTCACATCTCAAAGTGTGTGAATTGGTGAGGAAAATGGTGAGAACCTTAGCGTGAGGGTTTCCATTGTTCCTGGGTGACGAGGGGGAGGCGAGCGGAGAAGGTGAAGCGATGAAAGGCGACGCCTGGGACAGAGAGGAGTGATGGACAATGGAAGGAGAGGACGAGGAAAATGGCCACAAGTCAGACATGATGTCACGCACGCACACACCTGTTAACACTGAGGCCGTGTGTGTGCATGTGCATGGTCATGTGTGTGATATCCGGAGGGCGTCTTCATATGAATCTGACGATCTGCAGAACGACACAAAGGAAGACGTTGGTGACACTGATGAGCTGCTGTGATAGTGCACCGTTATCGTCTCTACGTGGACGCCTGGGTTTCGTTATTGTCTCAGAGAAGTGGAAAACTTCAAACAGCTGTTCAGTGACGTGTTTCTGCCCTGCCAGAGAAGGAGGCGGGCTTTGTAGACCCACAAACCTAAAGGCCAGAGGAAGCCTGAACGTTTTTCATTGGAATGAATGAGGTGCCATCTTGGACAGCCCTTTCTCGCTCCCCGACTCATCATATATGGACGCATGTTCAAGACCCATCGGCGTCAGTTTGTGACGCACTGGGGATCCCTAGCGTCATAGTTCAACGCAGTGGTGGAACCCCTGTAGCGTCCATTTGTGACGGTAAAGGCAGGTATATGATATTTAACAGAAAAGACTGAGTAAAGAGGCAGATGGAGGGCCAGAACCTGGACTTTGAACCAGGAGACCGGGGTTCGTGTCCCAGGTGAAACAAAAAGTCAACATTAAATATTTTTATTTAAGTTAAGTTTTAAGATGAGTTACGAAAGTAAGTAAGTTAATTTACGTGTTAACCGACCTTTGTAGTTATTTTAACCCAAACCATGATCTTTTCCTAACCTTAAGTAGTTTTGTTGCCTAAACCTAACCAAACTGCAACATTTCATGACTTTAATAAAGCACCGTTTCAAAATGCCGATGTTTCGAAAACGCTAGCGTTTTATTTTGAAAGTCTAACCGGACGTTGCATATTTAATGTCGCTAACTTAACCGCGGAGCCCTGAACGTCAATAAATGACGCAAAAGCTGTACCCAGGTCGCTAAAAGGCGACGGCAAAGGGCCTTGACCAAGCGTCAATATGTGATGAGTCAGGAGTGAGAAGGTGTTGTCTTGGAACATGATCACTTTTAATACCTTCATGGTCAAGACGCCACCGGTGTGAAGGCTTACATATAAAAAACTGTGCAGCTGTTTTTACCAACCTGTTCTCATCTCAACTCGTCACATATGGACACTTTGTCAAGACCCCATGGTGTCGCTTTAAACACCCTAGGTACCCTTTAACCTCGTTTTTGTACGTGTAGGGCTCAGCTGTGAACTTAGCAAGAATACGTACGTACCGTCTGGTTAACGTTGGTTAATATTGTAAAATGTCGCAGTTTGGTTAGATTTCAGAACCAAAACTTCTTGGTTAAGTTTAGGAAAGGATCATAGTTTAGGGTTGAAATAACTACGTATGTTAAGTAACGCTACAGTTGACGATGGATGGAAGTAACACTACTTTCATAACATCATTAAAAGGAATCAAAAGCCATGTTTCCATCTAATTGACATGCAAATTTTAAGCGTACTTTTGAAATGTCGCGAAAAATGTGAGGTTCCATCAGCTGGTTTGGAGCGACTGGCTGCGGCAAGCGTAGTTATGTCAGTAGTTGACGTTACACATGGCTGTAATAAACAAGACGTATGGGTTCCAAACCAGAAACAAAACCAGTCGCATGAACCTGAGGGCCACTGATCTGAGAAAAATGGAGAGAGGTCCTCAGGAATGTGTTTCAAGCGGGCAAGTTGCTACCAACCATGTCTCCGCACGTTATGGGAATATCCGGTGTTATGCCGAGTTTTGCATGCACCTCCAAATAATGCTTTTACGTTCAGTCATTAATATTTTATTACACTCAGTAGAAGTAGCATTCACTGAGATTCAGGAAAAATATGTGTTGATAACCCCGTTTGATCAGTGTGCAGAGCAAAGTACCTGAAAAGGACCTTTAAGAGGTGACTGCATAATTCGGCAGAACAGATGATGAAGGCTACCTGCCCAGATTTGCGTCCACCTCTTTTCTCAGCACAGATGAGCGTTACCAGCCGCGAGGGGAAGGAAATTCTCGGCAGGCGTGCAGAACTCTGCACAACCGGGCAAGACGCCGACAGCAGAAACAGCAGTTCTCTACGTCAGAAATTATTCAGAAAAAGTGGCGTGAAAGGGCGCCATGTGCGTCGGTACCCACCATTCAATTTCTTTTAAATTCTTGGCGGACAAGGGCTTCCATACAATTCAAATCAATCTATCTGCTTCAGTATAAAGACTGTCAAGTCGTTGTGAATGTGAATTTTAATTCTGACTATTCTTGACCTCAGTCGGTCCGGTTTGTAAATGGTCACCCGTGGTTACAGCACGTTCTCACTCCCAACTCGTCACAAAAGGACGCTCGGTCAAGACCCCTTGGCGTCGCTTTTTAACGCCCTGGGTACCCTTTGCCGTTGTTTTTCGGTATCTTGGGCTCAGCGGTCAAGTCAGTAACAATAAATATGCAAAGTCCAGTCAGACTTTCAAAATAAAACTAGTGGTTAACATTGTGAAAGGTCTGAATTTGGGTGGGTATAGGCACCAAAAACTACTTGGTTAGGTTTAGGAAAACTACATGGTTTGGGTTAAAATAACTATGTTACTTACGTGACTTAACTTTTACGTAAGTTAAGTACCGTTACTTAACTAAAACTAATCACTGTTAACTTTTTGATTCACACAGGAAACAGACACCAGTCTCAACCTGGCCCAGCCGCCTCCTGACTCTGACTTTTCTGTTATTTATATCCTACACCTACATTTAGTGTTCAAAAAGGGGCTTCACTCAGTGCGTTACAAACTGACCCCGCGAGGTCTTGACCATGCGTCTGTATGTGAGGACTTGGGAGTGAGAACCGGTAAAGCACCTCTCCAGTTTTAATTACCGCCTAAACTTACTGCTCATTAGAGGACGACTTTTTTAACTTTAACGACAGGAAATTGTGACACATACAACCGCTCCTTGGTTTCCATGAGTTTTTATTTTTTTTTAATTAATGTTCCGGGCGCTACTGTGTTTTAACCGGTGTCATTGGGTTACATGTGTTTAGTAAAATGTTTGACTGGAAATATAGATCTTTTTTTACTTACATGCATAGAAACCGCAGCTATAGCTACAGCAGCTGTATGTGTCTGTATGACTAAGTGTGAACGTGTGATAACAGGACACTTCTAAGAATTCACACCCTCAGACGATTAAAGCTCAACTTCTCTTAAAGTGGCAATGTCAAGTGTCAGATTACAAGATTATCTATTTTCTTATAGTTATTTTCCCTCATTCATAAACAATCAATGAGCAGATGGGGGACAGAATCCCTTTTTTAAATGTTTATATAAACCAGTGGTCATTTCCTCTTTAACCTGAATATAAGATGGTTATCATTTAAACCATAACATTAAAAATTCATAATAACGGTGTAGGTAGAACTTTTATAGGGTCGTAGCTGGTAAATAAAAGCACAAACTGTGTAAAACAATCAGAGAGCAGCAGCAGCAGCACTGATCTAACATCAACCTTTAGTTTGAAATGTAAATGTAAATGAAATAACCTCTCACCTGAAACATCGGCTCCGACTGACTGACTCTGACTGTGTGTGTGTATGTGTGTGTTTCTGTGTGTTGTCAGGATGTGGTCACGAGTTCTTCCTCTCGCTCGCTGTCTCTTCAGACTCTTTGCTTCTTCCTGTGATGATGCTTTCAGAGGATCAATTAAAAACACGACACATTTATTATCCGAAACGAAGAGTTTAAACTAAATACAAACGCACACAACTAAATTAATAATGTGTTTAATGTAAAAATGTTTCTGTATTTTGTTTTATCAAAAAAAAAGCTGTTTAAAAAAGATTTAAAACAGAAGTGTTAAAATAAATGTGTGTTTTATAATAACTTGATCTTCCAAAATCAGAATCAGCTTCATTGCCAAGTAGTTTTACACGTACACTGAATTTGCTTTGGTGACTTGGTGCATAACAATAAATGTCCATCCATCCATCCATCTTCATCTGCTTATCCGGGGTCAGATAACAACAAGTAACAATAAATATAAAATACATAAATATAAAAATATGAAATTAACAAGATATACAAAATATTAAACAATAATAAGGACTATGTGCAATTTGGCAGTTAGGCCATTACAGATTTTCACCATAAAACAGGAGGTTTGTCACCTTCAGTTGAAACTTGCTGAAATTTATCTATTGAGAAATTACAACAATGTGGAAATAAGTTAAATTGATCATTTAACAATTATTAGATCTAACAGAAATCTGGCTTTTAATTTAATTTAAAGACCAGCCATATTTTTGTTTAGTTTTTAATCTACATAAGCTCTATTCTTGATATTTATTTGTTTATACATCATTTTTGTCTTTTGTTTTCTACCCCGACAACACATCCCTGATATGCTAATTAAATAGTTTCTATATCGATTGTTGTTTGTAAGCACATTTTCCGTGGGGTAGGAACCTTTGTCAGGAATCCCAGTGCAGCACGGTGCTTTCACTGTGTGGGACCGAGGTCAGAGCCAGGAGTGAAGTTGCACACGATCAAACCGGAAATGTGTCAGTTTTAAGCGATTATACCCATCAGAATAAAAGCAGAATAAGACTCGCTTTTTCCTGTTGTCCAATTCAAATTAAAAAAATCAAATAATATAAAGTAATTAAATAAAATTTAAAAGACGTGTATTTAGAAAAGTTCCTCCTTGTATTAAATCTTATTTTTGATCAGTTTCTCTCTAAGAATGTGTGTCTACAGTTCAATCCTAAGTTGTAGAATAATTGTAGTACACTCAGGGCAAACTTTATAAATACTGAACTCACGAATTCCGACAACACAACATCATCTCGCTGAAACATCTCTATAATTTTCAAATGTTATCTTCCTTATTTTGTATATTTGTAGGCCTTTATCGCAACAAAATTGTTTCAAAACACCCTCCACTTTGCAGCGATATTATTGTGGTTCAGAATTCCTAAATCTACTTATTTGGATTTATTTTTTTGCTGCTTATTAGTTTGCTACTTTGCAATAAAGCGAAATGATCAAAACCACAGTTTTCCTTTGGAGTGTCGCTTTTATTGTGAAGGCTGATAACGGAAGTTGTTTGTCGTGTGTCTGACGCAGGTTCCGCTCGCTCCCTCTTCGGTTCAGGTCAGCGCGAGACCGTCTGATCTCAGCTTAGTTTTCATTTCATCCGTCAAAAATGTTTGTTAAAATACAATAAAGTAGTTTTCATTTAGTTTTCAGTGACAGCAGCAGATGCGGCGCTGAAGCTAAAGCTAACAGGGAGGTTTTGCTAACGGCGACCTGCTGCAGGACGGTTACAGAGTGATGCGCCAGTGTCGTCATCGCGTAAGTTACATTTACGTGCGCGTACGCTAGTTCATGAACGCTGCTTGGTGTCACACTGGAATAAAATGTAAACTGAAATTAATTTAGGCGAAGAGGGACAATTTGTACGCTGCTAGTTGCTTTATAGTAATTTATTTAACTGTTGGAAAATAAAAGAATTATAAATAATATTTAACAAGAATCAGCTGGGATCAGTTCTTCCAAGTGGAAATCACTTATAAAGTCAACATAGCCGCTAAACTTTGTCTAAGTTATTTTCCTGTAAAGAGCACAATATTATCGGCTGTAACTAACAATTATGTCCTTTATCAAACAGTAAAAAGAAAATGCTAATTAAGTTCCCAGATGCCAAGGCGACTTCTTCAAACGTCTTGTTTTGTTTGACCAACAAGTCCAAATTTTTATTTATTTATTTATTCATCTATAAAATGTGAGTAGGGGAGATGAAAGCTTTTATTAACTAATTAAGGATTTTAACCAAATTACGCCGGAAACCTCCCAGGATAAGAAATTACCGATCTGTAAAACTACTTCCTGGTGCTGTAACGCCATCGTGGTCTTTAGACGTGATCTCGTTGCTGCAGCATGCGGAGCTGAAGAAGCTGTTTGAAGGAAACGCCATGATGTCGCACGTCAGCAGGACGTTGTCTCTGTTAAGACGCTGCTCAGGAGCGCCAGCTCAGACCAGCTCCGCCTCCAGCCTGGTCGTGGCCTCTGACGGCAGCGGGGCAGGGCTTGTCTTACGCTCCCAGGCCACCGATGTGTACCAGAACCTGGCTCTGGAGGACTGGATCGACGCCAACGTGGACCTGCAGCACCGCAGCATCCTGCTGCTGTGGAGGAACCGGCCGGCCGTGGTCATCGGGCGCCACCAGAACCCCTGGACCGAGTGCAACCTGCCGGCCATGAGGAGGGCGGGGATCCCTCTGGCCCGCAGGCGGAGCGGCGGCGGGACCGTCTTCCACGACCTCGGGAACCTCAACCTGACCTTCTTCACCTCCAAGAAGGCGTACGACCGGCAGAGGAACCTGAAGGTCGTCACAGAGGCTCTGAGGCGGCTCCGGCCGGGACTGGACGTCCGGGCCACCGACAGATTCGACATTTTACTCAACGGACACCTGAAGATCTCAGGTAGGGAGGCGGGGTCGGACAAGAGGTTCCCAGAGTGCACTGCAGCAGAAACGTCACGTTGTTGTTCATGTGTTTGTTTACAGGCAGCGCCTCCAGACTGAGCAGGAAGTCGTCCTACCATCACTGCACCCTGCTGCACTCGGCCGACCGCTCCGCCCTCGCCGATGTTCTCCGCCCCTCTTGTCCCGGTATCCAGAGCAACGCCACGCCCAGCGTCCCCTCACCTGTCGCCAACCTGCTGGACCACGCCCCCACGCTGCAGTGGGAGGAGCTGCTGGACGCGCTGGCGCACCAGTACAATGAAGGTACAGCTGTGTCTGAAGACATCTGTGGCGAACGAGGCCCCCTGCTGGCCAAGACGTGTCACCACAGAGCAACACAACCTGGTGGCTGATACACGGTTGATCTTCTAATTCAACCTTTCTTTTCTTTCGGACCCTCAGAGTTCAGCTTCAGCGCCGCGTCGACCCTCGTTGACCCCGCCGACGAGTCCGCGTTCCCTGGTCTCAGCAGGACGGCGGCGGAGCTGCGCGCCTGGGACTGGACGTTCGGTAAGACGCCTAAATTCAGCGTCCAAACCCTCCTGGACCTGAGGGACGACCGACCGCCTGCTCGCAGCTCCGCCCGGCTGCACGTGGAGGTGAAGAACGGCGTGGTCGACAGCTGCGAGCTGGACGTTCCCGCAGACTGGCTTCCTCGGCGTCTGAGCGGCGAGCTGAGCGCCGTGCTGGTCGGTGAGAGGTTTTGTCGGCATCGAGCGGCTGCAGCTGTGACCACGCTGCTGCGGTCGGAGAGCGGCGAGCTGAGGAGCAGACTGAACAACCTGTGCGACGCCGTGGTGTCTGCGATGGGCTGAAATAAAACTGGTGAACTGAAACAACTCGGCGTGTGTCAATTTATTGATCAACAGAAAACTGATCCGGTCAGTAGTGGGGCGTCATAGCGCCACCCAGAGGCTGGCAGAGCAGACGCCACGCTGACGATTCATCAGCAGTTTGTCCCGAGAAAACGACACAGGGACATAAAAATGTTATGTCTGACTAGAAACTAGTTCTAACGTCACTACAGTTTGTAATCACAAGAAAAATCTGCAGCTATTCTGAAAATTTATGTGTGAAAAAATCATTTTAAATTAAATCTGTTCGTGCTGCAGAGACGTCCTGGACTTAAAAAAACAGCTTTGTTTGGTTCAGATCCTGCAAAAGTTTTTCAGTGAAAATGAGATGTTTTTTTTTTTTTATGTTTAATTTCACTAAATAAAGGAAGAAAACTGGTTTATTATCAGAGAGTTTTAATGTTTGAATATAAAAAGGCGACACACATCTTCAGGTACAAACTAAACAAATAATAAATTGTCTAATAAAAAATAAAGGGCCTCGTGGACGCTGTGACAAGTCAAATGTATTGTTTGGTAATTAAATCTCTAAGTGTTGATCAGGTTGAAGCCACAAACGTGCCGCACGGGAGCTGCCATCTTCCTGCGCTGGTGACGTCATGTGGAGCAGGAGTCTGCGCAGTATCGTGCTGACGTGACTAACCTCAGACGGGTCATGTCGCAGGACGCATGCGCGATGCTCGATTTGCTCGATTGTAGCCATGCGTGCCGCTGAGCGCTCCGCTGGAGAGGAGAGATAAAACAGGAGGTGTCACTCTGCTGGAATCTCCTTCTTCTTTTTTCCCGGCAGTCTCGGCGCTGTTTCAGTGCATTGCTGCCTCCCACCGGTAAAGTATCGCCATTGAAGCTTTGTTACCTAAGACTTGAGATATAGACCTGTGGATTTAAGGAAGTTTATTAATTCCCTATATCTCTCCTTTTCATGCACCCCGTCACTTAGCAGTGGAGAATATTTCCATTCCCAGTTTGCCTGGTTCTATGAATAGCTACTTCCATCCCACTCAAGCCCGTCTTTTCTAAATGAAAATGTATTATTTGTATGTATTGATCCTATTTCCCCCCTTTTCAAACTCCCAGCACTCCCAGCAGGGAAAATGATGGAAGAGCTGTTCCGAATCTTTTTGATTTTGCCCAATAATTTAATGCTAATTCTGTCCATCGCAGTCTCAGTGGAGCCTCACCTGCCTCAACTAGCAACGCTGGAATCGGCCCAGTATATATCCTCAGAGCCCAGTATATATCCTCAGAGCTCAGTATATATCCTCAGAGCCCAGTATATATCCTCAGAGCTCAGTATATATCCTCAGAGCTCAGTATATATCCTCAGAGCTCAGTATATATCCTCAGAGCCCAGTATATATCCTCAGAGCCCTGTATATATCCTCAGAGCCCAGTATATATCCTCAGAGCTCAGTATATATCCTCAGAGCCCAGTATATATCCTCAGAGCCCAGTATATATCCTCAGAGCCCTGTATATATCCTCAGAGCCCAGTATATATCCTCAGAGCCCAGTATATATCCTCAGAGCCCAGTATATATCCTCAGAGCCCAGTATATATCCTCAGAGCCCAGTATATATCCTCAGAGCCCAGTATATATCCTCAGAGCCCAGTATATATCCTCAGAGCTCAGTATATATCCTCAGAGCCCTGTATATATCCTCAGAGCCCTGTATATATACTCAGAGCCCTGTATATATACTCAGAGCCCTGGCCTGAACAACATCCAGCTTGGCCAATAATAATCAAAGATTGGCCGTATCATGACCTTATAAATCATCATTAACGAGTTCCTATCTGCCCCCAAAGAACACCCGGATAAGCACCTCATGATATTTATAACCTTCTCACACTTACTTATCATTTTCTTTATTTGCACTCTGTATGTCAGTTTTTCCTCTAACCAAACTCCTAAAAACTTAAAAACCTTTGCTCTTTGTAGAGGCTGCCCATACTCCCGTTTTTCTTTTTCCTTCCAAAAATCACATATTTTGTGTTTGATATAGACAACCTAAATCCCCACTTATCAGCCCAACCCTGCACCTTATCCAAGGCACTCTGCCTCATCAAATATGTTACGGCCTCTCTTCCATACTGCTCCGTCATCTGCAAAAAGAGATCTACCAAATCCATCCCCCACTTTATCAAACATATCATTCACCATCATGTTAAATAAAATGGGGCTAATAACACCACCCTGTCGGGTCCCATTGTCAACACTAACCGTGCCCGAAAGACTTCCCCCCACTTTTACCTGTATGGTCCGGGATCTCAAAAAGTCTTTGATCCAGTTTAACATCCTCCCTTGAATCCCTGCTTCATATAACTTGATTGCTAACCCATCTTTCCACAGCATGTCATATGCTTTCTCTATATCCAAGAACACACCAATCACCACCTCTTTGTTTACCAGAGCTCTTTTGACTTCTCTATCTAATAATAGAACTGAATCCATTGTTGCCCTAAAGGCCGAAAAGTACTTTCTCTGCTCTAGCCTATGCACCAGTAGCCTATGCACCAGTAGCCTATGCACCAGTAGCCTATGCACCAGTAGCCTATGCACCAGTAGCCTATGCACCAGTAGCCTATGCACCAGTCTATCTGTAACCATTCTTTCCATTATTTTGCATATAGCTGGAATCTCCTGCAACCAAATGTTCACTTTAATCTGGTCTTTTATCACAAATACATTTACATGATATTCTACAGCTTTGTCTTTATTGGTAGATATGGCATTTATTTTTTTATTTTTATTATTATTAAATAAACAAAGTGGTTTGTTACTAGGTTTTATATTTAATCTTAAATATTTATAACATAATATTTCTTTACTGTCATTATCGTAAACTATAAAGTTATTTATAGACTGAAGCGGCGGAGTGAGACGTCTCTCTGTAAAGCGGCGGAGTGAGACGTCTCTCTGTAAAGCGGCGGAGTGAGACGTCTCTCTGTAAAGCGGCGGAGTGAGCCCTCCACTATGAGGCAGCCAAGAGACGATCTGTGTCTGATGTGAGCCGTCGTGTGTTTCGGCTGCCAGCAGAGAGACCCGGAGAAGCTGCAGGATGGGGAAGAAACAGAAGAAATCCGGAGATGACAGGTAAAGCAAACACCACCTGCCGCCGCACATCACCTGTCCACACTGACCCCCGACAGGTGTTGGCCCTTCGGGCCCGTGGACACACAAATAACGGGCCCGTTAGCCCGCTGGTTGTCGTTACGCTGTTAGCTTAGCGGCTAGGTGCTAACCACGAGTCAGTGGAAAGGTGTGTGGTGATTTAAATCAGCCAGAAAAAAGGCTTAAGAAGAATTATACAACACGCGGGCGGGCCGACACGGGCTCACCCGGGCTCACCCGGGCTCACCCGGGCTCACCTGGCCTGCTGGGGCTTGTTTACACCCGCGGTGTTGCGTTTGTTAGCTTTACACACCAGCCTGGTTAGCTAGCTTAGCGTTAGCCCCCAATGAGCCGGCTGCTTGGCTCCTCCGGTGCTCCAAACTGTTCCGGTATTTACACCGACAGCCGGTGAAACGGCCCCTGAAGGCGTCTTTAACAGCGTGAACTTAAACCCGTGAAAGGTAGCTGCTGAATGCGAACAGGGGCCACAACCAGGGGACTTCAGTGAGCAGCTAGGCTAGCTGTTAGCCCGCTTATCTTCTGTCACGGTGAGTGTTGGCCATCAGAGAGGCTGATGTAACGCTGGATACCTGTCCCCTCTCACACCTGGTCCTCGGTCACAGCTGTTGTAATGCTGGATACCTGTCTGCTCTCACACCTGGTCCTCAGTGACAGCTGGTGTAACGCTGGATACCTGTCCACTCTCACACCTGGTCCTCGGTCACAGCTGATGTAACGCTGGATACCTGTCCGCTCTCTCACACCTGGTCCTCGGTCACAGCTGTTGTAACGCTGGATACCTGTCCGCTCTCACACCTGGTCCTCGGTCACAGCTGTTGTAACGCTGGATACCTGTCCGCTCTCTCACGCCTGGTCCTCGGTCACAGCTGTTGTAACGCTGGATACCTGTCCGCTCTCTCACGCCTGGTCCTCGGTCACAGCTGGTGTAACGCTGGATACCTGTCCGCTCTCTCACGCCTGGTCCTCGGTCACAGCTGGTGTAACGCTGGATACCTGTCCGCTCTCTCACGCCTGGTCCTCGGTCACAGCTGGTGTAACGCTGGATACCTGTCCGCTCTCTCACGCCTGGTCCTCGCTCACAGCTGGTGTAACGCTGGATACCTGTCCGCTCTCTCACGCCTGGTCCTCGCTCACAGCTGGTGTAACGCTGGATACCTGTCCGCTCTCTCACGCCTGGTCCTCGGTCACAGCTGGTGTAACGCTGGATACCTGTCCGCTCTCTCACGCCTGGTCCTCGCTCACAGCTGGTGTAACGCTGGATACCTGTCCGCTCTCTCACGCCTGGTCCTCGCTCACAGCTGGTGTAACGCTGGATACCTGTCCGCTCTCTCACGCCTGGTCCTCGCTCACAGCTGGTGTAACGCTGGATACCTGTCCGCTCTCTCACGCCTGGTCCTCGCTCACAGCTGGTGTAACGCTGGATACCTGTCCGCTCTCTCACGCCTGGTCCTCGCTCACAGCTGGTGTAACGCTGGATACCTGTCCGCTCTCTCACGCCTGGTCCTCGCTCACAGCTGGTGTAACGCTGGATACCTGTCCGCTCTCTCACGCCTGGTCCTCGCTCACAGCTGGTGTAACGCTGGATACCTGTCCGCTCTCTCACGCCTGGTCCTCGCTCACAGCTGGTGTAACGCTGGATACCTGTCCGCTCTCTCACGCCTGGTCCTCGCTCACAGCTGGTGTAACGCTGGATACCTGTCCGCTCTCTCACGCCTGGTCCTCGCTCACAGCTGGTGTAACGCTGGATACCTGTCCGCTCTCTCACGCCTGGTCCTGGAAGATAAGGGCTCTTACCGAGGGGGAGGGAGCACTCAGTTTCTACAGAAAGGACTTGACTTCAGCAGATTTACTGTTTTACATCTGGTGAAGAACAAAGAGCACATGTGTTTAAGTTTTAATGCTAAATGTATTTAAACTGTGTGGTTATAACAGCATTTTTCTATTAAAATATGAAGTGATCCGCTGGCATCAGGCGTTTGTCCCATTCTGACCAGAAAGAAAAGTTTAAGCTACTCGAAACTTCTGCTGTGTTTATATATGTGAGAGAAATGTTTTAGTTCTTTATCAGATTATTTGCGACAGTAAAACGTTGATGCTTCATTAATAATACGCCAGTACAATAATATATAACCGTTAAATATCTGTTAACGGGAGAAAAGGAAGGAGATAAAAAGGTCTTTACTCCGCTGATTATAACAGTTTTAATACAAGAAGAAGGAACAAAGTGAATGAATCTGAGTTGAGATGTTGAAAACAATGAAGTGATTAAAAACAGCGGTGATGTGATGAAAAATTTCGCCGTCGCTCAGTAACAATGGGTGAAAAGGCCTCGGGGATAATATCCCTCCGTGTTTATTGTCTGTGAGCTTTTGTTCCTTCCAGCCTCGTTAGCGGTCACGTGGTTTGTGTTCGAGCTGAAGTGCAGCAGGTTTCTGTGGCGCGAGGCTGCTGCCAGAGGGCTGATGGGAAATAAAGGCTGTGGAGAGTCAGCAGCTTTTCATCTGTCCGCATTGTTCGGACTCAGAGAGAGAGAGAGAGAGAGAGTCCTGCTTGTTCTGTCTCTCCACCTCGGCGATCAGGTGTTTCACATATCGATTGACGTTGTTATTGATCTTTTGCCTTCAGTGCCAAAGACGACGGCATCGACATCGACGCTCTGGCGGCAGAGATCGAAGGAGCCGGAGCCTCCAAGGAGCCAAAAGGGAAGAAGAAGAAGAAAGGAGTCAAAAAGGATGAGTTTGAGTATGACACGCCGCCGCCTCCTTTCTTTCCCTTTTGTTTCTCTTCTTCTTCTGCCCCTGCTTCTTCTGCTGCTTCTTCTTCTGCTGCTTCTTCTGCCCCTGCTTCTTCTTCTGCTGCTTCTTCTTCTGCTTCTTCTTCTGCCCCTGCTGCTTCTTCTGCTGCTTCTTCTTCTGCTTCTTCTTCTGCCCCTGCTGCTTCTTCTTCTGCTTCTTCTTCTGCTGCTTCTTCTGCCCCTGCTGCTTCTTCTGCTGCTTCTTCTGCTGCTTCTTCTGCTGCTTCTTCTTCTGCTGCTTCTTCTTCTGCCCCTGCTTCTTCTTCTGCTGCTTCTTCTGCCCCTGCTTCTTCTTCTGCTGCTTCTTCTGCCCCTGCTTCTTCTTCTGCCCCTGCTTCTTCTTCTGCTGCTTCTTGTGCCCCTGCTTCTTTCCCCTTATGTTTCTTCTTCTTCTTTTGCTCTCGACAGGAGCTGCCCGAGTGAAATGGAAAGTTTTTTTTGGCCATCTACAGGCAGACTTTTTTTTCCCTTTCCAAGTATCAACAAGGATGTTTGTTTGCGTTCAGCTGCCCAGTTCTACACCTGCGCAGTGTGAACCACAGTCGCTCTCGCGCTTCAGTGTTATGTGACCAGCTGCGCAGTAATAACATTACTTTTCACAGTGAGGAGTAGTGTAATGGATTACTATTTCCAAAACAGGTATATCATTACAGTTACTATTCCCAGTAACGCTCCGTTACCGCGCTACTGAACGTGACGTGAATGGCGTGCTGCAGGTCAGGGCACCGGCCCTCGTGTTGTTTAAGTCAGCTGTTAGCCAAAAAGCTAAATGAAGAAAGGAGAACGAGAGAGAGAGGCGTTGGAAGTAGCTGCTGCCGTTATTGTGTCACAGTCTAAGATGCAAAGAACGTTGTAAACTTTGTGCGACCAGAAAAACGCTTTCAACCACGAACAATTCTAGATTGAATATACCGAAGCATCTGCTGAAGCAGCAACTGAAACTTATTAAACTCCGGCCGCGGCTGCCAGTGATGCTTGGACTCACGGGAGAGAGTGGCGTTAGGCTAAGCAGCGTTTTATAAAATCACTGAATAAATACGTGTGCAGAAAAACAGTTCACAAGTCGGGATTAAGCCTACTTTCTACCACTGATGGGGTTTATATGTAAAGGCGTTTTCGGACGGCGTGGATCCGCAGGGTCGCTCTGCGCTCCTCATCGCTCAACAGACAGGCCGACGAGCGCTCTACGGGTGGTAACCATGGAAACGGCTTCTGCATACCACTGTGTGCGATCCCGTGAAACCGTCGCGGTCGTTCTTGTCTCAGGCACACACCCGCCTGCCATCAGAGGTGAAGTTATTCCTTCAGTTTATCAGCAGACAGACTGATCAGCTGTTTGATCCGAGCGTCCTGAATAATGTAACTGTTTCTTTAACAGTCAGGCCTCAAACAGGCAGCGACCTTTCTGCTGCTCTCTTATTCATTAAAAATAATCTGTTAATTTGGACTGAACTAATTTTGAAAGTTAGTCGTTCTATTATTTAGTTACAGACTCGTTTATTTCATGTAGCACATTTAGCTGTTTGGCCACTTTGATCGGGCGTCTCTGCATATTTTCCTGCTTTTTTGTCCTTCGCCAATCACATGCCTGTACTGTAGTATACTAACACTTACAATTGCTGTTAGTATGTATATATAGTAATGATGATAGTGAAACAGTCCCCTTTCATATCACTACTGTTTATTTTTTATTTGTTCCAAAGTGCTCTTAAGTTTCACAAGTGAAGTTACTGACTGTATGCACGTCGACCTGTTAACCCTACAGCTGCGCACGTCCAGCGCGCAGGGTTGACCTCCGTTGTGTTGCTGTGCAGCCTCCCCTAACGTCACTGCAGCTGTAGATTATTGACACCCGTCGGCACTTGCGGGGCTTCTCAACCCTGAAAACGTTTCATATAGGGGGAAAAGCGCATTTTCCATTCGTAAAACTGCAGATAAGTTTTTCCATCTGCTAACACAGCGCAAAAAGGAGGACGGTTCCTCCTGATGTCTGCAGCTCCTCACTTTAACTCACTGCTTCATGTTCGGCAGCCTCTCGTTAACCACCTCCTCTGTCTCTGAACGTCTTGTGTTTGTCCTCCTGCAGCCATGTTTCCATCTAAATGTCGCTCATATTGAATTAAGAGAAAATCGTGCAAAGGAAAAGTTTTTCCATCTGCTAACACAGCGCAAAAAGGAGGACGGTTCCTCCTGATGTCTGCAGCTCCTCACTTTAACTCACTGCTTCATGTTCGGCAGCGTCTCGTTAACCACCTCCTCTGTCTCTGAACGTCTTGTGTTTGTCCTCCTGCAGCGAGGATGACATCCTGAAGGAGTTGGAGGAGTTGTCTCTGGAGACCCAGGGGGCGAAGGCAAAGGTAACCTCAGCTGAACCCGCTTCTAATGTTGTCTGCACATCTTGTCCCCGTGGTTTTATCATTAATAAACTAACAAGATCCTCATCAGAGCTGAGGCCGTCGGTCTGACCCCGCTTCTTTTTCCTCTGCAGAAATCAGACCCTGCAGAGGAGGTGGAGGTCGAGCCTCCCAAACCAGAGAAGAAGAAGACCAGGAAGGGGAAGAAGGGCGGAGCCAGCCCTGAGGAGGAGGAGGGCGATGAAGGTCAGGTTGATGGAGAGAGGAACGGAGAGCAGAAAGATAACAAGAAGGTGAGGAATTGACACGTCAGCACAGACACGATAGACTTTATCTGGATGTTTGAACCTTTTCTCTTGCCGTCTCCAGGCGCCTCCTGCGGCGCCTCCCTCTGACTCTGAGGACGACAGCGGCTCGTGTTCTCGCCTCAAAACCAAAGCAGCGAAGAAAGGAGACAAAAAAATGTCGGTGTCAGACGACGCGGAGGACAAAGACGAGGGCGAAGGCGTGAAGAGAGGAGGCGGGAAGGAGGACGGCCAGTCGGAGGACGAGGATGATTTGGCCTCCAGGCGAGACAAGAAGAAGAAGAACAAAGGCAAGGCGGCGAAGGCGGAGAGCGAGGATGAGGAGGAGCAGCAGGAGGAGGGAGGCTTCAAGATGAAGACGGCAGCGCAGAAGAAGGCGGAGAAAAAGGAGAGGGAGAAGAAGAAGAAGGAGGAGGAGAGGATGAAGCAGAGGAAGCTGAAGGAGAAAGAGGCCGGCGTGGAGGCCAAGACGGAGCCAGAGAAGAAGACGGCAGAGGAGGCTGCTCCTCCCGCAGACCTGATGGAGGAACAGGAGGGGGCGGAGCCAGCGGTGGAGGGTAAGATGGCCGTTTCCACGAGTAAATGAATGAGCATTAACGCTGCGGGGTTTCACTCTGTTTTCTTCTTCTGCGTCTCTCTGCAGAGGAGGCCGAGGGCGACAAGAAGAAGAAGGACAAGAAGAAGAAGAAGGGGGAGAAGGAGAAGGAGGAGAAGAAGAAGGGACCCAGCAAGGCCACGGTGAAGGCCATGCAGGAAGCGCTGGCCAAGATGAAGGAGGTGGGGCATTCTGGGAAACGGAGTGACGGGATGTGCGATGGGAGTCGCTGTGATGTCTGAGATTAACTGCTGGTTGTTTGTAGGAGGAGGAGCGAGCCAAGAGGGAGGAGGAGGAGCGGCTGCAGAGGCTGGAGGAGATGGAGAAGCAGCGGCAGGAGCAGGTAAAACACCTCCTCCTTTCTTTTTCCGTTTCACCTGTCGCTCTCCCTCGTGACCTCTGACCCTGCGTCCGCCCCGTTAGGAGCGTCTGGAGCAGGAGCGCAAGGAGAAGAAGAAGCAGAAGGAGAAGGAGAGGAAGGAGCGTCTGAAGAAGGAGGGGAAGCTGCTGACCAAAACCCAGAGGGAGGCTCGAGCTCGGGCCGAGGCCACGCTCAAGCTGCTGCAGGCTCAGGGTGAGACGCCGTCCACCGATCACATGGCTGCCCTCACGCAGCCGGTCCCGTTATTGACCATCAGCATTACTCTCTCTGTCTCTCTTGGCAAATGTTGACATTATGACACATTAATATTAAAAACAGGCAGCGTGAGAAACCTCCTCCCTTCTGAGGTGCATTTTATTTGCACATTAAAATCCAAAAAGAAACGTCTCCTCATCGCGTTAGCTTTACTAACCTCAGCTCCTCCAAAACCACTTTTTCAGACTGAAAACTGAAAAATTATTTATTCAGTCTGTACAGGACGGAGCTGCAGGCTGCGTCAGTTTAGTCCAGGTTTGCACCTGACGCTCTGAACATGGTAGGAGTGGGTAGTGATAAAATACAGCTTCCAGTTACTTTCTATAAAGTGAGCTGATGTTTTTGAGCTGATGACTTTTCTTGGTCACACCGTAACCGACACAATACATTTACTGCCAGAATATTTTGTGGGAAGTTTTAGTAGCGGCGCTCCTGAATGCGTTGAGGGCAAACACTGAGGGGAAAATGGCCCCTGATTGGTGGTTTATTGAAGATATTACGGAGAGAGCCGTGAGAAGGGAAATGTTTTTTAGTAACCTACAGGAAACATCCAACAATGAGGACTTCATCTGTCGGTTTAGTTTCCCCAGGGAAGCTCTCCTGAGTCTGCCAGATGGATCAGCTGAGCCCTGCCTCCTCACGTTTTAGGATATTTCCTCTTAAATGTTTTTTCTTTTTTGGCATCTTGTACCGTGCTCTTGGATCTTCTCTGTATATGTTGTCGCTCCGCTCAACGGTCGGGTGAACGCTGTTTACTGTCGTCTGTTTTTTTTTTTTTTTTTTTCAAATCAAGCTTTTCTTTTGGGGCAGAATATCCAAAATGATTCTGATAACATCTTTTTCTCAACAAATACGATCAGTAGATGTTTTTTCAGTCCCTTTTCCTCAACAAAATAAATGTCTGAATAGAAAACTTAAGTGCAAATAAGTTCCTGATTCAAATGAATTAGATTTAGATGTCTATCTGAAGTCTGACTACTACAGCTAAGCCATAGTCTAAGTCCATCTCTGTGACACCGGCCCCGCAGTCTGACTGGAGGTGGACCCAGACTCTCCCTGTCAGGTGGTCTTGGTCCGGCTTTAGTCTAAAGACACAAACAGGCGTGAGGGCCTGAAAGCACTTCCTGTTTCCTGCGTAGCTCATACTTGACTGTGTGTTCACTGTGCAGGTGTTGAAGTGCCATCCAAAGACTCGATGCCAAAGAAGAAGCCGGTTTACGGAGACAAGAGGAAGAAGAAGCCCACCGCTCAAACTCCTGAAGGTGCCGCCAGCCGCTCCGTGAACAGCCGACACGTTCGTTTCTGTAAAACCCAAAGCAAAAACTATCTCTCTTCTCCTCCATCAGAAAAGTCAGAGGTGACTTCGCCGACGTCCGAGACACCAGAGCCTGTTGCCGTTGAGACGGAAGCTGAGAGGCCGGCGGCGGAGCCAGGTGAGAGGGGGGCGGAGTCAGGAGGGAGGGAGGAGGAGTAAAGGGAGCGTTCATCGTCATGGTGATGACTTTGTTTCTGTGTGCAGAGGTGAAGCCGGACGCTGCCGTGGACGACTGGGAGGCCATCGCCACTGATGAGGAGAAAGGTGAGACGGTTTCCTCTGTCAGGACCCTAGCGTGAAACATGCGATGAATTCCCCAATTAATGGTATTTTTGACGGCCTAAATGTGCTCAAACACCCACGTAGAGATGATTTACATTTCAAATGGTCTTTGTGCGTGGGCGTGGCAAAATGGCCCGCTAGCGCCCCCTACAGAGCAGCCCCCAGGCCACGTATCACCAAAATGTATGAAATGATTGTGGCACATGTATCATGTCCAGACGTACAAAAAAGCCTCTGGGAGCGATGCCATAAACCCGACAGGAAGTCGGCTATTTTGTATGTACATTTTTTTTTTCACGTTTTTGGCGTTTTACAAGGTCCGAACTTTAACGAACTCCTCCTAGACAAGTAATCGGAACGACTTAAATTTATTTTCTCTTCTGTGCCAATTTTATTGGCATTGATCATCTACTCAGTTTATTAATTTATTGTTGCAGCTGTAATCACCAGACTGAGAAGAACCCGAGGTAATACTGTTAGCAGTAGATAAAGTAGTACTCAGTCGAGGTAGTACTGTTTGTGGGAGCTGCAGTAGTACTCGAAGTAGTACTGTTATCACTAGATGCAGACATACTCAATCGAAGTAGTACTGTTAGCGGTAGCTGCAGCAGTACTTGAGGTAGTACTGTTAGCGGTAGCTGCTGCAGCGGTACTAGATCGAGGTGGTACTGTTAGCGGTAGCTGCTGCAGCGGTACTAGATCGAGGTGGTTCTGTTAGCGGTAGCTGCTGCAGCGGTACTAGATCGAGGTGGTACTGTTAGCGGTAGCTGCTGCAGTCGTACTAGATCGAGGTGGTACTGTTAGCGGTAGCTGCTGCAGACGTACTAGATCGAGGTGGTACTGTTAGCGGTAGCTGCTGCAGACGTACTAGATCGAGGTGGTACTGTTAGCGGTAGCTGCTGCAGACGTACTAGATCGAGGTGGTACTGTTAGCGGTAGCTGCTGCAGACGTACTAGATCGAGGTGGTACTGTTAGCGGTAGCTGCTGCAGCGGTACTAGATCGAGGTGGTACTGTTAGCGGTAGCTGCTGCAGTCGTACTAGATCGAGGTGGTACTGTTAGCGGTAGCTGCTGCAGTCGTACTAGATCGAGGTGGTACTGTTAGCGGTAGCTGCTGCAGACGTACTAGATCGAGGTGGTACTGTTAGCGGTAGCTGCTGCAGCGTACTAGATCGAGGTGGTACTGTTAGCGGTAGCTGCTGCAGTCGTACTAGATCGAGGTGGTACTGTTAGCGGTAGCTGCTGCAGTCGTACTAGATCGAGGTGGTACTGTTAGCGGTAGCTGCTGCAGACGTACTAGATCGAGGTGGTACTGTTAGCGGTAGCTGCTGCAGTCGTACTAGATCGAGGTGGTACTGTTAGCGGTAGCTGCTGCAGACGTACTAGATCGAGGTGGTACTGTTAGCGGTAGCTGCTGCAGACGTACTAGATCGAGGTGGTACTGTTAGCGGTAGCTGCTGCAGTCGTACTAGATCGAGGTGGTACTGTTAGCGTACTAGATCGAGGTGGTACTGTTAGCGGTAGCTGCTGCAGACGTACTAGATCGAGGTGGTACTGTTAGCGGTAGCTGCTGCAGTCGTACTAGATCGAGGTGGTACTGTTAGCGGTAGCTGCTGCAGACGTACTAGATCGAGGTGGTACTGTTAGCGGTAGCTGCTGCAGTCGTACTAGATCGAGGTGGTACTGTTAGCGTACTAGATCGAGGTGGTACTGTTAGCGGTAGCTGCTGCAGACGTACTAGATCGAGGTGGTACTGTTAGCGGTAGCTGCTGCAGACGTACTAGATCGAGGTGGTACTGTTAGCGGTAGCTGCTGCAGACGTACTAGATCGAGGTGGTTCTGTTAGCGGTAGCTGCTGCAGTCGTACTAGATCGAGGTGGTACTGTTAGCGGTAGCTGCTGCAGACGTACTAGATCGAGGTGGTACTGTTAGCGGTAGCTGCTGCAGTCGTACTAGATCGAGGTGGTACTGTTAGCGGTAGCTGCTGCAGACGTACTAGATCGAGGTGGTACTGTTAGCGGTAGCTGCTGCAGACGTACTAGATCGAGGTGGTTCTGTTAGCGGTAGCTGCTGCAGACGTACTAGATCGAGGTGGTTCTGTTAGCGGTAGCTGCTGCAGTCGTACTAGAGCGAGGTGGTACTGTTGGCGGTAGCTGCTGCAGCGGTACTAGATCGAGGTGGTTCTGTTAGCGGTAGCTAAAACGTTTCCTTCTTCTCTCAGAGTTGAAGAAAGTCCACATCGAGGTGAAGGAGGAGGTCACTGCTCCTCCTCTGCCTGCAGGCAGTGAGGAAGACGAGGAGGAGGAAGACGAGGAAGAGGACGACGATGATGACGAGGAAGACGACGATGAAGACGACGAGAGCGAGGAGGAGGGGGAGAAGGAGGCGACAGTGGCGAGTCAGGGGAAAGGGAGGCCGGCGAAGGAGAGCGAGGACGACAGCAGCGACAGCGAGGACGACGACAGGACGAAGGAGGAGCGGCTATACGACCGAGCCAAAAGGAGGATCGAGGTGAGAGACGCTCCGGCGGCGTGAGAGCTCGTCTCGCGTCACCCCGCCTCCGACTGACAAGCTGTGTCTGTTTCCACAGAAACGGAGAGCGGAGAACCTGAAGAACACAGACGTGGACCGACTGAGAGCACCGGTGGTCTGTGTGCTCGGACACGTCGACACCGGGAAGACCAAGATCCTCGACAAGGTGACCGTTACTGACTGTTTATCAATTTTATTCAAGTCGCACACTTAAAACAACCAGGGTTGACCAAGGTGCTCCACAGGTGAAAAATACAACAATGAAACAGTAATTACACAGTAAATGTACAGCAATAAAACATTACAACATACAGTATATGATATAAAGTAAGATTAAAATCGGCAGGGAGAGTAGCTGACTTAACTGGAAGGAAATGCCAAAGAAAATAGATTTTAGATTAGACCTGTTATTCTGCTTTTCCAGTCCTATATTGTAGTTCTGTGACTCCTGTATGGCAGCTTTGCACGATTCAAAGTTCAAAAAAATAATTTTCTGTCTTATACGGACTCTTCATGTAGGCCTTCATTTGAGCCTCTGTCTGAAACAAGCTGTAGATGCTCATGTCTCTTTAAGGCCCCCCCTCTAAGCCCACTGTCTTCTGATTGGCCAAGACCTGAAGCATGTTACCAGGCTGTTGTTGCTGGGCAGAACAGGCAGACTGAGCGTTAGTGTGAGAGCACATGACCATATATGGTCGAGTTATTTCCTCGCCCACAAAATCTCATGGGCCCACAAAGGACGAGTCCGTCCCCTCGCTCTACATGTTTCAGCCCTCTCCTCATGCAGAGCGAGGGCCAGAGTGACATTTGCAGTGACATTTTTACATTCAGTAAAATTAGGTAGCCTCCACCGATATTATGTATCATAGCGAACGCTGCGCCTCCAAAGCGCACCCTAGCCAGGCGTTTTCAGAACGGCAGGTGGCGTTTTCAGCTGGTGAAAAACACTTTGGTGGACACGGGGCCTAAAGACAGATGGAACATAACCAGAGACAAGACCGTTATTTATCAATTACAAAATACGTGGTCAAAGACCGCCCTAATCAGACGTGAGGGGATGCTGTCTGAGGGACAGTTCGTGGGGCGCAGATGATGGACCACCTCAGATAGGGAGGAGATTGCTATAGTAGGGTAACTGTAATAACCTTGCATCTGGTTGTGTTTCCTGTGTGTAGCTGCGACACACTCATGTCCAGGACGGCGAGGCCGGCGGAATCACTCAGCAGATCGGAGCCACGAACGTCCCGAAAGAGACGATCGAGGAGCAGACGAGGATGGTTAAAAACGTACGACACACACACACATCCACACACACTCTCTGACGTTAGCTCAGGTGCTAACTCTGTGTTAATCCGCCTGTTCGTGCAGTTTGACAAAGAGAACCTGAGGATCCCCGGCATGCTGATCATCGACACACCAGGACACGAGTCCTTCAGGTGACCCAGACACAACCAGTCAATCGTTTCTTTAAATCAATCAATTCAATTAAAGTGATCGGCAGCAGGTCGTCTTTAAAACGCTCACCTGTGTGTTCAGTAACCTGAGGAACCGCGGCAGCTCTCTGTGCGACATCGCCATCCTGGTGGTGGACATCATGCACGGCCTGGAGCCTCAGACGCTCGAGTCCATCAACCTGCTGAAGGAGAAGAAGTGTCCCTTCATCGTCGCCCTCAACAAGGTCAGTCCCCTGCCCGCCACCACCTGTCTCCTCCTTCCTTACTTCTTCTTCTTGTTTTCTGACGGTCTTGTTATTGGTCATCAGGTCGACCGCCTGTACGACTGGAAGAGGAGTCCGGAGACCGACATTGTGGCCACGCTGAAGAAGCAGAAGAAGAACACCAAGGACGAGTTCGACGAGAGAGCCAAGGCCGTCATCGTGGAGTTCGCTCAGCAGGTGAAGATCTATCAGCATTATTATGTTTTATTGATCACTAAGTGTGATTTTTAGACTAATTTTCAGCATCAAACATCGTGTTTCCTTTGTGAATACCAAAGTTCTTAAATTCATTGACAGTTTGTTAAATCGTCTGCAAACAAAGAAGTTTTACACTGAATATTTATGTACAAAATAAACAATAATGGGCCCAAAACGGAGCCTTGAGGAACGCCCTTCAGTAAGTTGTTTCTGTCCCTCAGGGTCTTAATGCCGCCTTGTTCTACGAGAACAAAGACCCCCGCACATTTGTGTCGTTGGTTCCGACCTCGGCCCACAGCGGCGACGGGATGGGAAACCTCATCGCCCTATTAGTCGAGCTCACCCAGACCATGTTAGCCCGCCGGCTAGCGCACTGCGACGAGCTGCGGGCGCAGGTCATGGAGGTAAGGGAGTCCACCTTGTTCTAGTTTTCCTGCTCAGTGTGGATGAAGGTACCTGATGGCGTCTTTGTGTCCAGGTGAAAGCTCTGCCCGGCATGGGAACCACGATAGACGTCATCCTGATCAACGGCTGTCTGCGGGAGGGAGAGACCATCATCGTCGCAGGGGTGGAGGGACCAATCGTAACGCAGATCAGAGGCTTGCTGCTGCCCCCCCCTCTAAAGGAGCTCCGAGTCAAGGTAAAGTTATGTATTTCAAAATAAAAGCACACACTTCCTACAAAACTCCCTTAGTGACGCATGGTGAAATCTGGCCAAAAGTATATGGACGCCTGAACGCGACCTCCGCTCATTACATTTACATCGGGACCTTTTGGTGCAGATATGTATGAATGGTTTTTAGATTAAGTTTGTGATCTACTCTTCCCTCCTGAGAGATGTATTGATCAGCTGACAGACTGATTGATTCTTGGATTAATTGGTTGTGTGTAGAGCCAGTACGAGAAGCACAAGGAGGTGTCGACGTCTCAGGGTGTGAAGATTCTGGGTAAAGACCTGGAGAAGGCTCTGGCAGGGCTCCCCCTGCTGGTGGCTCACAAGGAGGACGAGATCCCCGTCCTGAGGGTAACACACACACACACACACACACACATATACACACACGTTATGATTAGTATTCAGGGGGTTAAAAAGTCTTACAAGGTAATGAATCAAATGTGCGAAAATTAAGGCCATCAAAAAATTTTAATCACCATTTAACAAGGTTTTAAATATTGTAGATTTTTTTTGTCAATGTGAAAATCCTGTTTGTCGAAAGTGCCGATGAATGTATTTATTTATTTAGCCAAAAACTCTACACACTGTAATGTGCGAGTATTTCACTCTTAAACGCCCCCGAAAAATAGATCCGTGCGAACCGGAAAATGATTTTCAAGTACAGCCAACCGTAATGTCCCACCCCCCCAATGCTAATCGTTCAAAACATAGTCTGAGTGGCGATCAGCAGTACTGGGATTAACCTGTGGGCCGGTCACTGTGGCCACCAGCTGAGTCGGTAAGACAGAAGACAACAGGGAAAATTCAAAGAGCGCTGGCTAACGTTAGCTGACTATTTAGCCAAATCGGTGCCTTCTATTGAAACACGTTCAAGCTTTCATAAAGCCGACGTGCTCGCCAATGTCAATTTCGTGAACAGACGTGCTACTTGGGCTGGGATGAAACATTTCATACCTATCGATAAGTATCAGGATAAATGTCAAATCGTTATTTCTTTCGAGTTTAAAGGCTGATTTTTGCTCCTGAGAGAAAGCTGAAGAAACCAGATGGTTAATTATTTGGTTCTAAACTCTTCTTCATGGTCAGAACAAACACTGGTTGTCAAACAGTGGATCACTTCACCAATCTGAGGTAAAACATCCAAAACAATATATATATGATCAGTAAATCTTTTTTCAGTCCCTTTTCCTCAACAAAATAAATATCCTGATAGAAGATTAAGAGCTGACATTTATTGACGACGTATTGAACATTTGTTATATTGTTATTGAGGAAGATTCTACTGCGATAATTATCATAATTGATTTATTGTCCAGCCTATGTGCAACAACAAACTTTATAAATGTAGAACTCATCGTTCTGCGTTAATGGTTGTGATTGCTGACGAGTTAGTGGCCTACTTAACATTAAGGTTGGAGTTTAACCACCATGTAGAGCATTTTTCTCACACGAAGTTAATGAATAAAAAACAACCCCAAAATTAAACAGCTGTAACTGGAATTAATATTAAACTACTGCTGAGCTGTATATTATGTGAAATGATGATAAATATAGTAACATTATACAATTAATATCAAACTAACAGGTTACTATTAAATTAATTATAAAACTATACTAATACAGTCAGTTATTCTAGCTGCTCCTCCACGCTACCAACGTTATCCTACACACAGTACTGGATTACCCTGATGCAGAGTATATTAATCCAGTGTCACTGTACTGAGACGCCCAGTTGACTGACTGCTGCTGGTTTTCAGGACGAACTGGTGCGAGAGCTGAAGCAGACGCTGAGCTCCATCAAACTGGAGGAGAAGGGAGTTTATGTCCAGGCGTCCACGCTGGGATCGCTGGAGGCTCTGCTGGAGTTCCTCCGGACCTCCAAAGTCCCCGTGAGTACATGTCTGTCTCCGTTTACAGCAAGCCGCTTGTTTCAGGACATTTACTCTGAAAAGCAACAGGAAGCGGGACCACGGAGGAGCTGACCTTTGACCTCTGTCTGTCTCTGTGTGTGTTCCTGCAGTACGCGGGCATCAACATCGGTCCAGTTCATAAGAAGGACGTGATGAGGGCGTCGACGATGCTGGAGCACGACGTACAGTACGTCACTCTCTCACCCTCTGTTTCTGCTGTCATTTCCTGTTTCTGTCTGCGGTAGGAAGTAAAAAAATAAATAAAGGATCCAGGACATCATAAAAAAGACGGGAAACGCTGTACGGAGCGAGCGACCTCCTGAGGGGAGCAGCCCGTCAGTCGATAAGAACTCATATTATTAATATTTTTTTCAAGACTGGAAAATGAGTCTTTATTTTGGCAGTTTTGCTTTTATTTGATTTCGAAGGAGGTTAACTCGAACTGGCCGCTGCAGGCGTGACCCTGTTTAGATCGATCTAAGATCAGAACTAGAACAGCTAGAGAGCAGTCGCTCTTTTTGCAGCGCAAAGCTGTTGTTTTTTACTTTCGCGCCATCACGTTGCCCGCTCGCGATGACGTCATCGCGTTAAGTTGCTTGCGGTGGAAGACTGCCACGATGACTACATCGAGTGAACATACAGCACTTTCACAAAATAAACCCGCTCATAAAAATGGCCACATCTCAAAAACTAAGAAAGGTACAGTTCAAATGTTGTTTGTTCATTTTCTACATTTAGAAATAGTTTGGATCAATATGTTTTGTGTTTCTTTTGTAGAATTTTATGAGAAAACGTTCCCAATAGTTGGATTTTTCCAATACTTTTATCAATTATCATGGTTTATTGACTTACACGACCTTGAGGTTGTGGAGATTGTATGGGTGTGCAGCATTTGAAGACACTAGCAGAGGGTAGGCACTGGCGGCCCTTTCAAAGGGTTAATGGACACTCAGACGTGACGTGAGGTAGAAGGACTGCGGCACCTGGACTTAAAGTCACTAAGGATTAGTGGGTAATAGTGTTAATTTTATCAGCCTTTTTAAAACTTAGTCTCAGTCCTGTGTCAAATGTCCTCATATTTGTCATATTTAGTCCACTGTATACTATATTATTATTTTTTTAGTTGACTAAAAGTCTGGGTATTTTAGTCAAAAGCAAATCGAAACAGTTTTAGTCTTTAACCATCATTTTAGTCTTTTCCAACTCATTAGTATAAATCTGATCAGCATTTTGCTGAATCTGCTCGAACCAAAACAGAGAGATGATTCGAATGTCGGCTCTGTTCTCATTTTTATTGCATAGGAGCCGTTAACGAACCTCAGTTCCCAGGTGGTCGGCCTTCATGTGCCGCGTCAAGTTCATAGTGTCTTTTCCTAAAATCTTATAACCACCTCGGTGTGCGATCTATACACAGCTTTCAGCTCTGACGAAAGTAACACTTTAGAAAGCTCTGTTATTTAGATCTTTGATAGTTTTCCTTTTTGTGTTTGTTCTTTTTATTTAGACACATTTGGTCTTTAACCGCCTGTAGTTGTTATTAACTTATAGACTGTCGAGACACTTCTTTACATCCATATCTTCAAATTAGTAAATGTAATTTCTCACATTCAACAAGAAGGTTTTTGGTTCTTAGAGAAGAGGCAGATTGTGACCTGGAGGTCCTGGTTGGAGTTGGACCTGTGCCTTCGAGCTCGTCTCGGCGGCGGTGGTGATGTTGTTGAAATGTGTGGGCAGGTACGCGGTGATCTTGGCGTTTGACGTGAAGGTGGAGAGGGAGAGTCAGGAGATGGCCGACAGTCTGGGAGTTCGGATCTTCTCGGCTGAAATCATCTACCATCTGTTCGACGCCTTCACCAAGTACAGAGAGGACTACAAGAAGGCCAAACAGGACGAGTTCAAGTAGGAAAACGCTCCCGATGAAACACGGCGGTACGTCTTCTGATCTGTCTCTCTCTGACGCCGTTTCTGTATCTGTTATCAGGAACATAGCTGTGTTCCCGGTGAAGCTGCGAGTTCTTCCTCAGTTCATCTTCAACTCCAGAGATCCCATCGTGATGGGCGTCTCCGTCGAGGCCGGGGTCCTGAAACAGGGGACGCCGCTCTGCGTCCCCAGCAAAGGGGTGAGACGGATCGGAAAGACGGCGTGTTTTTCTTAATTGTCGGCAACTATTTGTTTTATCTTTTTTATGTTTGTTCAAATGTATTTCAGTTTGTGGACATCGGCGTGGTCACGAGCATCGAAATGAATCACAAGTCCGTCGACAGTGCCAAGAAAGGCCAAGAGATCTGCATCAAGATCGAGCCCATTCCCGGAGAGTCGCCCAAGATGTACGGCCGCCATTTTGAAGCCACCGACCTGATGGTCAGCAAGGTGAGGACACGCCCACTGAGGAGGGGCAGGATGCAAAACTTTTTATTTAAAATCAACAGAAAACGTCGACTTTCTTCAGATTTTGCGTTTTTCTTGAGAAACGTCGGAAACGCGTGTCGCTAAGCAGCAACTGGCGACAGAAAGTAATTGAGGCAAGAAAGAAAGGACAGATGAAGAAATACAGAAAAGTAGGTAGGAAAGAAAGAAAGAAGGGTCTGATAGATCTGATAGAAATCAAGCTCAGTTGTGGTTTTATCTGCGTCTTGTGACGATAAACTCGACGTTCATGCTGTGAGTTTCAGGTGAAGCGTAGAAACTTACAGCCTTTAGTCCTTTTTAATGAGGTTTCAGCTTGGCTACGTCTGCCTTTAGTATTTGAAAATGTTTTTTATGTTAGTTAACAAATTGGATCCTGTATATTCTAATAGTGGCCCCAGGCCTTTATTTGAGACGGGCTTTTATTTCTAAATGAATTCCATCAGTACAGATTCGCCTCTTTGTTTAACACAATTCACAGATTATTTCCATTCATTTCAGCGTTGTCATTTGTTTCACTGTTTTGTCAATGAAACTCAACACTTCCTGTACTGATATTTCACATTAAAAGCCTTCCAGTGGCGTAAAGGGCATAAAGGTGGATTTATAATACGTCCGGCGCTATATTTAAGAAATTTAGCTGTTCTGCTCCCGCAAAATATTTTCTTTCATACTTTATCGGGTGCTTTAATGTGATAGCTGTTAGCCAAATGGCACCATGTCATTTGGTTGGACTCCTGAATGAACAGAGCGGCTTTGAACACATTAGATCTCTGCACAATGTGGACATGCTAACCTGTGGCAAGGGTCTAATTCATAAACTGTCCAGCAGCGATATACAGATGTGCTCGATTTCACGCTCGTCAACACGTCGAACCCAGAAGAAAATAAGAGCACAGCCGGTGGAGTCGCCCCCTGCTGGCTGTCAGAGAGAACGCAGGTTTAAGGCTCTTCAGCACCGGCTTCACTTTTCAGACCCGGAGGTTCCCGCTCGGTCTGAAGGCTCACTGATTCCCCCTCCTGTCCTGAGGGGTGGCTGTTGTGGTGAAACATCTGCAGGAACTGTAAAGTTTTACTGACAGCAGCTTAACAGAGATCGAAACCATGGCGACTCGAGCGGTCGTGCCGATTGAATCAGTGCTTCCTGAATTCATAAAGTGAGACGTTATAATTAGAGGTATTTAAAAATGAGCTTTAGGTTCACAGTGATGACGTCGGTGTGTGTTTCAGATCACGCGGGCGTCCATCGACGCTCTGAAGAACTGGTTCAGAGACGAGATGCAGAAAACTGACTGGCAGCTGATCATGGAGCTGAAGAAGACCTTCGAGATCATCTGAAGGACCTGAAACACAAACACACACCCGCACACACACACACACACACACACACACACTCCTCCTCCCTTTTGAAGACACGACGGCGGCGGCGGCGGCGACGACTAAGGAAGGACAAAAAAAATTAAACAAAAATGACCTAAAAAAGAGGTGAAAGTGTTTTTCTGTGAGAAACGAACCGTTTTTTCCACTGTTGTAAACAGTGATAGTTTAGCCCACACACACACTCAGTATTCCAACGTGCCTGTTCTTCAGCATCGACGTTGTGTTATTAGTTTCTCTTCTTCTCTGCTCTCATTTGTGGCTGCTGATTCGTGTCCCAGGCTCCGCCCCTCCCCTCCTTTCTAGACTGAGGCTTAACGAGGCCGACAGAGCCAAACCAGGTGCATTATGGGATTGTGTTGAGCAGCACCGGGGCTGGAGGAGGAGGAGGAGGGAAATAAATGGGGTTTTCTTTTCACAAAACACCGAATCATCGAAGCAGCGGCAGACGGCGTCGACTTTAAAGACTTTAAAGAGCAGACTGAGCATCGACTGCTTCGCTGTGCGGTCTGTCGGCCATGTTGGAGGGCAAAGGGGGGGGGGGGGGTTTAAGTGACAGAGTGTCACCTCTGGAAGATTTTAAACTGTTTTTGCTGCAACTGCTGATGTAATAAATTCCCATGATTCTGATGAAACCTGCAGATTTTCAGTTTTCTGTTCACGCTCGATCGCACAGACGCACAAAGACGACACACAACTGCAAACCCGCAGCCTTTGATCAGCAGCCGAGGTGGCAAATCTTACAGCCCGCCTTCAACTCGGACCGCCACAGTCTGCTGTCAAACCACCGAAATGTAGCCGGCCCACAGTAACCAGACCAGTAACCACAGAGCAAAACCTGACCAAGAAAAGCAGCTCATGGTGCCACAGCATGAATGAATGAATGACGGCATCTGATCGCTGGTCCCTTATGTGTATCGCCCTAGTTGGTACTACCTTGACCGCGGAGCCCTCAACGCCAATAAACGATGCTAAAGGGCGTTAAAAAGCATCTTGGGAGTGTTTGGTTTCCTTTGGTTGCTCAATTTTAATGTGGTTAAAAACACTGAAATTTGAAAGAGGCATAACTTTGGCACCTCTTAGCATTAAACTGTAGATCTTTTTATTCTCTGATTAATTCATGAACTGCAAAATCCTTCTGATCATTTTCCAAATCATCAGTTGTTACATCAGGAAGCCTCCGGTTTCAGTTCATTTCTATAAAAATGTACTTGCGAGCAGAGCTTGAAGTGGGCCGGTCCTCTCCACATCAGGTTCGCCGGGCGCTACGTGACGCTCGCCTGTCCCGTTCTGTCTGCCTGTGCAGAGAGACGATGGAGAAGAAGAAATGTGGAATAACAAATGAAACGATAAGAAAACCTGCGAAGCGACACAGAAGAAACAAACGGTCCAAAAGCTGATTACTGATTGTCTCCTGCCACCTAAATGTTGTTTCCCTTCATATAAATAAAGACATTTCCTCCATATATTGGTGCAGAAGTTAAGTGTGAGGACCCCCAGCCCCCCCCACTGATATATTTCAGCATCGAATATTTATTCAAAATACTGTTAAAGTATGTTCTCGTCTCGTGACCCGAGTATCGCACTCCTAACCTGAGCCCTTATGTCTTCACCACCTTACAGCACAAAGTGACGGCCGAGACCTCTGAAACGTTGAACTCGTCGTTCTGCATGAATGTTTATGATTATGACAAGTTAGTGCTGAGCACTGACCAATCAGAGACTGACCACCATCTTGCACAATAATTTAATGAATGACAGGCAGGCAAATAAAGTGTGACCTGTAAATATATTAATATTATACTAAACGGTTTCGTTGCTTGCAGGGGATTGAAACGGATCAGTCTGTCTTTTTTATTGTCGTGGTGATGCAGTTGAGCGCAGAGCCTGGTTTGAAAACCGGTGCGTTTAAAGACCGTCTGACTCCTGAGGCGAACAGGAACCTGCAACAGGCGCTAACCCAAAAACCCACCAGCAATCATCAATAGAGCTCTGAAAAACAACGTTTTACCCAGAATTCCTCGCTGGACCGTTTGCCACAAACAAACGGACTGTTTAGAGCAGTTTGATCCACACAGGCAGACAAAGCGACGCCCTCAGATTTGCAATGCAAACAGTTTATTCTGTAAAAACTGAGCAGGTCTGATGTGACGTTTTAATGTGTCTTTATCACTCTGTGCAAAAGCCCAAACGGAGTTCCCATCTCCCACAGAAAACTCTGCTCTGAACTGAAAACAGCTGGTTTGTAGTCCAGCTGCTTCCCTTTCATCCCTGTGACGTCACAGGGATGATTGGCTAGTAGTCCTTAACTAGGAACTGAGCATGTGCAGCTCCCAACAAAGATCATTTAGAGACCAGATGTATCACTCCATAGCTAAAACGAAGCCTTCAACACAGGGTGAAAAGAGGAGCTGCAGCAATGTGCAGGATGACAAAAATATAACCATGTACACCTGCTCTGGTACAAACTCTAAATAACCTGAACATGAGCAGAAAACCACCTCTTTAAATCTGTGAAATCTGTCATCCAGAAATAAGTTTTCTTTTCAAACTGAAAAAAACTCGTAACTGATGCCTAAATGTTAAACTTTCACACTCCACGAATTTCTGCTCTAAAAAGCATCATAGAGTTTCTTTAGATTCTGTTTTATTGTTTTATAAAATTTCTTTTGATTCAGTGAAAAGAGTTTACACATGAAACACACTTATTTGCAAAAAAGAAGAAGCAAACAGAAACAAAAGACAAATTGAAATGGGACCAGATCATTTTCACAGACTGGACTGATCGTTTTTACTGTTTAACGTTTCGCTTCATGTAGGTTTGGTAAACTCTGGTTTTCCCATTTTTCTGCTCAGCAGGAACAACAAAAACCTGAAAACAAATGTGAGATTTTCTCTCAGTAATAGTGGAAACATTTTTTCAGGCCACAGACAGACAGAAAGCTGATTGTGATTATAAACATGAAGCTTTAATGTAAAGGTTTGTCAGCCTGAAAATCATACAAGAGGAAGACGGAAGACAAATATGTTATGCATCAGTTACAGAGAGCAATAAATGATTCAGAAGTTCAGACGTCCCTTCAAATACAGAAGCGTCCCGTCAGGAGTCAATACGGGTCGCGGTTTGTCCCTCTTTAAAGCAGCATCCTGTGCAAATCAGCCCACCCGCATTCTGTGAAGACTTCTCCTTTTCTACCTCTGATTGGGTAATACTGGCTGCCGTTGTTGGTTTGATTAATCCTGTCAGGGTCAATCGGGGTCAGATAAGGGAGGGTCTCTTGGCAGGGAGTCGAGCTGCAGCTCCAGAAACCCCCGCGTCCAAAAGTAGGGTGAATTCAGGCATATTAGGACAGCGTGAGAAAAAAGCCTTTTCAGTCAAAGTTATTGGTGCTTGCTGTGAATGCGCATAACTAAAGTCACATGACATAATTTATGCGTCATCACATGGGGGCGTCTGCATCAAACAGGAAGTAAAAAACAGAGTTAACAGAAATGACAGGCTTCAGCTTGATTTTAATATACGGGTAAAACATTTGCTGACTAAAAAACTGTAGATTTAAATGATATTCATAACATGCTGCATAGTGTAACAAAATACTAAATGTTACTAACTAAATTATATTTACATTTTTTACATGTTCTTGCTGTCCCAAATTACCAAATGTGTTGTGGCCTACATTATGGAGGGGTTTGTTTTTTAAGGTTGAGGTAACCAGTCAGACACATCGCAATTAATAATTTAATAAGAGATATTTAATACACTTTTAATCATCAAAATATAATAACAACATAACAATATTATATAACAATATAAACAACCATGTGTCTTGCTTAACCAATTTATAGAAGTGCGTCCTTCAATACTGTAGAATTAACAATAGACTGATCATTAACTACTTCTGATGTTCACAGAAAACCCTTTGCAAGTCCAGTCGATTCGTATCAAAGCTTTAGTTTTAGCCTGTTTAGAGTTAATAAGTTCTGGACATGTTGATTTAATAAGTTAATAAAATACAGTTCACATCCTATATTTTTTGTTTTGCTGTCACACATCGTCTGTTGAGACAGAGAGAGACTGAGTTCATCTGTTCGCACTGATTTCAATAGCAGACGGCTCATTCTAACGTCAATCTTAAGACTTTGCTGAAAACACGTTTTAAATTATGATGTACCGCCACTGGCACGCCATCGGGCCTGTGGTTGCTGGGCCCCCGAGGGGTGTGGCCCCCGCTGCGGCCCCTGCTGCGGCCCCTTAGTTTTCTGTATTGAAGGTGGCAACCCTAGGCGGGGATGAAGTGTCCGTGAAGGTCCATGTGGACGCTGGCGGGGATGTAGGCTCGGGCGATCTCTTTGAAGGTTTTGGCGTCGAGGACGAGCATGAACGGAGAGGCGGTCGGGTCCGGAGAGATGACAGACGACAGGATCACCCCTGCGAGGAAGGAAAATACAAACCGTGTGAACCAGGAACAAGTTTTCCTTTCCTACCTGACGGCGCTGTGGTTTTTAAACGTGCGAAAGACGAAGCCAAGCGCTCACCGTCGTCTTCCTCCACGGCTCCCGGAGACGCGACAAACACCGGCTCTGAAGGGAAGCAGTTCTCCTGCTGCCACTCGACGTGTCTCCTGGTGACGATGTCAAACTTGGCGAGCTGTTGGACAGGAGAGAGAGTCTAAAGTCAGGCGCGTGTCGGTTGGTCGAGTCTAAAGTCAGGCGCGTGTCGGTTGGTCGGTCCGTCACTTTGAATGTCCCAACACCTGTTGGATGGACTGCAGCAGGTCTGAGGTGTCTCACCTTGTTGGGGTGAGGAGACCACTCCACCCTGGAGCCGTAGAAGTACCTGTACTTTTTAGCGTTGAAGCTGTAGTTGATCCCCGGCAGCTCCAGACCTGAGGAGGACTCAGACCCGTTAGATCGGGAGGCTTGAAAGCTGTTTAAATGAAACAGGCTGCAGGTAACGAACCTGGAAGCAGAGAGTCGGGCTGGCAGTAGACGGCGCCGTCCTCCTGCATCACTGCCTGGGCCGTCGTGTCTGTCAGAGTCACCAAGTTCGACCCTCTGGGAGATTCCTGGGAAGCACATCGGCACAAACTACTCATACAGACATGCAATCTGTCAACTGATGCAGCGTTTCCGGCTTTAGTTTCCGCTGTACCTTGTTGACGCTGAGCGGCAGGACGAACCTCAGGCAGAGCGGCGCGCTGAATTTTTTGTTGGTCTCGGTGAAGGTGCTGGAGTCCTGCCTCAGGTTCTTGATGTAGAATATGTCGTACAGGTTGCTGTCCTTGTAGCTGATTAGGTCGAACACCACGTGGCCGTCGTCCTCGTACGCGTTGATGTGGTGGAAAACCATCAGCGCGTCGCCATAGAAACGAGTGGACACCGCCTCTCCTGTGGTTTTGTTGATGACGTGGAACAGGGTCTGGGGTGGACAGGGAAAGGCACAGCCATGTTGTCCACCTGCTTTGTCACGCAACATCGCGTATCTGTTTTAGTTGCTCTTTTTTAAACCTAAGCAAGTTGTTTTTGAGTCAGAAGTCTTTTTTGGGCCAGCACAGCTCATGATTGGTTGCAAGGGATCAAAGTTGTAGAAAACAGTAGTTTATTTTTAAAGGAATAAGAGATAGATGTTTGATGGTAACAGTGACGTGAAACTGTCGCAGTGCTGAATCCACTGGACACCAACTCTGCAGCTCCACCGTGGCCGTTTAGCCTCTTTTAGCTCTAAGTTTTGGTTTTGCAGTACATATCCCGTCTCCAGCAGCAGTTTCCTGATTAACCCAGGGTGAATACCTGCTCAGCAGCAAACTGCCACAGTTAGAGACTAGCTGGAGAACACAGCCACATGTTCCCTCAGGAGGTGGTGGAGACCAAAAAAGAGCAAAGAGAGAGTGAATATTGGACTTACATTCATTTAAAATCACTCCAATTGGAGGATCATGTTGCTTTGTGTCTATTTGATTGTTTGCTAACATGTTAACAGCACTAACTTTAAGAGCCAGTGATATCAGTGCTGAGTCTCCGTCAGCCTGTCTGCTCCCATTGGTGGAGAATAGCTTTGTTTCAAGTTACAATATTCTGTTTTTGTACTTTTTATGTTTCTATTTTTCATAAAAACGACAACAGTTTTAGGTTTTACTAGATTAAATTTTGTGATCTTTTCATTGGTTTTATCGTTTATTTGATCGTCATTAACTGACCCTTCGCTAAGCCACGCCCCGAACACGCGGCTTGCCAATCACAGCTGCGCTCCATTGACTCTAATGCATAAAGAGTCGTTTTCTAGATTTTTCTGGCTGTATTTTTCTAAGATCTGGTCAAACGCTGTTCCTGCGGCATCTTGTAATAGTTACAGCAGCTACCCAGAGAGGCTGAAAGGAAACGATTTATTCTCTTTCCAAAACCTAAAATAAATCCAGAACAATGTTGCATGTCTTTTGTTTCTAATGTAAAATTAGGCTTCAGCTTCTGTCTTTATTTTCACGTCAGTTTGAGCCTGAATAAAACCTCCAAATGTATAATGCAAGACAACTGTGCTTCTTTCTGAGATCGCTTTTGCAGTAATAGACCGCGGCAGCGTGATAAAAGTCCGACAGGTCCGACAGTTTGTCAGACTTAGCAACAGTTACTAAGGGGGGCGTGGCTTAGCGAAGGGTCAGTTGTAGTTAAGAAATAAAAGACTGAGCCCTCGCTGGAAATGCATACAGTATAGATACAGACACACAGAAGGGAACTTACAATGTCGTCCTTATCGAATAAGAGGCAGCTCCCCCAGCTGATCCCTCTGAAGTAGGCGGTGGCCAGTTTGGCGATGTCCAGTTTAAAGGGCTGTTCCACGAACACGATGTAGTTTTCGGTCATGCCGAAACTGTGGAAGTAGCTTGGAAACAGAGTGGAACGAGGCGCAAACGAACAGATCTGCTGAACTTTGCTCAAAGCCGGCTTCTGATGCTGTAAATCTGAAACAAACAACTCGGTATTAATTCTGCTATTATTCTTATTATCAGATTGTAAGAACACATATTTGCGTCTGTTCATGGATTATTGATTAGTCTGTAATGACAGGTGTTATTATAGATTTACATGTATTATGCAAAAGCAGATGGACGGCTCAGTTCTTGCGTTTTACCTGCAGATGTCAGGCTTCACACAGATTTTAATTGTTGTTACTCTTTAACTGAATATTTAAATACTGTAAAAGGGATAAAAGGAAGGAAAATATAGCAGTTTAGTAAACTTTAAGTTAATATGAGGCACTACAACTAGTCCTCAGTCCTTTGGCGTTTGTGTGTTATTACAGCTATAGTTATAAATCTTTGTCAACATCCCAACAGTGGGCCTCAATCTCCGTCATATAATCTTGGTCCTTTCATCTGAAATAGCAGGTATTCTGTTTACATAATGATTACTGAAGAGACCGTAAGTACAGAGACTTCACTGATAACAAGTCTCCTTCCAGATTAGTTTGACTTGTCATCACTGTCATTGCAGCATCACGAATCAATCAGACTCCGTTCTGTAATTAGAAAAAGACTTAACTTCTGCTGCAAATAAGCTAAGACACAAAGAGTCACTGTAGTCTGGTAAGGACCTGGGGTCTCATTCAGAAACGTGCGCCCAAAACCCAAAAATGGCGTACGCCAAAAAATATATGGACTTATAAAAGTGTGCGTACGCACATGTTTAAGCAATTTTCCCTTTATAAATCACAATCAAATCGAAATGTGGCGCATGTGAGGGAGCTCCATGTCCGAGCCTCCAAACGCCCACAGCTGTCTATAAATGGGCAGTGAAACCCTCATTAATATTAATCCGTCCTGACTGCAGGAGGAAAAGGAGCCAAACTCTGACAGAAAAGCCACAAAACGAGATTTAACTCATTGTGACACTGACACTTTGGTGAAGCTGAAGCTGTCTGGTGGGTAAAATAACAACGCTTGTGCACCGGAGGAAAGGGGCCCGGATGACCCAGGTACTAATTTGGATTCCCCCGTTTGAAAAGAGAGTAAACCAAATGACCTCCACTCGTGTTTAAACATTTATTTATTTACACAAACAGTCCTCTCACTTAACGAGGCTGCCGATGAGTTAAAAGAAATGTGACTCGTTGGAAATGACAGGAGCTGAAAGATGTACTTACTAAAATAGTATTATATTTTCCACAAGGCGTTTTTACGTGCTGCGCTTCACATCCACACGCTGACGCACCGCGTTTGGCTCGATAAGGCAACGAACATGTGAAACTGCACTGGTATCTGTATGACTGACACATTGAAAACGGCATCAATTTAAATGTAATTTGTCCTCCTGATCACCGTATTTATGATAATAAATTGCACTGCATGCAAGAATTAATTAATATGATTCCGGATTGAACTGTCCAACATATTTGAGGCGTTCTTTGCAGAAACAGAATCTCTGTTTGTGTTTATTATCTTAAATCTGGATCTTTTTGTGGCTGCAAATGATCTTAAACTGTTTTTTGCGCACTTCAGGGAAAGTCAATCAAACGGGTGTTTGTTTATTCAGAAAGGCTTTAAGCCAGTAATACTCAGATAATATTTCGATTTCTTCTACACAACAGTAGGACTATTCATTTCAACCCGTTTCATCCTTCATCATATGAGTCACCGTTTCTCTTTTCTCCTCTTTACGTGCGTACGCATGGTTCAGAGTTTACTTACAGGACGCACATTCTCCCGTCAGCTTTGTTTGGGAAGTGGCGTACGCACGTTTCCAGCCCTGTTTTGTACGTACGCACCGTTTATAAATGAGACCCGTGGTTACATTAGCTTGGGACACATGTCAGTACCACTAGACTATCCAACAGGTCATGGACAGCTCTGTCCTCCACTCCGACACCAACATGAACCCTCCATCTTTAAGGTTTTCGGAGGTTGAAGTTAAATGAGGTTACTGTGGCCACCGTACCTGATGCATCAGCGGGAACTTTGAAGATGATGTACTTTGGCAGGCCTAAGCCTATGATGGCGGTGCCCACGTTGTAGGTGTTGCCCTCACTGTCATAGTGAGGGTGAGCCGTGGCTAAAGTCAGAGCGATGTGTTTCTTGTAGTTAATCTGAAATTTGGCGGTGAAAGTGATAAGTTTGAAGAACTATTTGTAACTGATCAATGAGCCTTTGGAGCTTTGAGGAGGCGGGTGGAGACTAACTTACCCTGCCGATAGTTTCCAGAGTAGCAGGATCAATCTGGTTTATGTAGTTGACCTCAGAGGAGGCGTAGTATTCCTGACCATAACGAATGATGTTGATTAAGTTGTTGTCGGTGAAGTCAGAGATGACGTTGGAGAAGTGCGTGAATGCCCTATTGAGAGAAAGGTTCCACTTGTTTAAGTAACTGAAACAGATCTCTACATGTCCTGGATGGTCTGAAACAGATCTCTACATGTCCTGGATGGTCTCTGGATGTCTGAAACAGATCTCTACAGATCTCTACATGTCCTGGATGGTCTGAAACAGATCTCTACATGTCCTGGATGGTCTCTGGATGTCTGAAACAGATCTCTACAGATCTCTACATGTCCTGGATGGTCTGAAACAGATCTCTACATGTCCTGGATGGTCTGAAACAGATCTCTACAGGTCTCTACATGTCTGGATGGTCTCTGGATGGTCTGAAATTGATCTCTACAGATCTCTACATGTCCTGGATTGTCTCTGGATGGTCTGAAACAGATCTCTACATGTCCTGGATGGTCTCTGGATGGTCTGAAACAGATCTCTACAGATCTCTACATGTCCTGGATGGTCTGAAACAGATCTCTACATGTCCTGGATGGTCTGAAACAGATCTCTATATATCCTGGATGGTCTGAAACAGATCTCTACATGTCCTGAATAAACAGATTTCTACATACCCTGGATGGCCGGTACCTGGAAAAGATGTTTTTGCTGGGATCTGGGTAGACCATGGTTCCAAACTCAGTGACGACAATCCTGTTGGCCTCGATGTTCCTTTTGTAGGTGTCACTCTTCAGAAACTTACTTCTGTAAGTCACCTCGCCTGCAACACCACCAGGTACCAAAGCTTTCTCATAAATGTTCTTACAGCAGCGAGTTTAACTTTTCTACCATGAGAAATGCTGTGTAAATAGCATCACTTATTTATGGTGAGATAATGTTGTAAATTTTGTCGTTGTTGGAGAGTCTTACCTTTGCAGACAGTGAAGCTGTGGATAAGCGACATGCCATCAAACCAGTGATTGTACTCAGAGCTGCCCACAGAGAAAAGGCCCGGCCCGTTCCTCAGCAGAGTTCCCTGCAGCCAGGACGGGATGGACCCTGCAGGTCAAAGGTCAGGCTTTTTACCATAAACCAGTGGTTCTCAAACTTTTTCTGCCATGCCCTCAGAAGCCAAACAAATTTAATGCCCCCCCCCCCACCACATGTAAACAGACAGAATTCTTATCAGCCATTTACAATGTTGGGCAAGAAATAAATAAATAAGGAGGTCAGCACAATAGCATCAACAAACTTGTTTTTTCCCTACAGAAATTATGTGCATCTAATATAGTTACACTCCACATTTTTCCCCTGGTCGTTTACGCCACTGCATAGGGTGGATTAAGTAAGGAAAAGTTAAGGGATACTGCAGGTGATAAAAATGCTGTAAAGCTGTTGAGATAACGGCTACAAAAAATATTACAGACATCTGAAAAGTTATTTTAGGAGCAATTCTACGAGAATTTAAGGCATATCATTTTAAATTACTATAAAAGCACACTCTATTACTAAGTTCTTAATATTACATGACTATAAGAACACGGATAGAAAAATTATTGTGTTACTGTAAGAGTATGACAGTGGATTCAACCTTTTTGGCTAGTATATATAAATTAGGGCTGAACGATTAATCGTTTTCAAATCAAAATTGCGATTTGAAAGAATGCGATTAGCTAAACGTGAAGACAGCGATTACAATCTAGGTTAATTATACATCTGACCCGTTTTAAGCAGTCATGCAGTTACATAGCCACATGGAGCATTTCAGAATAAGAGTGTTTTGCCCGTCTGATTTTGCTGACTTGTTCAGATTGTGTTAATTTATCCAGTTGTCCTTGATTTTTGTGCTTCTACCATGGACTGGATCGGGAGTCTGCAACAGGGTGTTTTATTTTGAAAATCGACCGGATTCTCTACGCCGTTCTGTGTCTGACTTCCTGCCTGGTTCATCTGCTCTGTGCTGCTTGATGTGACTTCCTCAAAAACAGACTGGCAGTGAATATTGAACTTTGGCAAAACTTCAATAAAAAAAATTGCACATCGAGTCGTAATCCCAGTATCTGGCTGAAAAATCGCAATTAGATTTTTCCCCCAAATCGTTGGACCCTAATTTAAATATTGTCTTTGCACTTGTGAAAACACTCTTTAAAAAGTGCTCTATAAATAAAGAGTATCGTTATAAACATCATTTATTTTACAATGATGAGAGGAAGTACTCAATTATTTTAGTCATGTGAAAGTTGCAGTACCACAGTGTAAAAATACTGAAAGTGCAAAAGTATTATTAGCAGAATGACCCCTTACAGTGTTATTTAATATTTGTATGCAGTGTTTAGTTTAATATCTATAAACCTTTTAAAACTATTCTAATTTGCATTGCTTTAACAGTCAAACTCACCTTCCACTTGAGCTTTCACCGGCTCCGGAGTTTCAGATCCGTTTCTGGCAAATACCGACAGCATGTTTCTCTCCTGACCTCAAATGTCCCAGAGTGCACTGCTGCTGCTGTAGCTCCACGACCGACTGAACAGCCAGACTGACAGCAGCCGGCCTCATGTAGCCTTCGTCTTTGTCTACGTGATGACCTCCTGAAACTAAACATTGTGCTTTATGTAACCGCTCTGCTCTGGACTTCACTCTGCTTTTCACAATAAAAGCCTAAACTACTTTAACCTTTACAGTATCACAGGGTGCAGCATTACGTGTGGCCCACAGTCAACCAGATAAGGCTTCAATACTGACTGTCCAGCAAATTCGGACAAAATCAGTCCAATTAAACGTGCGATTAAATGTTAACAGGTCACTCTGTGTTCATTTATATTTGAGTTTATTTTTGTTTCATCTAAAAACAGTCGCTGTCGTTAGAAACGTCACTCGTCATCACAAAGTTCTTCCTATAAATCTGTGTGTTTAGTCTCGGTTGAGACTATAAATCTAAATATAGTTAAAAGCGCAGCTGGATGGATCCTGATCTGATGTCTGATTATCTGTGAGCAGATAACGAGCAGCGAGTTGTGATAACCATTCCCATTATCTCCTGTCCAAATGCTGTCACACCGCTCAAAGAAGACGAGGGAACACTCAGATCTCCATAAACCAAATAGGTCAAAGCTCAGAATCTTTACTGGGCATCGTTTAATACGTTGAGAACAAGGGCTGATCCAACCTGCGTGACTTTCATCCCGGCAACTCATCATGTGGCTCAGGAGAGTGTTCGGCCCCGACGGCGTCTGGGCTCCTGATGGGACGCCGGATGGTGTCCTGGGGGATCTCCTCCTCCCAGACCTGGAACGTCTCCTTGCGTCTCCTCATGCCCTTGAGACTGGGCTGCTGGACTACCTGAATGGGCTGCGAACAGCTCCTTATACTAGTGACAAAGACACGAGCGAAGGCTGAACTAGAGAACAACCTGTTGTCACTTTCATTTACACCAAAACAGGAGGCACTGATTCACAAACGCTTCTGCTTCCTAACCTCCTAGACTGAGAAGTGTTCCCTTCATTTTCTTTTAGCAGTGTGTATAAAACACCCAGTTTGTTTTAAACTAATATATTTATATTTTAAGTCTTTACTACATAACTTCAAATCGCAGCATATCAAAATATTCTCTCTGTGGTTGCAACCCGATTAATCTTGTTTTCTCTCAGTTTTGTCTTTAAAATATCAGTTTGTAAATGTCTTTTTGAGGCCATTTCACTAACACATGACAATGAAAAACAGCAACGACACTGTTCTCTTCTGGGTTAAATAAAATAAATCCATTATCAGAATTGTTTTCAACAAATAGTTGCAGCTCTAATTTTCAAATTGATTAACTTTTATTTGTTCTGTAGCAAACACATTTCAAATGTGTTTAATTATGTTGAATTTCTTCTGAATGTAACAACGTGAGTCCACATGAGTTTGGCCTTTAGACACTTGGCTCTATATCTCTGGCTGTGTAATTGGTTAAATAAGTTTACTGCTTTACAGCTGCTGTTATCGGGGCAGGTCACAGATCTGTAATGATCCACACTGAAGCGGTGTCTTATACCAATGACTGAAGCTAAAATCATGAGGATTGGGAAAGTAGGCTCGCTCACACGTTTGTTCCAGAGCAGGGACTCTTGTAACTCTCTCCCATGTACTGTACAATATTTGGTGCTCAGAACAAGACTTTGACACCGGAGTTCACGTCCAGTTCAAGCTTCAGCTCAGCGTTCTTATATCAGAATGACACCTGATAAAACCAGCGGCTGATGATGTTCTCCTGTGTTTCCTTTGTACAGTTATCCATTAATAGGCTGCAACAAAGTCATGTTTAGTGTTTAACATACTTTGTCCTCCTCTAACGTTATTATTGCCCGTTATGTTACACAGTTATTGGAGTAGAATGCACAGACGAATGCAATAAACCTGCATTTATGTCCTAATCAAGTCTGCAGAGCCATATGTTTAATGCTTTAAACTTTACCAGCTAATGTTTTTATGGTGGAACCCAGTTTACAAATTAGAACAAAATACCGTAAAACTGAAAGTAACAGCGCAGGCTTGTATATTTGCTTCAGTCACTGAACTCACCCTGCCTGAATCTGGGACAGGCCTCGCTCAGCAACATGGAGCCAGCTGGTCCCCGATGTTTTTCATGAAGCCCCGGATCTCAAAAGGATTTTTTAAATTACAAATAGAAGAAAAAAAAAAACAAAGAATCAAAGCCAGGGATCTATTTATCTCTCATTACGATCATGCGTTAAGGCCCGTGAAATAAATAAATAATAAGCAGCAGCAGAACTTTACTGAGCAAGCTGCCGTCAGAGACAGAGACAGAAGTGAAAGCAGTGGACACAGCTTCAGGGTTTGCCAGAGACTTTTTTGACCCCGGAAATAATTTTGATCAAAGCATATCGAAAAGCCACCGGGCCGCTGTCTGTCAGTGTTTGGACAGCGGTGATCTCAGAATCCGTGATCCGGACCGCGGACTGATTGCAACACAGTGTGAGAAACAGATTTACTGCCACTGTTACCCTTTTAAAGTAAAAAGTAGGCTACGAGCCGCTGCAGGGCTGCAGAGCTGCAGAGCTGCAGGGCTGCAGGGCTGCAGGGCTGCAGAGAAGAGACAGTGATGATGTTTGACTGAAGCGCAGTGACCGGGTCAGGAGAGAGGGTCTGAGTGAGACCCTGCAGCTGTGACTTCGGGATGTTCTCTGGACTCTGGGCTGCTTGTCTTTGTAGAAACACATAGTCAGATTGCGATTTTCATTCCTGCTTCAGTCGTAACAGCTGACTTCCCTTCGGCACAGCTCCAAAGTGTTGATAGCGAATTAGAGTTCTTCGTTCTCCTAATTTAAGTCAAACAGTGAAACTTTCATATGTTCTAGATTCATTCAAGGGCGTCACTTTGTGTGGAAAGGTGGTGGGGACATAAGGGCTCAGATTAGTGTGACTTATCTCACAAGACGTGCTGATGCACAATACTGTGTTCGTGAGATAAAGATATTTTATCACTAGGCTATTAAATATAAGATTAAAGGGTGTGAGGTCCTCCCCCGAAGATTTAGAGCATCAAACACTTAATTAACTGCATCCTTGAGACATTTTCTGCACGAATTTATGGTGGAAATGTTTTTATTTATTTATTTATATGAAGGGAAAACACAAAGTTGGGGTGGCAGTTCAATAATACAATGAAATGTAAGGGAGTAATAGAAGCAAGTGGCTTGTTTTTAGGACAATAAACGTTTTTTTCTTCTATATTTAAAATGCATTGCATGTTTTGTTATTGTGCAAATAAACCTTTCATTTGGTATTTTACATTTCTTGTTGCAAACATTTTATTTAGAACATTTGAACAAATGCATCTGTTCTCCATCCTCTCCATTACTCTCCTCTGTGTCACCTGCCGCCAGCGTTTAAAACCAAAAACACAGCGTCCAAAGCGTAAATGACACCATTACACATGAAGTGAAATATTTCAGGGCTTTGTTTGTTTTAACTTTGATGCTTAGGGCTTACAGCTCATGGAGATAAAAAATCCACATCTCAGAGTATTATAATAAAGAACATATAATACAGAAATGTTGGCCTGAGAAGATCTTCTGTCTCGACAGCTGTCCTGAAGACACCAGACCAGTAAAAGGAGTCGGCTTCTAATTGAGATTTTAAGTTTTATGGTACAACTTTATTGTGGAAACTTGTCTTTGGTCCTTCTGGCTGTAACTAAGAACTTAATGATGGATTTCTGATCAGGAAACACTCCCGAAGCGTTTCTTAAATCTTCCTTGTCAGGAGACTACATCAGTAGGTTCTGATCATAAATAATCTGTGATAATATATAGATGTATTTCAGACCCCTGACAACAAGACCGGATCCACAAGGTCACACAAAGAACAAAGACCACATGCAGATAGTTTTGGATGAAAAATGAAGTTTATTACAAACAACGACAGAGAGCTGTTAGCAGTCAGTTAGCAGCTGTTAGTTCTGTACAAATAACACTGTTTAATTGGTTAGTTGAGTTTGCCAATCGGCAACAAGGCTAGGTCTCAAACAGCACCCTACGCCCTCTGTAGTGCACTACTTTCCACCTTACACCTTTCGTAGTGCCCTGCTTTCTGCGCTACATCCTCTTGAGTGCACTGCCTCCAACGTTAGACCCTCCATAGTAGGCTAGTTCCCACCTTAAACCCTACTTAGTGCACTACCTTCCTTCTTAAACCCTTCATACTGCACTAAGTTTGCGTTAAGCATCTAAATAGTGTGCCTCTTTTACCCTAAAGTATTATAGTGCCCTTTGTTGCACCCTATACCCTTCATAGGATACTTTGTTGCACCCTATACCCTTCATATAACACTTTGTTGCACCCTATACCCTTTATAGTGCACTGCACTTTGTTGCACCCTAGTTCCTTCATATAACAACATTGTTGCACCCTATACCCTTCATAGAACACTTTGTTGCACCCTATACCCTTTATAGTGCGCTTTGCTGCACCCTATACCCTTCATAGATCACTTTGTTGCACCCTATACCCTTCATAGAACACTTTGTTGCACCCTAGACCCTTCTTAGTGCACCACCTTCCATCCTAAACCCTTCATAATGCACTCCTTTCCTCTTTACACCTCTAAAAGTGCACTATTAACATCGTGCACACTTTGTAGTGCACTACAATGCACCCTAAATCCTTCTGGTGCACTCCGAGTTCACAAGTTTCGACATTGCTGATGTTTATAAAAACGTTGGACCCCACAGACGTTACTTTTCTCGGTTTTCTACTCTTAGTTTTTTTTGGTTGTTGTTGCATTCCCAATCACAACATGGACGTGTTAAAGACAAAATAATTTTCTTTCTCTGGAAAAGGGAACAAGGTAGCGTCCATCTTTTAGCGTCGTTCACCCGACTAATGCAGTGTTCATGTTACGTGGGATGGGGAAGACGTCTTGCCGGTGTTCACGTCATTGGACTATTAAGACAAGTTTACGAATGCAGAGTCGGTTGTATGAGGGATAGAAAATACTGTGCGTGGTCGTTAAAGCACTATATCCATTACGTTTGTATTTAAATACCTTGAACAGCGGACTTGAGGAGGCCATGTTTGCTTTTTCAGGCACTTCAGTATTGTTTAGTGCCTGGTCGGATGTAACAGACTTGGATGTTGACGTGAGCACTATTTAAATGTTGGGTAATTACGGTAATTCCCGCATGACATGAATGCGGCATTGAACTTAAGTGCGACACACACTGGCCACTGTCACTTAACACCATTTAATGAAACGTAATGCAAGCTGGATTACGTTTCAATCAAAATACTGAGGACATTTTTTAAGAGACGCCTTGAGACGCCACAGATGTTCGGCAAGCTAGCTGGCTAACAACGGTGTAGTTTCTTGTGTGTCGTCATGCAAGATGTTTACGCATCTCAGCGGGTTACAATTTAGCATCTCAGGATGTGTTTTCAGCGTTGAATTTAACCTCTTATATGAATCTTCTGTTCAGGTCTCGCATTTCGTCTTTTTCTTTTAAAGTTTTACATGTTTTACAAGAATCAAATGCGATGATAGTAAGTAACCGTTCTGTAGTTTTCGATCATGTCTCGCAGTCTTCATCAGGTGGAGTTACACTTCAATTACATCGTAGCAGTGGTGTGAACTTTAAGGACTTCTTCCGGTCCGTATCGGTTTAAAGACTGGCTCTCCTGGAGCTTTTGATCACTGTTGTACTTGCAGTGAGATTGTTTCGTCAAAATGTTTGAACTTTCAGTCCAACAAAAGTCACAGGAAGTGGTTCCTCCCAGTTTTTAATACATTGATGGAAAAACAAACGTCTTAAGGCCCCGATAAATTTACTTTTAGCTGTGCTTTCGCACATGCAAGATGGCTGCCACGCGTCTCCTCTGGAGCGTAGCTTGTCTTCAGAAATTAACGCTAGGCGTGGGGGCAGAATGTCGATCTGACAGACAGGTCAGCGGCGACCTCTTTGTTCTACTCTCCAGCCCAGGTGCTGACGGTAATGCAGTTGGGTCAGCAGCAGACTTAACAAAAGAGATAAGGGCGGGATGTTTTGAACAAAACCTCCTGGAGCAATTTGCAACGTCTTTCTTATGTCTCATTAAAATCAGAACCTCCTCGAGCGTCGGCATGTTTGTTTACGTCATGCAAATTTGGATGTTGTCAAGGAAGATAATCTGGCGTCGGCCCTCTTCTGCCCCCTAGTGGATAAATGTTTAATCCTCCAGGTGCTTGCGTCCCCTCTGCGTGTCTACACCTACACATTGTTAAAAAGTATATCAGGAGCTTTAGGGGGCAATAACATCACAGTGTAAGGATCTTGCCTGAAAGCACATGAGGAACTTCACGTTTCTAACCAACCGGCTTGCCGTACCAGTGTGTGTTGCCTTTAACAGAACCAACACAGAGCATGATGTCTGCTTGGTTTCACTATTACAGCCTCATCTGAAGGCAGCGTTCCACCTTTAATCTCTTTAAAGTTTGCTATGTCTCTCCTCACACCCGCCACAGTGCACTACTTCCTGCCTTAGCACCTCCGTAGTGCACCTGACAGGCTCCTTAAGGACCGGGGTGTTGTCTGAGAATGGCACCAGAGAAACAGAGAGAGAGAGAGAGAGACAGAGAGGTAGAGAGAGAGAGAGAGAGACAGGTGAGAGACAGGTGAGAGACAGGTAGAGAGACAGGTAGAGAGCGTGCTGAGGGTTCAGAGACAGACAGTCACAGTAGGTGGAGTTGCTGCTGTCTGTCTGTCAGTAGCAGTTGGAGGTCTGGTCTATATACAGAAACAAGAAATGCATAATCAGAACATCCAAACTAACCAGAGCTGCACGCACGGAGAGGGCGCCATGTTGGAGGCGGGTGGAGGCAGGGGGGCGGGGACAGCGGCAGCTCTGGTTCGCTAAAAAGACAAAATAACGGGTGTCACCGCAAACATAACGATTCGCAACGCTACACCGGGACACCACCTAACTGTCCGTGGAAAAACACGCACACACGCACACGGGACGGCGCCACCAACACACACACGCACACACGCTCTCTCTGACACACAAACATTAATATGACAAACAGTTTCTCTCTTTTTTTCTATTGAGGTGAAAAACAGATTCTATTATTCTTAATTATCATAATCATCATAAGTAATCGTCTTCATCGTCTTCATCGTAGCAGTGGTGTGAGTGTGTGTGAGTGTGTGTGTGTGTGTGTGTGTGTGTTCTCAGTCTGTTTATAAACACTATTAACATGTTGACACGCAGAGAGCTCAGTTCTGATTGGCTGACGGGTCTTTTCACCTCTTCTCATCCAGGAGGCTTGTTTTTATTTTTTTAAATTGTCTCTCGCTGCCTGGAATCAGTCTGTTGTTGGTGGAGGTGATGATGATGTGGTCAGGTGGTCTCCCTCCCGCTGACCCACAGGAAACAGTTTGTGATGTCATCAGAGTGCGATTGGTTGCTCGGGGGCAGTAAACTGGAGGGCGTCCTGACGGCGGCGTCCGATTGGACGAGGATGGAGGTGTGTTTTGGCTGAATGTTGAAGCACCAGGAAGGAGGGAGGGACAGTACCTGCTGCTGGGAGTGTGTGGGTGCAGTTAATCTTTTAATACTGGCAGCAGATCAGGGCCTAAAGCGTGCGAGGAATCACTATGAATGTGGAGCCTAGAGGACTGCGAAGGCCAACCTGAGGGTCGGGGCCCCTGCAAGCGGAAATTGTTCACTGTTTTCCGACATCTTTAAACTATTAATCACTAATGATAGTAATCGTTAGTTGGAGCCCTGACAGCTTCACTTGAAGAATCAGGACAAACTTTACACTTTCAGCTCCACCGTAGGTCAGACAGAGTGCTGTTTGTTGTGTCCCACCCTGCGGCCTGTAGCGGGACACTAGCAGGACTTTGAACACTTGTTGATAATAGAAGATATGGAATATATAGAATATAGCGGCCGGTCTGGGGATCCCTATGGCGTCATAGTTCAACGCAGTGGGGGAAGCCCTGTAGCGTCAGTTTGTGACGGTAAAGGTGGGTATATGATATTTAAGAGAAAAGACTGAGTAAGGAGGTGGTTGGTGTGGATGGAGGGCCAGAACCTGGACTTTGAACCAGGAGACCGGGGTTTGTGTGCCGTAAAGTACCCAGGGCGTTAGAAAGCGATGCCAAAGGGCCTTGACGAGTTGGGAGAGAGAATGTGTTGAATACAGATCTAGATAAAAGAAGTACCTGTGTTGTCATGTGTCAGCCCGGCCTGTAGGGGGCAGCAGAGCCCGTTTATACAGTGTTTAGTAAGTTGAATGCATCATTTCTCTGAAGTAACTCCCAAGCCCACTGCTGAATAAACCAGTAAAAGAGGAATGACCCCTGTTTTACTGTTTTACTGTTTGTAAACTTTGACGGAGCTGTTCAACAACGTCACGGTCAAATGTAAAGTTTGTCCTGATGGTGGCGCTACAGGAAAGATCAGGCGGTCACCTAAAACGATCAGGGGCCGCTGTCTTTGGAGCACGAATGTGATCAGGACATTTTATCCCCATCTGAAGGCTCCACCTCTCTCAGAGCAAACCATCATAAAAGGATTTCCCAGCATGCCTCTGGCCCTGTTAGCCTGCAGTATTTGGCGTGTATGTAGTAAACCATAGTCTGACTCTGCTGTGTGTGTAATTGTGTATGTGTGTCAGTGTGTTTTGAGCACGCTGCGTGACACCCAGCCCTCGGCGGCCGGCGAGTCGCTGTTGGCCGGCCGGTAAACCAAACTCTGACCCTGCTGGTTGGACGCCAGAATCTGAACCTTCTCCCCCCGGAACACACAGATCTCGTCCTCCCGCACCGCCACAAAGTCCTGCGTCACCAGCACCAGCTCCTGAGGGGTCAAAGGTCACATGGTCTCATCAACATCTTATTAATTCCAACCTGAACTTTAAAAATAAAGAACGAGAGCTCGTCCAGGCATAAAATAAAGACGGGGAAGTCCAAACCTGGTCGTCCTGCTCGACGTCAGGTGGAGGCTGAGTGGCGTGGCCGTTGGGTGTGGGCGGGGCCGACGGGGGTCGTCCCGACGACAGAGGGCGGGTCACAGAGATGCCGCCCTCCTTCTTCTGGTACTCAATGGGAGACTGAAGAGCTGTGGACCCAAACAGAGTGTAAACAGAATACGGTTAGATTCAGATTCAACTAAACCAGATCAACTCCATCATTTATCTCTCGAGTCCTAAGATGTTTCAGAGATCTGATGATATTCAGGGAGATGCATGGATAAGTTAGGGAGGTTTAAGGATGCTTCAGAGATTCAAGGATGTTTTCAAGGGAGATGTACTCACCTGACAGGAAGTTGTTCTGGGCGTCCAGCAGGGTGGCGATGTTCTCCACCCAGGTCATCTTGATGCTGGCGGAGGACGCTTGCAGTGTGAAGCGCTCCGCCGAGCCACGAGACCACAACACAAACTTACACGGATCACCGTCCACACTGTCCTGCATCGCCAGGTAAGTCACCTGATCACACACAATAACACCATTATCCCCAGAATAAACCAGTCTATCCATGTCTTAAACAAGTTTACCCCAGTAGAAACCAGTCCATCCACGTCTTAAACCAGTTTACCCCAGTAGAAACCAGTCCATCCACGTCTTAAACCAGTACACCCCAGAATAAACCAGTCCATCCATGTCTTAAACCAGCATACCCCAGAATAAACCAGTCCATCCATGTCTTAAACCAGTATACCCCAGAATACACCAGTCCATCCATGTCTTAAACCAGTATACCCCAGTAGTAACCAGTTCATCCACGTCTTAAACCAGTATACACCAGTAGTAACCAGTCTAACCTTGATGCTGTTCTTGAACTGGTATCCCGGGTTGTTGGAGCCTTTCCGCAGCAGCTCACTGAAAATGATGATCTGCTCGAAGAGGAAAACTCTTCGCTCTTTGCTGCGAGACAGAACTCCTCCGTCCTGCTCCCAAACACAGAAGGTCTCCTGCTGCAGGAGCTTCCCCTGAGACGTCAGCTTCCCCTGAACAGGTGAGGACAGAAACACATTAACATGTGAGCGAACGGCCGCCCACTCATCCAGAAACATTACCGCCCTGCTGACGTTATTAATAAATGTGGCGTCCCTCAGGGTTCGATTCTTGGTCCTTTATATTTCTATTTCGGTTAAAGCTGCAGGAATTGATTCTCGGCCGCTTATAAGCAGCGCAACAAGCCGTAAACAGTCAAATCCATAGCTCCATTCTTTCCTGCTGTCCTCCAGTATAAATATTTTTATGGAAATCTCACATATCTTTTTTGAATAAAACCTGATTTACGAGTTAGGACTAAAACCTATAGTAGGCCTAATTGTTCTGTGTGAATTGTTGTAATTATTGACAAGTAAGCACTTGGCTTTAATAAATTAGAGAATGTGGACTGTTTTTCTTTAATGAATGAAAACAACCCACAAAAATGAAACTGTGGTAACGGGAATTAATTTTAGGCCTAAACTAGTGTCACTATATATTAAAATATAATAATATGTTAACATTATATAAGTAATATATTAACATAATACTAACAGTATTAAATGTAAAATAAACTTTTATTTAATGTAGGAATATTACACTAAAGCAATACAGTAATTTATCCTCCTTGTTGACAGGTTGGATGATCTTATCATCTTGTAAATTAAATGTAGAACACAGAGAAACATCCCAACATGTGCTGTGTGGACAGATTTTGTGTTGTGAGCAGAATGTCTGTTGTTGCTAATTAAAGACAGGTAGTGGAAATTATTTTGAGTTGTTTCAGCTCTGTAGATCAGGGCTGCCGTTTTCTGGTCAGGGCTTGTTGGTTTGTTTGTTTGGCCTCGGATAAACCTGATGTTGAAATTAAGCTTCAGTAAATTAAATTATTCTCTTCATCTGGTTTTATTTTCCAGATTTCCCTGGACCACGTAGTGTTTGTTTGCTGTTATGTACATAGCAGATTGTGTAAACATGACAACTGTTGTGAGTTTCTTAACTGTCCTGCACACAGTAAAACCAGAACTAGGAGCTAAAGGAGGCCAAAGACCTACTTAGAGCTGCAGTTGGTACAAGTACAAGCTGATTACTCCACTGACGTTTGATCAGATAGACGGTTTCTAGCTGTGACAGACAGACAGGTAGACAGACAGGTGTACCTCGTATCCCTGCAGGCGTCCCAGGTTCATCATGTCGTTGCAGCGCTTTGGTACCAATGACATCAGCTCCACTGCTTTCTGTACACAAACACTCAGAGTTGTTAAATATTGCAGAAGTTTAAAGATGGTCTACAGGATGATGATTCACCACCCTGCGTGAATCATTTAACATCATGACAACAGCAGTATCTGCTGGCCTGTTGAAGCTAAAACACGGGGTTACTCTGCTCTTTGAACGTTTAAAACTTCACTGCTCCGACAAGTAGGAGAGAGGCTGACAGCCAATCACATTACAGCGTTCTTTGTGGTATAAAGTAAAACGTATAAGTGGGACTCGCCTCGATCTCTTCACAGTCGAGTCCTGCTTTGGACGTGTACTTTAGGAAATCCTGAGAAAGAAGGAATAGAGAAGATGAAGATCTTTGACAGTCAAATAACTTAAATGTGTTGTTTTGTTAATGAACCGTTACGAGACAGAAATAGTTATACAGCAATGGGAATGTTTGTGTAACCAGAAATGTGGACAGAAACTCAGTAGATCCAAAGTGAAATGTCCTCAGACCTTCAGCAGCAGCTGGTACTTGGTGATTCTCTGGATGGGTTTGATCAGGTAATCACTGATCGACATCCTGCAGCTGATCTCATGCTGGATCTCCTGCAGGCAAAGAGAGAGAGAGACAGGTTCATTTTACAGCCTACAATATGAGAACTCATCCTCCTGCATTCGGCTGCTGAAACGTTAACTGCCTCCTGCTCGTCCTCGACACCAAACTCCACTGAAAAATCAACCCATTTAATGAAGCCTGCAGTTTCTTTTCTTGCTGGTGACTGGCTTTTATTTGACCAGCATGGATTCCTCCTCAATCGACAGAAATTCAATCAGCAACTACCTTGATAAAAGGTGAATCATCATCTTTTATCTTTGTAAAACCAGGCGTTTTACAAAGAACAAAGATAAATAAATAGTCAAAGAAACTATGGATTAAAACATCTACAACATGTCAGCACTAAAAATGTCTTAAACTTGAAGTCTGGTGTTGTTTCATCTCCAAAACCTGACTTCCTGTCTGTGGCTCGCAGCTCCGAGCCCCCTGGTTCCTCCTTTAGACGTCAATCTTTAAAAACACCTCACAGAAAACTAGTTTAATTTTTATTTCTTCAAACAGCTGCTCGCTGTAGTTTTTAATAAACAGAAGGAAATCCATGTGGACAGTGTATGTCGGACTGAGTCAGACTAACAGCTTCACGTTAAAACAAGACAAAAAAAATGTTCAGAGACACACGTGATGAAACAGGAAGTGATGCGTTACCTCAAAGAACGTCTCGTACTCGATGACGATGAACTCCGACCTCGGCTTGTTCTGACAGTAAACCACGTACATGTGGAGACGACGTTCCTGCAGCAAACACACACACACACATCGTAGGTATATATCGCAGGTAAACATGTGTGTGTATATATATATATATATATATATATATACTGTATATACACTGAACAAAATTATAAAGGCAACACTTTTGTTTTTGCCCCCATTCATCATGAGCTGAACTCATAGATCTAAGACTTTCAAATATTGTTCACAAATCTGTCAAAATCTGTGTTAGTGAGCACTGCTCCTTTGCCGAGATAATCCATCCACCTCACAGGTGTGGCATATCAAGATGCTGATCAGACAGCATGGGGATTGCACAGGTGTGCCTTAAAAGGCCTTAGGCTGGCCACAATAAAAGGCCTTAGGCTGGCCACAATAAAAGACCACTCCAAAATGTGCAGTTTCACTGTATTGGGTGGGTCCGGGTCAGTATCTGATGTGACCACCATTTGCCTCACAAAGCACAACACATCTCCTTCGCATAGAGTTTATCAGGTTGCTGATTATGGCCTGTGGAGTGTTGGTCCACTCCTCTTCAATGGCCGTGCAAAGTTGTAATCAGGTTGAGACCCCAATGAGGACGATGAGCATACAGATGAGCTTCCCTGAGTAGGTTCCTGACAAGTTAAAGCAGGAATTCTTTTGTTATGCAAACCGATTGTTGCAGCAGCTGTCTGGGTATCTGGTCTCAGACAAATCTCAGAGGGGAAGATGCTGGATGTGGAGGTCCTGGGCTGGTGTGGTTACACGTGGTCTGCGGTTGTGAGGCTTGTTGGATGTACTGTCAAATTCTCTGAAACGCCTTTGGAGGCGGCTTATGGTGGAGAAATGAACATTCACTTTACGGGCAACAGCTCTGGTGGACATTCCTGCAGATCAGGATGCCAACTGCACGCTCCCTCAAAACTTGCGACATCTGTGGCGTCGTGCTGAGTGATGGAACTGCACATTTTGGAGTGGCCTTTTATTGTGGCCAGCCTGAGGCCTTTTATTGTGGCCAGCCTAAGGCACACCTGTGCAATCCCCATGCTGTCTGATCAGTTTATAATTTTGTTCAGTATATATATATATTTATAGTGTATACACACAGTGTATATATATATATATATATAGATTATGGTTATACCTTCATTTTGATCAAATATGTAGTTACTTTCCTTCTGATACTGTTTTTTAGGTTGAACTTTTATGCTGTTTTCTTCATGTATTAGTGTCTATGAAGATTCTCAGTCATCCAGGTCATAGTTATCCAACGAAGGTTAAAATCAAGGGCAACTGGACTTGGTTGAAGCTACTGGAAGACGTTTCGTCCCTTATCCAAAGGACTTCTTCAGTTCATGAAGAACTGAAGAAGTCCTAGTTATAAATTAACATCAAATTATTAATGCCGCGAGCCGTTGATGAATTAGCCGTATTCTCATTCGCTTTTATAAATTAAGATAAGCGGGTCGCAGGCTCTTGGTGCTGTGATAAAGAGCACGGTGGCGTTCACATGTGCTGTGCAAATGCTCTGAAACTTCATCACTGATGTTAGATAAACATGAGTCGGATCATGTTTTGGTAAAACTCACATGTCTGATGAAGAGGTCGGCCAGCAGGTCGTGGTTCTGAACACAGCGGTCCAACTCCACCAGGAAGAAGCTGAAAGGAAACACAATCACACGGTGAGCCTGAGAGAGAGGGAGAGGGGGGAAGGAAGTGTTATTTAATGTGTGAGACGGACTCGCGGTGCCAGTCGTAGATCTGCTGGATGTTCCCGAAGACGATCTTGTCTTTTCCTCTCATGTCCTCTGGGATCCCTCTGACCTCCAACCTGGACATGAAGCCCTGAGAGACACGGACATGTGTCTTATATTTAATTTATTTAAACTTTAACTCAACGTTCATTCGTCTCAAAATCCCTTCTCAACAATCTTTAAATCATATAAAGCAAGTCTGACCTCCACGATCACAGCCAGGTCCTTCACATAGTCCTTCTCTGATTGGATCATCTCGTTAACCACAAACCTGCGAATGCACAAACACCCAGTTCACTTGAAATCCTTTTTAGTATTCACAAAGATAGTCACGTTTTTATTAGCGTGCGTGCATCTCACATGCGTCCTCTCAGCGCTTTATTTCGCTGCTCGGTGTCCGACTCATTGGAGCCCTGATCTGAATCCAGAGCCTGAAGACAGAGAGAGGGAGACGTGTTAAAACAAATAACCCTAAACTTTTACCAAAATCTGGTGAAATTTCCTGGAAAAGATACCTCTGGACTATTAACTCAGTGACGTCATGAACGTTGCAATATCTCTCGATGAGGTTTTGCACCTGCACTTGTTTCTTCCAGTTACTTTTCTTGCTAAAGTCCGTGAACTGATGTGCGATACCACTTAATTCCTATACGATCCAATACCAAGTAATAACCAGGCTGGTTTTGGCGATACCGATACTTTTTACATATTTTATTTCTAGTTTAATGTTTAACAAAGTTTGCGGTGTTGCCAAAGTATTTCACTGTCTTTGCACACCCAGCGTCATTATTACCTTCACAGCTTAAACGCAGCCAGACGTGACGGCTTTCACAGTCAGCCGCCTCAAACCCCCCTGAAAGATGCCAAAATGGCTGCAGGCAACAGATGTCCCTCCCATGCAGCAGTGAAAACCTTCTCCACCTTCGTTCTGTAACCACGTATAAATCAGTTCGCTTCCTGCTCCAGTAAATTAAAACGGTTCTGTGTTTAAAATAAAACTTTATTTACGGCTGGAGATTCTCACAAATTAGAGAGAGAGGAGATCTAATTTTAAAAAACTTTCAGCTCTTCCTCTCTGACTCAAGGCCTCACTGAAGCGAGCGGGATCGCACAAAATGACCTTGTCTAATGTCAGCGTGTTTATAGCTGTTGTGAACGGCGTTACAAGCCTGCCGCCGTGGTAACGGAGGGAGGAGGAGACGTGACGGTCATACGGATGAATGTGAGCTGCACATTTTCAGACAAAGACACTTGTGCTGTTGGACTCGTCCGTGTTACCTCGGGGTTGTTCGGGTCTTTGATGATCTGCATGGGCGGCGGAAGGAGGGTGTGGCTTTCTTCCTCTGGCTCCTCCTCCCCTCCGCTCTGCCCCGCCTCCTCCTTCCTCGCCTTCTGCAGACGCAAACAGAAACGTTATCTTCTGCAACGTTATCCTGTGTGTGTGTGTGTGTGTGTGTGTGTGTGTGTGTACCGTCTGTGCGTTGCCGGTGAGGGGTGTGGTCTGCTCTGGCCTGTTGTCCCGCCTCCTGGTTCTGATTGGAGGCTTCTTCTGCCCGTCAGCCTTCCCCTGACTCAGTCTCCGGACGGGACTGGTTAACCAGCGCTGCAACAAACACGCCGTTACCACGACTGAAAGCGCCACATGTACTTTACTTGAGTATTTCCATCATCTGCTACTTTATGCTTCCACAGTGCCACCAGGAGGACCATCAGCTGTTACCTTCAGGGTGTTTCCAGTTCCAGAGACGCTGCGTTTCGACCCCGGAGAGCCGACAGCGCCCCCTGGGGCCCCGCCCACTCCATACACTGTGGGGGAGGTGGCACCTGAGAGAGGAAGACAGGGAGGTCAGCGTCACGATGCGTTCACTGTGCGTAAACTGAGTGGCGATTATTGACTCACTCTGGCTGGGTGACTGAGTCTGGGGCCCCGACCCTTCAGAGCCGTACAGGCTGGACTCTGCAGAGACACAAACACAGTTAACTACGGTCACGCTGAAGAAGTCTGCTTATATCTTCATTTGTAAGAGACGAAACATGTTTAAGCATAAAAACCTGAGCGTAAACACGAGGGGCCAAATAAATATCGCACCTTAGTTACACTTTATTTTAAAAACCTTCACTGCACCAGAGAACAAATGAAATAAATAAAATGAGACGGGGGTCAGAGCTCCAGCACTGTTTTCATTTGTTGACATGAGGTATTTAAGGGACCTTCTAAGTAAAAAAACAAAAGTTTACTCACATAAATAATAAGATGAAGAAAACTAGAAATCAGGTTTCTATAATCCTGCTGACAGAAAACAAGTTCATGTAAACCAGAGGTGGAAAATACTTTATTGACCATGAAACTTTAATTAACAGCAAGTAGACGCCTGTCGTCTCTTTTACACACAAATAAACTCAGGTCTCATTTAGAAGCCTGGTCTGTTTTTAGAGAAGTTCTCTTGACGTCCACCGCCTGCTTCAGTTAAGCTGCTCAGATCGTTGGGTCGGTTCACCGCGATTCAATCGTTCAGTTCATTTTACAAAAAGAATTCAGACTTAACGGTAAACAAGACTAAAGATGCAAAAGTAATGTTCACACTGGCTGAAATAAAGGATCTGACGGCGGCCTGTTTCACATCTTCACTGAGCGACAGTTTTGTGTGAAATGAACAGACAAACACATATGATCAGCCTATTAAATCTGACTTGTTGTGGATTAAAGGCCCCTCAGACGCTCACAGGAGAGTCGAGCGACTCAGGCTGAAGCTCTGCCGCGACTCACGTGAGGTCTTCAGGTACGAATAATAAACTTGCAAACAAAACTAACGCTGAAGCCCAGAAAACATTTTCTTATGTTGTTGCACCATGATAAAAAAACACGTTTCAGGACCTTGAAGGCGACAGAATATACGTTTGATCCTTCAAATAGGTTTTGCTGGAGTATTTGTACACTGTGGTGTTGTTGCGTGAGTGTTTCTTCCACCGCTGATGTAAAGCAGTTAAAGAGCAGCTGACGGAGTGAAACGCATGCAGAGTTTTCCTGTCGTCTTCTTTCAGGTCGGCGAGCGGCGACCTCCTGCAGACGCCCGCTGTGTGCGTTGGGTGTGGCGTGTAATGTTTGTGTAAAGCTCCTACAGAGCAAAGTAAACCTGCGTGTCCTGGTTTGACTCACGAACACATTTATAACATTCCTGCATATCGATTATGTGACTGCTGTTACGGTAGAGAGACACTAAAGCAGACAGAGAGAGAGAGAGAGAGAGAGGTCAACACTCTCTCACCTTGTTCTGCCACTCATTAACCAACACACACTTATATTTCCTCTCTCTCTCTCTGTCATATTAAAACCTACCTCGCTCGTCCTCTCCCTCTCTCACAAGCCATCCCCAAACGCCAGAACAATCCCAGCATGCACCTCTGCCCCGCCGCATGGTTTGATGTCAGTCCATTCAGAAAAAAAAATAAATATAAAAGTGACAGAAGGACATGAAGAGAAGTGATTCTCTCCCCACGCTGAATGAAACTACAGTGGAGTCAGATCTCTGCGGGGCGGGGCTACACTACAGTGTGGGGGGGGGTTGATGACACGGGGGCGTGGCTAACATGGTAAGATAATTTATTACTGTAGATTCATTGTTTATAGAAACTGAGTGACGAAATAAAATAAGTCAAGATAATAAAATGATCTCATTAAAAGGCAAAAACCACAAAATTCTGCAAAATAAATAGTAAAAATAAAAAATCAATAAAATTATGTAGAAATAAAATTTAAATAAAAAATAAACAAAAGTTAAATAAATCATTTAAAAATAAAAATAAAAAGGGGAACACATAAAAATAAAACAACCAATAAAAATCAGTAAACAAAATTAAAAAAAAAAAAGTTAATAGAATGGTAAGTGTGAATAAAATAAAATAATAACCACAATATAAAATGCCAGAATTTAAAATAAAACATATAAAATTGATATATAAAATATGCAGTAAATAAAAAAATAAAAAATTAAGATTGAATAAAATAGGATCAAATAATTTGACTATGCAATATTATAAATATAAAACTAACTAAACTAATAGTTAAAAGAAAGTAAACATTTAAAAACCAAAACAAATTAAGTTTTAATAAACTGATTGATAAAAATGGAATAGAACAAATTGAAATACAAAAGAAATGCGTTTTTATATATGAATAACTTTAAATTAACAGCAAAGATATTTAATATTGAGATAAACGAAACAAAACAAACAGGAGAGCTGACCCCAAAACTTTCTTTTCAAACTGCAGCTCCCATTGTTTTGTGACGGGGAAGAAGACACAGCAGGCAGCCACACGCACACAAACACACACTCAGGATGTTAAACTGCAAATTCCTGTTGAGTCTGAAACTCCTTCAGGTCAATGTTTAACCCTGAAACCGCCTCACCTCTGGACCGAGACGAGAAATGCTGCCAAACCAGAGTGAGACGCAGCTGCTCACTGACGACACCGTCAGAAGCAGCAGAGTGTTTCTTATTTAGCAGCAAAACAAAATGACTATTAAATTAATCACCAACCATTTTGATTATTGATTAACAGGTTTAAATATTTTTTTATAAAATAAAGTCTAAATTCTCTGATCCCAGCTTCTTAAATGTTTAAATATTTTCTGCTTTCCTTCCTCCTCTGTGGCAGTAAACTGAATGTCTTTGGCTTGACATTTCAGGAGCTTTGGGAAACACTCATTGGATTAATGAAGAAAACAATCGACAGTGAAAATAATCACTAGTTGCAGCGCTGACTACAGATGGGTGAACGTGCCCGGAGAGGACCACGTGTTTGTTCGTGTGTCTGCAGCTCATCAGCTTGTTATTTTTAACAACTTTACGCTCTCATGGCTGTGGTGATTCACAACCTTTGACGGAGCCTTTCGTAACGCTTAGACCTTTCAGCAGGACAAATATGAAGACACAGCAAAGAGCTCAAAAACAGACTTTGATAGAAAAGTTTGGTCTCATCTTGAGCAGAACATCTGCAGATTAATTCCATACCAGATTTATATGATCCACTGAAGTTGGACACGATACGAGATGAGTAAATCTGTGTTTGCAGGATCTCTGCTGTACACGAGGCCGAACGAGTTCTTTCTTTGGGAGGGTTTTATTTTGTGTGCTGCTTTATACAGCTCGGTTTGTTGCCTTCGTTACATGTGGGACACATTTGTAGGTTATTTTAAAAATCAATTAATCAAACAATTATTTTTCCGATTAGTTGATTAATCTGAGGTTAAATTTATTTATTATGCTAAAGTTTATTTTGTTAATATGCAATTTATCCAAACTAAGTATTAAAAACTTAAAAATTCAATTCCCCCATCCTGAAAAAGACACATTAAAGCTCATCAGAATAATAATAATAATCTTATTTGCACGTCACTGCTGTGTTCTGATATTAATAATGATAATAATAATAACTCGCCGTGTTTGTCAGATCAGAAAAAAACTGCACCTCAAATTCAAAAGGCCTGCAGGTCGATGTAACGACGTGAACTGAAGCAGAATCTGTTTTTTCCTTTTTCACTGGAGCAACGTGCAGTAAGATAATTTATCTCTGCATCAGCGTTTAGATGCGGCTCAACGTTAAGCTTTTTCGACTTGAAACTTACTGACTTACCAAAAGTTATTTATCAGTGTTACAACAAAACCAAAGACGTAAGTCATGTTCTACAGTTAACATGTTTAATCGTTTATTAAATACATCCTGGATATAATAAAAACTAAACTAAAATGTAACCGCAGTTAAAATTATAAAAAAATAAAAATGTTAACAAAACAATTTACTTTTAAAACAAAACATCCTAACAGACTCAAACATGACGTGCTCTCTCTCCTGCTGACAGACATTTAATAAAAGACATGTACACAGAGCAGCGGACACGAGTCGCCTCTATCCTGACTGACAGGTTGCCATGGTAGCGACCTGTCAATCAGCTTGTAGCCCCGCCCTAAAGCCTCCCCTGCTTCCTGGTCTCTGTTCCTCTAAATGGGACCATAATTTACTAAATGAACATCATGCTGTGTTGAAGAAGACTTGAAACTAGCGACTGAGACCAGAAACTCATCAGGAAAGTGTTTACTGAGGGAATAAATCAGCTGAGCAGTAGAAACATTTTACCAGCGGACTCGCCCGCTGCTGGCCGTCTGCGTGGTTTCACTTTCAGACCCAGAGGTCACCGCTTGATTGAGATTAGAGAAATAACATTTGACAACCGCTCGTCACGTCACTGCAAAACAACTGCAGGATGTTGAGTTTCTACTTATTATTTTTTAAATACTAATGTTTTTGCCTCTAAGTGTCTCTATAACAAAATGAGCTGCAGCATCAAGGTGTTTTCATCAGATCAGAGTCCTCGTTAGTCTGGACTGTCTCAAACACACAGAGTCCTGATTTTAACGTGCAGCAGCAGATCAACAAACAAACAGAGCGTCTTTAATTTTTCATGCTCGGCTGCAGAACAAGCAGACAAGGACTCGCGTGTTTGTCTCTACAACTTTACAAACATGGATTTGAATATTTAGGGGGCAGAGAGAGAGAGACAGGATGTGGGACAGCACAGCAGCAGCCGGCGGTATGGGCGGAGGATGTTTAAACAGGAAGTGACATACAGCAAACACGGGACGTGCCGCACCAGAGGCAGATGGTGGAAGGAGAAATCTAATAAGCTGATATGTTTCTAGGAGCAGGAAGCCATTTGGGAGAAACACAAGTTATATCAGTTCTACTGTCCTCTGCTAACTTCACATGATAAAAAATAAAATTTAAACTAAGAACAGTGAGTTAGACTGAGTCTGCAGCCGACGACTGAATGAATATTAAACCGGTCTTAATCTGGCCTCATCAATAATAGGTCAAGACAACATCAGCCAACTTTAGCTAATTTTAAAATGACGTTTCTGTGGTTCTGCCTGACAGACATGTTGCTTAATGATGAATAATGCACCACATTTACAATCAACACACTGGTTCATTTCTGGCTCCAGACTCTGAATCAAAGCTCAAACTGAATCCACAGCTCAGCATGTTCTCACTCCCAACCTGTCACACATGGACGCACGCTAAAGACCCGTTGGCGGCGTCAGTTTGTAACGCTCTGGGGGAAGCCCTGTAGCGTCACTTAGCTTCACGCTAAAAGTAGGTGTAGGATGTTTAACAGAAAAGTCAGAGTAAGGAGGTGGTTGGACGAAACAAAAAGTCTGCATTAAATGTTTTCATTTAAGTTTTACAAGTAACTTTACTTAACTGACGTCAGTTAACTGACGTAAGTAATGTCGCTATTACAGCTGCAACGATTAGTCGATTAGTTGGTTAAAAGAAAATTAATCAACAACTATATTGCTAATCGGTTTCAGGTATTTTTTAAGCAAAAATGTGAAAACAATAGCTGGTTTCATCTTAAATTGAGGAACTGCTGCTTCTTCATCATTTATAACAGTACACGAAGAGTCTTTGGGGTTTTGGACAGTTGGTTGGACCAAAGACGCGATCTGGAGACGTCACTTTGGGCTCTGGAAAAGTGTGACGAGCATTTTTCACAATTTCTTGACATTTTACTAAATAAACGATGAGTCGATTATTTGCGAAAAGAGATTAGTCGATGATGAAAATAATCGTTAGTTGCAGCGCTAGTTGCTTTTTCAACCCAAACCGTGATCTTTTCCTCACCAAATATAGACATTTGACAACGTTAACAACTACTTTTATTTTGAAGGTCTAATTGGACGTTGCGTAGTTTTTCTTGCTAACTTGACCGCGGAGCCCTAAACGTCTAAAAACAACACTAAAGTGGTACCCAGGCCGTTAAAAAGCGACGCAGAGGGTCCATATGTGAGGAGTGAGGAGGTGTTAACCAGCTGGCTTGCAGGGTGTTGTTTGAAATGTGTTGATATTTGAAATAATATGATACCTGAGTTCTGGTTCTGGTACAGAAACAATATGATTTTCTGTAATTTCCTTGAGGAAAAATAATTATGTAGTATGACTAATGTAGCATTTAAAGTGTTTTTACGCAGTCCTGCAGCAGCTGCAGCAGAGCTGACGCACCTTTAATAAAGAGCTCTGGATGTTCAGCTCAGACACTCACCTCTCCCAGCGTTCAGCGTGGAGGAGGAGTTGGAGTTATTGGAGGAGGTGGTGGTGGTGGAGGAGGAGTTGCAGGAGGAGGAGGCGGTGGTGGTGCACGTAGAGGAGGTGCTGGAGGAGGTGGTGGAAGCCGGGACGAGCCCCTCCATGTCGGCTGCACTGTGGGAGTGTGACAGGCAGAGGGCGCTCATCGGCACTAAACCCTCCTGCAGGGAAACAAAGCTGAGATCAGAGGCGCTGTTTTCCTCACCTGCTCAGACGTTTGGTTGGTTTTGAAGGCGGTTGGACGCTGAAACCAAAGCAAGTGAAACAGTGAAGTAGAGCGGACACTAAAGGAGGGACATGTTTGTCTGTCACCTGTGGGGACGTCTCGTACGCCGCATTTCTTACCTGTTGGGATATTTGATCTGTCATCTGTGGGGGGGCGTTTGGTTCATTACATTTAGGGGCGTTTGATTTATCACCTGTTGGGGCGTTTGCTCCGTGGTTCGGGCCAGGCACCACCCGGGCCGTTCGGCCGAGCGCTCCACCAGCTCCACAGTCTGACCGCAGCGGACGCTGAGCTCTCCTGGTCCCCCGGAGGAGAAGTCCAGCAACACCACCACTAACTCACAGCCTCCTGACAGCTGCAGAGACACGCAGAGAGACAGGAAGTAAGACGGGTGTTTACTCCTGACAGGCTGACCTTCAGGAGTCTCCACTGTTAGGAGCATCAGGAGCAGTCGGCACGAACACAGAGGAGCCTCAGCTGCAGCTGGCTGGACGCAACATCAAAACTTTAAGAGAGGAGAAGTCAACATTATATATATTATGATAGTGAAGCGCTGTAGCGTTAGCAGGGGTGTGGAAAAGAATTGGTTCTTAGATGCATCTCGGTGCGGATTCTGAATCTGAATATCTAGAGGTAATTTAAAACCAAATACTCGGAAATGTGTCTGCAAAGGGTGTTTTAACCCTAAAACACGAGTCCCTTTATTGTTTAACCGGGAGCTCATTCGGAGCCCTGTACACTGTAAAAACGCCAACTTAGATTTTTTGGCGTTAAAAGGGATTTTAAGTTTTGCAGACTTAAAATTCTAAATTATTAACATTTGACGCATTAACTAAGTCAGCCTAGCAATTTAAAAAAGTTTTTTGTTCCAAAACCAATAAATGAGTTATTACAACTTATTTATTTAAGTTGTGCTTCAGTTCTTGGGGCGAAAGTTTATTACAACTTGGAGTTGGGTTAAGAAAACTTAAAACTGAAAGTTGATCAAACTCTAAAGCAAAACTTAAAATGTTAAGTTTAATTTCCCAACTTAAAATTTTATTGAAATTTGTTGCCTTAAAATTTTCCCCAACTTTTTCTTTTTTACAGTGCACCTCAAAACATCAAGTTACACCAGAGCCAGAATGACTATTGATCTATTGATACTGATACATACACTTAATCAGGTAAATGAATCAAAATAGCTACTTCTGAATATGTTTTCATCACCAATCGATGATCATTAAACATCTAATAACTTAATGACGTGTTTGTGAAAAACACAGGACACCTCAAAGACAAACATGTTGTATGCAATTACTGCTAATTAAAACAAGTACAGTATCAGCAGCAGCAATGATTTAAGCATTGTTCCGCCCACCTGTAGTGCCATGGCCAGCTCTAATATGAGTTACAGACAAGAAAAACATGTCAGGCTACAACACGGTACAAGAGAAAATAACCAGACTGAGGCTGCTTTCGCACCTGCCTCATTTAGTTTGAACCGCACTGGAGTTCGTTGTCCCCCTTGGTGCGGTTCGCTTGTGAAGTGAAAGCAAACAAGAATTATTTCCAAAGCTAAAACACTAATAAATCCCTCTGCTGACTCCGTGACATGTGTTCAGCGATCTTATAATTGATCTGTATGAGCCATTTGTAGGCTGTGTGAATGCAAATCATTTGGTAACCACGTATTTTCCCTGATTAATAGGTCAAAGGCTGTTTCAAAAGGGGCCAGTACTCTTGGTAGCCTACTAAGAATTAAAGTAAAAATTAAGAAAAATATATTTTTCAAAAAGAAAATTCTGTAAAATCTTTTTTTCGACAAAAATTAAGTAAAATCTTTTTTTTCGACAAAAATTTAGTAAAATCTTTTTTTCGACAAAAATTAAGTAAAATCTTTTTTTTCGACAAAAATTTAGTAAAATCTTTTTTTCGACAAAAATGAAGAAAAGTATTTTTAAAGAAAAAATAACTGAAATCTTTTTTTCAACGAAAATTAAGTAAAATATTTTTCAAACAAAGACCTAAGGTAAAATCTTTTTTTCGACAAAATTAAGTAAAATATTTTTAAAGAAAACATTTTGTAAAATCTTTTTTCATTCCCATTTTCACAACAAAATAAATATCTTAATAGAATAATTAAGTAATCTAATTTGTTTGTGATTCAAATTAATTAAATCAAGATTTATTAAACATTTATTGAACATTTGTTATATTGTTACTGCCCAGCCTGCCTAATTTAGCGTATTAGCATGCTAACATTTGCTAATCAGCGCTAAACAGAAAGTACAGCTGAGGCTAATGTCATTATTGTTGCAGGTATTTTGACCGGATGACGGCGCTGCTCGCCTTCACACCGGTGGATGAGATATACCAGTCTTGACTTGAGTGGCAGACAACTGACCGACCAAAGAGTGCTGCTGCTATCTGCGCTACAAACATCTCTACATGATAAAGAATCTCAGCTGAAGTCAGCAATACAAACAGAAACAACCCAACGGCTCTGTAAAAGCTGTGCTTGATAAACGAGGCCATCGCGTCCGGGTTCTAATGAGACACCTGATTAATTTCCTGCACAAATTATTCATGTTCCCCCGGGAGAGAAGCTGTCAGGCAGACTTCAGGTGGCTCCGAACACAAAAGCTTTTTCCTTTCAGGAATTCAGCGGGGACAAATAAACATGACGTGACAAACGACACCAGCACACACCCTGAAACCTACATGCATCACCATAATAAGTGTTCTCCAGCCCGTCCAATCACAGCAGGGCGCGCTGAGCTCTGATTGGCGCAAAGTATAAAAAACATCACGTGATCTCGGACAATGAGACGAGATCACCGTGGTTTCTAGTGACTCTGTGTGTTGACTGAAGTGAGCTGGAGCACATGGGCTGCAGCTGGTGGAGGAAACGTGGTGTCTGCAGGGAGCAGTGGGGTGTTCCCCCTGCTAATCCAACACAGATGTGATGTGTCTTGCAGCCCAGTTAGCATCACACGTTGCAAACGCATGTACTGTGGTGGAAAGTACCCTAGTGCATTTACTCAAGTACTGAGTATTTCCAATTTATGCCACTGTGTCATGGTAGTTTTACCAGCTGTAGAGTATTTTACAGTTCAGCGTCGGAGTCCTTCGGCTGCGTCTCAGGCGTGTTCCTCACTGTTTATCACCACAAGCTTTCTGTTGGTTTCATCTTCTGGGATCATTTAACTCTTCTCTGTACAGTTTTCTGTTCACGTGTCACTGATCGATCAGCTGATTTTACTGACAGAGCCTCCGGCTGCTTCAGGTGTTGGTTTGATCGGCTGGACGTGCAGATTCTCTTTACTCTGTCTGTGAGGCTTTACTTTAGTGACTTGTTTAAACAGACTCTGACTCCCGTTTTCGGAGGTTTGCGGCTCACCAATAAAGGAAAAAGCACTCAGAGATCTTTCAACTCAGTTTACTGATCGAAAGTTAACAAAATAGTCTTCTGTTTTTTACTTTCAACACACGCATCAGAAAATACCTTTAATACATCATAATGATAATCTCTCAGGCCTTGACAACAGACACGTGGAACTAAATGTCACGCACGAGGGCTGCAGCTAATTTGAACGATCAGGTAATTAGACAATCATTTTGTTGATGAGCTAACGAAGCTGTTTGTCTATAAAATGTCAGAAAATAGTGAAACAGGTCCATAATACCTCCCCAGACTCTGATGTCTTTAAATGTCCAAAACCTAAAGATACTCAGTTTAAAATGATACTTGTACTTAACTTTTTACTTCTACTCCTCTATTTGTGTTTATTGTGATAATTATTTATCAAAACAAACAAATAAAAACATGATTGTAGTAACTTTAATTAGTTCGTTAACCTCGTTAATTGAGGTTTGGACACAGCAGGCGTTGTAAAGGCGCCACTTTGGGCTTCTGGGTAGCAGAATCTTTACAAACCAAAAAATCAATCGATCAACGGAGGAAATAATCAGCAGACTGACCCAGAAGGAAAAGAATCGTCAGCTGCACAGTTCAGAACAACTACAGCCGCAACATCCTGCGATATAAAAGTACAACACTTTACTGCTTTAATACTTTACGTACATTTTCCTGATTATACACAAGTTAAAGGATCTGGTGCTGCAGCACCAACAACAAGCTTCAGTTCCTACGCCGTTAAACTACCAACAGCCGGAGGGTCAAAGGTCAGAGGTCACAGCCTCTCACCCGCCCTCAGCCACCAACAGCAGGTAAAAGAAATCAAACGTACCTCGTCAGGAGAGCAGCAAAGAAGTGAGAGTTTCTAGAAACAATCTGACCAGAGGAAACTCCCTCGTTCAGCACACACACCCAGCCAGCTGCAGCCAGCAGTGAGGTCATGAGGCTGTGGACACGCCCCTCTGGGAACACAGCGTGTGTGTGTGCGTGCGTGTGTGTGTGTGTGTGTCTTACCTTGTCGCTGTCGGCTGTGTTCTGAGATGTTCGGGAGGCGATGGAGACTGTGTCGGGCTGGCTGCTGGCGTCACCCAGGCTGTCTGCGTCCTCGCTGGTCTCCCTGAGAGAGACAGGATACAGATACAGGAGGTGGACAGAAGTATGTGGACACGTGCTTCAGTGTACTTCTGGTCTGAAACCCTTTCGAGCTGTGTTTGCATCGTAGCCAGAGATCCTTTAACTCGTCCGTTCATTTGAAAAACTAAGGGCCAGATTTGTGCAACATAGGACCTGTTGTTCATTTACTACTTTGGCCTTAATGAGTATGAATTTTATTGTGGAAAGTAGTGGGAGGGTAACATGCACATATGTTTATTTACTACACACAATGTGCTCTACCAAGCCTAAACACTATTTCATGTGAGTGCAGCAGCATCTGTATTTAATACGTTTGACAGGAAGGTGCAAACCGCCGAGTGCTGCAGAGATGCTGCTGTTGAGACACAGCCGTGATGAAAGAAGACGCAGAGAAATTAAACAATATTAGATAATATTATTCTATATCCAATATATAGAAATACAATTATTTAGTTTTTATTCGATGAACTATATGAATTGAATAGTTTTTTTGTATTTTCCTTTAGATTTGGCGATAGTGTTGCATTAACATTCATGCCAATAAAGCAAAGTTAATTTTGACCTGACTTCTTTTCTCAGTGAGATTGAAGACTTTAGAAAGTTGCGTGGCGCTGCGGAGAGCCTCCAGCTGCACGGATCACGTGTAAAATTCATCCAGCCAGAGGGACGATCACCAGCTGTTCACAGCGCGCCGGTCGTAATAGCGACATAACCCATTGTAGGTATCGGAGAGGGGTTGTGGCGTACAGGTTCAGGAGATCATGGAGCGACCGGGCACGCTGCGGACTGTCGGTGATCGTTCCCTCTGGCTGGATGAAGCACGATCTGCTGGCATTTCCTGGCGTCTGGGTCATTCCAGCACACTGTATCTGTTTCTGCTGGGGTTTCCCAAAGCATGGGGTTTTCCAGCTGTGCTGTCCCAAGTACTCAGTGGGCCGGTACAGACGATTTCCACATACTGAGTGAAACGAGCCAAGGTTTTTACGCTGGGGCTGCTTTCCCTCCCGAGTCTCCACGGTGGAAACCCTCATTTAAATACTCCCACCTCCATTGTGTTTAATTCTTGCCCCTTAAAAACCTTGTAATTTCAATTCAGGATACTTGACAAATCCCTTACTGATCAGTTTAATTAAAGGTTAAAATATTTCCAGCTGTATGCTAATGACATTTTAAGAGATTCTTTGTCAGTATTTATGTGATTGGGCTCAATCAGGATTCTAACATGTCGATTTAATCAGTTTTCTCCATGAATTTTAGCTTTTTAAGGGGAAATGATATCAAAGAACTTCCTTCAACTTAATGAAACAAAACTGAGGTCACTCTGTTTGGCCCTCCGAGCTTAAGCAATTCGCTTGGTCCCCTGACTACAAACTGGAGCAGTGTAGTTAAGAATTTAGGTGTTTTCATGGAGACTTGTTTGAATTTTAACAAATAAATCAGTATTGTCGTGAAGAGCACTTTTTATCAGGCAGTTAAATCTGACGTTGTTGTTTATTTCCTTTTAGCTTCATTTAATTTCACTTTTAGCGAGTCCTCCATATGCCTTTTATTGACGTGTACTGGTGTTTTATTGTGTATTGGGATACACAGTGGTGTACACGCTCTTTGTTCTTTTGTGCATTTATACTTGTATTTGTGTGTATTGTGTTCTTGGAGAGCACTTTGGGTCAGATCCTGTTGTTTTTATATGTGCTATATAAATAAAGCTGACTTGACCACAAAACTTAATAAATAATATTACAGTTATTCCTTATTTTGTTCCTCATAAGAAACTTTCTCATTTAAAGGATTCAAGTCAGGGTCTCAGAGCTGCATCGGTTAGTTGATCAATCGATTATGTGAACCAAAAAAGTGAAACATTTGCTGGTTTCATCTTCGTAAATATGAGGAACTGCTGCTTCCTTGTCATTTATGACAGTTTTGGCCTGTTGGTTGGACCAAAGAAGCGATTTGAAGACGTCACTTTGAGCTCTGGAAAACTGTGACGAGCATTTTTCGCAGTTTCTTGACATTTTAGAGACTAAACGGCAGATTTGACACAGTTTGAAGGGTTCTTAAGGCACAAATAAAAACTTTAATTTCAGCACACAGCATGTGAGCTCTGCACATGCTGAGCGGCTGTAATTTTCTCCACTCTGGCCAACAGGTCGGAGGGCAGCTTTATTTAGGAGCCCTGACGGATCACGTGGCGGGAGGCATCTAACGTGGACGTGTTAACCGAGTCTCTGGTGGCGAGCGCTGACCTGCGGCTGATGCTGCGCTGTCGGCCCAGGGTGGGGTTTGGTGTCTTTGGGAGGGGGATGGGCTCCCTTAGCGCCCCCCGCAGGTGGCCCCGCCTCTCCTGGATCACCTGGCGAATGCTGCGGACCCACTCCTGCTTCAGCTCCAAGGATGACGCCTGAGGAGTGAGGTAGACACAAACATTAAGCAACTGCCACACATGAGCATTACAGTGTCATCAGATGTGACCGGGACTTACTCTTACCTTCAGGACCGTCTTGTTGTCGGATGTCGGCGTTCGTCCGACCCACAGAGCAAACTTACAGGGATCCCCCTCTATGTGCTCCGTCACACCGAGCTCTGAGGTCTGAGAGGGCGACACGTAGTCAGACCCAGATTATAACTTCAAAGTGAAACTTCACTCTAAATGTGTAGAAATGTGTGTTACCCTCAGTCTGCTCTTGTAGAGGTATTTGGTTCGTCCGGACGAGTCTTTGATTTCTTTACTGAAGATGAGTGACAGCTCGAACAGGAAGAGGTGTCGGTCCCGCCCCTTCCTGATCAGAGACTTTGGCTCCCAAACCAGAAAGGAGTCCTGCAGGAGGAGCTCGCCCTGCACCTCCAGACCCTCCTCCAGACCTGACAAGGACGTCACAGCCGAGACAGCCTTAATGTTACCTCTTATCATCGGTAAGTGTAACTGAAGTCCTCAGGAAATCTCCTTCAATATGTCACGTTTTATCAGTGCATTTAAAATAAGCTTTACAAAAATAACAAAAGCTTCAACCTCTGACTTATCAAAATAAAAGACCTGTAGCTATTTCAAAGTAAAAGCTCTATAGCTTCCCCACAATGAAAAACTTGTAAAAAACCTGTAGACATTTCAAAGTAAAAGCTCTATAGCTTCCCCACAATGAAAAACTTGTAAAAAACCTGTAGACATTTCAAAGTAAAAGCTCTATAGCTTCCTTACAATGAAAAACGTAAAAAACCTGTAGATATTTCAAAGTAAAAGCCTTATAGCTTCCTTACAATGAAAAACGTAAAAAACCTGTAGATATTTCAAAGTAAAAGCCTTATAGATTCCTTACAATGAAAAACTTGTAAAAAACCTGTAGATATTTCAAAGTAAAAGCCCTATAGCTTCCTTACAATGACAAACTTGTAAAAAACCTGTAGATATTTCAAAGTAAAAGCCCTATAGCTTCCTTACAATGACAAACTTGTAAAAAACCTGTAGATATTTCAAAGTAAAAGCCCTATAGCTTCCTTACAATGAAAAACGTAAAAAACCTGTAGATATTTCAAAGTAAAAGCCCTATAGCTTCCTTACAATGACAAACTTGTAAAAAACCTGTAGATATTTCAAAGTAAAAGCCCTATAGCTTCCTTACAATGAAAAACGTAAAAAACCTGTAGATATTTCAAAGTAAAAGCCCTATAGCTTCCTTACAATGACAAACTTGTAAAACCTGTAGATATTTCAAAGTAAAAGCCCTATAGCTTCCTTACAATGAAAAACTTGTAAAAAACCTGTAGATATTTCAAAGTAAAAGCCTTATAGATTCCTTACAATGAAAAACTTGTAAAAAACCTGTAGATATTTCAAAGTAAAAGCCTATAGCTTCCTTACAATGAAAAACGTAAAAAACCTGTAGATATTCAAAGTAAAAGCCTTATAGATTCCTTACAATGAAAAACTTGTAAAAACCTGTAGATATTTCAAAGTAAAAGCCCTATAGCTTCCTTACAATGAAAACGTAAAAAACCTGTAGATATTTCAAAGTAAAAGCCCTATAGCTTCCTTACAATGACAAACTTGTAAAAAACCTGTAGATATTTCAAAGTAAAAGCCCTATAGCTTCCTTACAATGAAAAACTTGTAAAAAACCTGTAGATATTTCAAAGTAAAAGCCCTATAGCTTCCTTACAATGAAAAACTTGTGAAAGACCTGTAGTATTTCAAAGTAAAAGCCCTATAGCTTCCTTACAATGACAAACTTGTAAAAAACCTGTAGATATTTCAAAGTAAAAGCTCTATAGCTTCCCCACAATGAAAAACTTGTAAAAAACCTGTAGATTTCAAAGTAAAAGCTCTATGCTTCCTTACAATGAAAAACGTAAAAACCTGTAGATATTTCAAAGTAAAAGCCTTATAGCTTCCTTACAATGAAAAACTTGTAAAAAACCTGTAGATATTTCAAAGTAAAAGCCCTATAGCTTCCTTACAATGAAAAACTTGTAAAAACCTGTAGACATTTCAAAGTAAAAGCTCTATTGCTTCCTTACAATGAAAAACGTAAAAAACCTGTAGATATTTCAAAGTAAAAGCCTTATAGCTTCCTTACAATGAAAAACTTGTAAAAAAACCTGTAGATATTTCAAAGTAAAAGCCCTATAGCTTCCTTACAATGACAAACTTGTAAAAACCTGTAGATATTTCAAAGTAAAAGCCCTATAGCTTCCTTACAATGAAAACGTAAAAAAACCTGTAGATATTTCAAAGTAAAAGCCCTATAGCTTCCTTACAATGAAAAACTTGTAAAAAACCTGTAGATATTTCAAAGTAAAAGCCCTATAGCTTCCTTACAATGAAAAACTTGTAAAAAACCTGTAGATATTTCAAAGTAAAAGCCCTATAGCTTCCTTACAATGAAAAACTTGTGAAAGACCTGTAGTTATTTCAAAGTAAAAGCCCTATAGCTTCCTTACAATGAAAAACTTGTAAAAAAACTGTAGATATTTCAAAGTAAAAGCCCTATAGCTTCCTTACAATGAAAAACTAGTGAAAGACCTGTAGATATTTCAAAGTAAAAGCCCTATAGCTTCCTTACAATGAAAAACTTGTGAAAGACCTGTAGTTATTTCAAAGTAAAAGCCCTATAGCTTCCCCACAATGAAAAACTTGTGAAAGACCTGTAGTTATTTCAAAGTAAAAGCCCTATAGCTTCCTTACAATGAAAAACTTGTGAAAGACCTGTAGATATTTCAAAGTAAAAGCCCTGGACAGTAGAAGTCCTCCCTATCCTTAACAGGAAAAGACAGTTCCTTCACAATAAAAGCCCTGCAGCTGCTTCACAATAAAAGCCATTAACTGCACCAGAGTTGAAACCCTTAAACATCTCTTCAGGAGGAGCCCGTCCTGACTGCATGTTAGGAAACATAATCTGGGTGTTTTACCTTCCAGCATGCTAACGTGCATAGCATCGTTCGCTCTCTTCGGTACGCTCAGCATCACGTCCAAGCCTTCCTTTATTTCCCCTTTCCCCTCCTCGCAGCACGCTAGCAACTCCTACAAACACAAACACAAAACCTTACTGAGAGAAAACACAGATAAATTCAGAATATTTTACACATGTTTTAACAAATTAGCACTAATAGTATGGTGATAATTTAATATTGACTAAGACATTATATTAGATAATTTAACATTAAAAATAAAAAGCCCAGAGGAAAGTTCCTTATAAAAACACTATGTTATGTGCTATATAATTTATACTAGTTTTTATGCTTTTTATTAGTATTATCAAATCATAAAGCCAAAGGCAACTGCATGATTACAAAATATTTTAGGTTCATCAGGTGAAAAGAAAATTGTGAAAATGTAATGATTAAAGACCGATAATTATAATAAATAAACATGGACATATCTCTTTTTCAAACAAACGTTACTCTTTAGTTTATTAGTTATTTTTCTACTCTATACTGAATTTGCCGCATGTCATTTGTTACTTCTTAGTAATTAATTACAAACTCTTAATATCTTGGCACACAATAATGGTCATGGTGGTTATAATGTACAAGTATTAAGTAGTATTTATCTGTAAAAACTAATATTACACATGAAACAGTAAACTTTTAAAGTAGAAAAACATCTAAAAACGTTAGATAAAAAAGAAGACGTCACGCTGCTGCTGAGCTCAAGTTACACCAAAGTTTTCAAACTAACATAAAATGTTTCATTTATTATCTGTGCACACAGACTGGATCCTCGGGGCTCCATATAAACTGTTTCAGGCTGAACTACAGGTGTTTCCAAACAGCCAGAAGGAACAAACCTTCAGTTTCTGACACGCGACGGTTTAACGTTCCTCTGAATTTAACAGCCATTTATAGAAAAGCTCCTTCTGAGCTGCTGTGCTGTGGGAGAATCCCTGCGTTGAAGCGTTACCTTGAGCAGCAGAGGTACTTGGTGATCCTCTGAACGGGTTTGATCAGAGCGGAGGAGATGGAGTTGGTTAGACCATGTCTCCTCTGGACCTCCTGAGAATAAACACACACACAAACCTGTTAAAGGGGAAACTGATAAAGCAAGCTGAAGCTCCTCCGCCCGCTAACCACAAATCAAACCCTTACAATTCAGCAGGACTGATTAATGTGTTATTTCTCACAGCCTCCTGGACATGTCACGACCTCAGAGGGAGTCCAGCTCCTCATGTTGGCAACCGACTAAAGGTAATACTTATTTTCCAGGTCCTGTACTTCCTGAATTATTTCTCGGGACATTTCTAAAAGGAGATTTGCCATTTTGTAGTAATTATAAAGAAAACGACTGAGGCGTACACACTGCAAGTACACTTTTATTTACAGAGCTCCAGATAACTCTAAGATGCACCCACTAAGAGGAATCTGGCTTTTTTTGCGTTCAGCTGACTAAATAACTTTTCAGGTCAGTGCTTCTTTGCCAGTCCAGCCTCAGGCTCTGAATTTTCCTTTCAAGTCTCTGTCCACTCACAGAACAACGTAACCTTCAGCGAGCTGAGGCTTTGTCCTCACCGTTCAGGCCGACTCCGACTTTTAGAACTTGCTTTGACAGTTTGCTGAAAATAATAAAGTCATTTTCAAGACAGGTCAGTACTTTACTGTGTACAACGCAGTTTAGTTTCTTTTTTAGAGTTCAGTTTAAGTTAAACCAGGTTTAATAGAGTTGTGTTTGGAGTAAGCTTCCTGTCTGGAGGGACCACTACGCTCAAGGGAGGTCTGTGACCAACACAGCCAACACTGATGACAATGGTGTCCTGAACTTTCATACTGTAGTACCTGTATCGCTGTATATTCTTCAGTACCTGTTGTAGAACTCATAGTTTGTGTACTCATGCAGTATATCTTGCAGTACCTGTTGTGGAACTTTTAGATTCCTGTTGTGTACTCATGCAGTATATCCTGCAGTACCTGTTGTGCAACACGTAGATGTCCTGAACCTTTCCTGCTGTAGTTCCTGTATTGCTGTATATCTTGCAGTACCTGTTGTGCAACACGTAGATGTCCTGAATGTTCCTGCTGTAGTACCTCTATTGCAGTATTGGTAGTAAATTTTTCAGTCCCTGTTGTGGAACTTGTAGATGTCCTGTTGTGTACTCATGCAGTATATCTTGCAGTACCTGTTGGAACTTTTAGATGTCCTTTGTGTACTCATGCAGTATATCCTGCAGGTACCTGTTGTGTAACAGGTATAGTCCTGAACCTTTCCTGCTGTAGTTCCTGTATTGCTGTATATCTTGCAGTACCTGTTGTGCACACGTAGATGTCCTGAATGTTTCCTGTGTAGTACCTCTATTGCAGTATTGTAGTAAATTTTTCAGTCCCTGTTGTGGAACTTGTAGATGTCCTGTTTGTGTACTCATGCAGTATATCTTGCAGTACCTGTGTGAACAGGTAGATGTTGAACCTTTCCTACTGTAGTACTGTATTGCAGTATATTTTACAGTACCTCTTGTACCATGTCTTTAACTCTTTTAAGGATTTTTTTAAGGACTAAAAACTACAGGACAGAGTTTCTTAACTAAATTAGCAGAAATCGTTAAGAAAGATAACGAAGTA